GTGGGGTTTCCGTTTATACAAGTTTGTGCCGTATTTATACATGTTTGCATATAATACATGCGCGCGTGTGTATATACATATATATATATATATATATATATAGAGAGAGAGAGAGAGAGAGAGAGAGAGAGAGAGAGAGAGAGAGAGAGAGAGAGACTTAGTGTGGTCTTGGAACCAGAGTCATAAGTCAAACATTTAGATTTACTGAAATGGAGCGTCTTAGAGTGGCACGGCCGGATCGGTAAAGAACCCATTGGAAACTTATGAGGCAACAAATGATCAAAATATATGTTTTTAGATGTATATATGTATATATATATATATATATATATATATATATATATATATATATATATATATATATATATATATGAAATCAAGTAAGATTATTTGAAATTTAAAGGTGTTTCTGAATTTAGGGTGCATATATACAAACACACACACACACCCCAAAAGGGTAACTTGTATTTTTGGCATTTGAAACAAAAGGAGAAAGATCGTGTATACCAATGGGGCTTAAGTTTAACGGCAGGATAGTGTCCGTACGATATAATCTGTCGAAGGAATTGTCACGCAAAGACTTTAATCGGATGTTACGTTTTCGACATGACCACTCGAGTACATTCATCTAAATTTATTGTTCCCCCGTACATTTTCCGACACCATACGATACAGAACCATAAGTCTCAATAATGTCATATCAAACTTGTAACGTTTGTACCAAATAAATATATATCGTTGTGTGCATTGGTAGGATTACTGTTTTCTCTCTTCCCGAAATAATCTATGATCAATCCATTAATTATAATTTTCACTTTCCAAGTTTATAAAACGAAGGGATAGTTTATAAAAAATACTAACACATATGAATGTTAGCTGATGAACGGTCTTAAATACCGGCTGCCACTAATCACGATATCAATTGAATTATTAATATTGTATCATACTCATGCATGTTGTTGACTGCATTCCAAAATCAATCTAACCATATCAGCTGACCAATCAAAACGGTCTAAACTTTCAGTTTAATTTTTTTAGTCTTAATAAATATTTCGAATTTCGTGAACCGTAATTTCAGCATGGAACAAAATTGAGTAATTAAAGAGCAAGTGAAGTGTATCCAGCTCTCGTGAACAAAACGATCAGAAATCTTCTGAATGTTTTATATATTCACGTTTTAGCAACTGGAAGGTTAACACAAATATCTATCACGTGTCGGTTACCTTCATCATTGGTACGTCATTCTGTAACCCTGTATCAATTAATATTTATACACACACATATCTAAAAATTCTGTCCCTTTTCGGTCCAATTGTGTATTTTATTAATTAAAAAATAATAATTAGTCGTTCTTCTAGCAAAAAATATACTTGTTTTCAAAACAAAAAACAAATCTTCCAAACAGTGATAACAAATAATACCCCGACCTATTTATTCAGGAGGTGAATATTAAATCGATAAAATGTGAACTTTCCGAGGACCCAGTTAATATATATATATATATATGTATGTATATGAGTGCGTGAGTGTGTATATATATTTTTGTTATCCTTAATGATGATATTAAGATGGTTATAATATATACTGATATTGCTTTTGCTATATATATCCAAGCATTTTTTTTTACTTGTTAGCGAACATACAAAAACACGAAGAGGATATTAAACACATTACATGCACGCGTATACGTGTATACATACATAAGTATATACATGTGAAAAAAAAATTAGCTCCTTTTTTTAAAATTTGGAGAAAGAGGATGTTTGGTTGTGGTGTGATGGGGACAAAATCTGATATAAATCAATACGCTTGATTTTTGTCCATTATCCTCAATGTTCTTATTGTAGTTAGGTTTTGGAAAGAAGAAGAAGAAAAAAAAAAAGCTGTCGTTTTATTAACTGCGCTTTGCCGTTTTGTGTTTGTTCTTCTTCCCTTTTCTCGACCCTTTTCTCGTTGCTTCTTTCCCCAGTTTCCTTCTCCGTTGTCAGAAATAGAAACCCATTATCGTGTCTATCTTTCTCAAAAAAGCCGATACATGTGCACGTATACATGTATATATTCGTTTGTGTAAATGCATATGGTTTTGATTGTCTATATATTAACCCAATGGGACAAATTTACATTATGTCCAAGAGTTCGAGCTTTTGTTTTACATGTTTGTTCGAATCCACCACTTCATCTTCTCTGGGTTTTTTTTTTTAAAAGTTTGAGCAGTTTTTGACTGAATCTTTATTTGACAAAAAAAAACTTTAGGGAAAATTAATAAGAATGGAATAGATAATCAAAATCTACCCGTCAATGAAATAAATAACTCACAACATCCCATATGAAATTATTCCCAATTTTAGTTAAATTTGCAAATCATTGGCATTCCGGCATATAATACATGGAGGCAAGTCTCTCTCCGCCTTAAAGTGAAGCGCGTGGGGGTCACGCAAAATAGAGTCAAATAAACAAGGCGCGTCACATGAAAACATAATGGGCTTTGGCCCATCATTGAAATTGGGTTTTCAGTTAATGTCGGGCCCACGATTTTCTAAATAACAAAAATTATATTACGCATTGATGGGCTGATGGGTCTATTGAGAACTTCGAAGCCCAAATATTTACATTAACACATGTTACAAGTCAAAAGATGACTGGGCAGAACTGAGATACTGCAGAGGTTCGTAAACGGTGTCGTTTGTTAGATTGATGTTTCACTTGTTTGGGCCGAGCCCAACATGAAGCCCAAGTAACCGGAAATCTTTTTTTTTGGGGGTAAAGAAAAATGAAAAAAAAAAAAGGGAAAGGAAAGAGGCCAAGTAACCGGACAAGATACGTAAGAGACAGGAGATATCTAAAATTCGGCAAAACTGACTTTGTTGTCTGAATCCTTACATTTACAACTCTTGTCAACTATACCATTTTTGCATGTTTTTCTGCGCTTCTCTCCCTCCCTCCCTCCCTTCCTTCCCTCCCTCTCTCTCTCTCTCTCTCTCTCTCTCTCTCTCTCTCTCTCTCTCTCTCTCTCTCTCTACACACAACAAGTATTTGAAAACTATGTGTATGTATGTATACAAAGGAAAACTAAAATGCAATAATACGAGTGGTATTTTCTAGAAAATTTTCTGATTTCTTGCGAAAGCTACACGCTTTTCTAATATTTTAAAAAATAGTTTAAAAAGAATTTTTCATTCGATATTTTCATTTTTTTATTATAATTCTTCAGATTCTTTTTTTTTTTTAAAAAACACTAAACCAATTGATTTTTAGATTTCAGATATGATAATATATAATCATTCCATTTGGCTCGATTCGATTTATGTACCGGAATTGAAATGGCATCTCCTGTGATCTCATGTGCAAATATAGAAAAGGAATCAATGCCCCAAAACGAAGATGGTACTATCTATACATGCAAAATAAAATTTAACGTGGATAAATGAATATGTTTTTTTCTTCTCCCGATTTCATATATATAACAGTAAAACCCACAAAGTGAAATCTCATTAGGGGATTCGGAATCTTTATAAATGCCGAGAAATAATAATTACGGACAAGGTTTGAAAGCAACGGCTGCATGTTCCACGACAAGCTCCAGGGTACGTACTTGATTTTTGAAGCACCAGTTAGGCTTTTTATATTTGAGGGGGACCATTTCAAATTTAATATATATATATATATGTTCTGAATATTATTTACTCTCAAAACCATCATAATGACTCGGTTTCTCATTATAGTGACAATGCATGTGATTCAATCTCTATTATAATTAGGGATGTCAATTAAGCCCGGAGCCCGAAACCCGGCCCGAGCCCGCCCGAAAATTATAAGGATATGGGCCTAAAAAATGTAGGCTCATTAAACTTCGGGCTTTCGGGCCTCGGACCAAATGGGCTACAGGTCGGTCGGGTCGGGCCAGTCGGGTCTCGGACCGGGCTTGAGGCCCGTTAATTTTTTTTGTTTTTTCTAACCTTCTTTTCTAAACCAAAGTTTTACCTCTCTATACTTATAAATATGTGTGCCTAAATATATATATATATTTGAACCAAATGATGAACTTTTAGTTTACATTTTAGAAAGGGTAGAAGTTTTCAAATATATATATTTTTAAACCTTTGTTTGTAACATATTGATTTTTTTTCTATAGGTTTTAAATTAATTACATCATAGAATTTCTTTTTATATTATGTTTGTTATTTTTTTATCACGTTTAAAAGTTTTTAATCGCATATTGTGGTGTTGGAGAATTGAACAATTGGATAATTTTTTTAATTTTATTTTTATTTGTGAACTAAATAACTTTGTTGTTATCGGTTTTAAAAATATTTTTGTTGAATGTTTCATATTATTATTATTATTATTATTATTATTATTATTATTATTATTATTATTATCGCAAAAAAAAATATTTTTATTTAATAAAAAGCCCGAAGCCCGGTCCGAACCCGCCCGAAGCCCTGTAGGGCCGAGTTTCGGGCCATCGATCCTAGACCCGAAAAATAAATGGGCGGGTCGGTCCGGCCCGAAAAATTCTAGGCCCAAATTGAACCCGGCCCGACCTGCCCATTTTACACCCCTAATTATAATCACATGTTACATCAATTTCAATTCGACGTAATCTTTCTATACATGTATGTGTATACGCTTAATTTACTGCTTTGTTCAAATGGGTCATCGAGCTGATAACATAATTTATAGAATCGCGAGGAGATGATATTATGGGCATGATGTTGTATTAGATCATCGTACCAAAGTTATTGAATGCGAAGGCACAATTCCGTGTGATACGAATAATAATCATTCTACAGCATATCAAGGACTCCGAATGAAAAAAAGAATAACGACTTCCATAGGAATATACATATATATGGTCTATCATTCAAATATAATTTAAAACACTCATAACCGTTAAACAATACCTAAATGCCTTGTGTCCTCTCAAGTTGATCCTCCTGCACAAAATCCATGAATAGAACGCTCCTTTTTTTTTTCGGGGTTCTTAACTTATAGAGAGAGAGAGAGAGAGAGAGAGAGAGAGAGAGAGATTTGTATTAGAAATCAATTGGCAGAAGAACTGCAAGAGAACTCACGAAGCTCCTTTTTTTCTCTACTACATCTTCACTCCGACAAACCTTCGCCTTTTGCTTCTGTTCTCTTTTGGCACCACAAACGCCATGTACATGCCCCCTCTCTCTCTCTCTCTCTCTCTCTCTCTCTCTCTCTCTCTCTCTGAAAATCTTGTGAAACGATACATATCTTTCATTTTCAAATGATCTTTCTACGTTAAGCATGGATTCTAATCTCTTTCATCGATGATCTAATTAATATATTGCAGGAGACCTAAAGATAATAACCCTCTGGATCTCAACAATTTACCCGATGACTCTTCTAGAGACCCTCGCCCTGTCTTCGACGAAGGCTCCACATCATCCGGTATGTGCTATACACTTCCTTTTTTTTTTCTTTTTGAAAAATAAATAATATTAAGAAACGCTCATATCAAAAATAAATTCCGTAGAAATCACAAAGAAATAAGTAAAAGGGCGGTTTTCACTTTTACAATCGAGATCTTCCACTTTTTGCATTGAATGGTAAATAAAACCCTAGAAATGCATATCTTTTAGGTGTTTGTTTGGTTTAGGGCATGGATTAGGGCCCGTGTGATTCTCTTTTTCGTCATTGTTTGGTGAAATGAAAAACCTTTTTCCTTTGAGAAAAAAAAAACATTCGATTTAGCCGCATAGCTTGTGAGGGTACCCATATGCTGATGAAAAATGATACATAATCTATTATTAGTATTGTGGATTTTATTTCCTAATAAATTTCTTTAATATAAATTATGGTTATAGGAGTGACAAGGGAGATGCAGATCAAGGACGGGGGAAAGAGTACGAGTGCAGATTTTGTTCCCTCAAGTTCTGCAAATCCCAAGCTCTCGGTGGTCACATGAACCGCCACCGACAAGGCAAGCCCTATTACATATTTACACACCATATTAATATATTTTTTTGTCATGATCACAATTATATATTGGTCGATCGTCATATATTTGTGTATGTATATTCTATGATTTTGATTTTTCCTTTTTCTCTTTTTGATTTGGTTTTCATTTTTGGATCGATGGATCAATTAGAGAGGGAAACGGAGTCACTAAACAAAGCTCGTGAACTTGTTCTTCGCAACGACAGCTTTCCAGCTCCACAAGGAACCCCGGCGTTTTGGTAGATTTCTCTCCCACCGATTTTGATATTTAAAAAAAAAACGTTATACTATCTTTTAAATTTTGTAACGTTGTTTCTTTATAAACATTTTCATTTCAAACCAATATGTCACGGCATTAAATATGTACATGTATATAGCTATCATCCAACAGGCGTGCATATAGGTGACACGTCACCGTATAGACCGATGTACCCTCCAAGGCTATTCTCCACCGTTCTTCCACAGCCGCCGCCGCTGCTGCCGCCGTATGTTTATCCTCCGCCGCCCCAGTTTCCTCACTACCATACCAACGAGTACTATTTAGGCCACAACGGTGAAGGGGTGGAATTACCATCGTGCCCTTCTCACCAAACCCTAAACCACTCGGCTGCAAGTGGTGCGCCGCAGGGGCCGATCCACGCCATCATAGGTGCACCTATAGCCCGTGGCCGAGGCGTCCATCCTCTTCTTCGGCCGCGTCAAGGGTTGTAGGGAATGAAGAAAATGTGGGTATTGTTGGATCAAAAACCTAATAATAATTTTAAATGGCATTGTTGGGAGCTTACGGTAATATTGAAGGAGACATGACAAAGCGAGAAAATGACAAAGAGAGAGAAAGAAGAGTGTCATGCAATTGGAGTCAAGTATTTGGGATATGAATCGGAGCAGCTTTTATCTGTATTTAATTTTTCTTTATCTGCTACTTTTGTCTTGGAGCTGTTTTTGGAGACCACAAAGGGCCTTGTGTCTTTTTGTGAGTCTTGTTCGATTTTTATTTTTATTTTTTCAATTTGTAATGAGAAGGAAAAAAAAAAAAAGACTAACTAGAGAAAGGGAATCAATCATAAGGGACAAGTAGTTAGATTTCGACTGAAATTGTTGATCCCTAACTTTTTTATATATGTATATATATTTGGATATGATCGGTCCATTCTGCATGGCTTTGACTTTCAACTTCTTTTTTGCATGCAATATGTGTACCTATGTAATACAAGTATTATCGTTCTAGAGATTACATTTACATCAATACTTAGTCATCGATTATTTGATGTTTCGTTTTGTTCTTGTATTACCCATAATACCTTAGGAAACCAGCTTCTTGTTACATATTGAATTGAAATTGAATTGTAATTTGTATATCTATGCCAAAATATCTTGCTATGATACACTTAAAGTTATCGTAACCATCTACACTATACTTTTCATTTGGATTTTTTTTTTCATCATAAGCATTATTTTTGTTCATTTATAATTTTCTGGATAAATATGTCCGTATCTAGCAATAAGAGTAGTACTGCAACCAAGAAACACATATGGGTATGTGGACCACATGATGATGACCAATGATGCCTCAGCAGAAAATATGAAATCACATTCAAAACGTTAAGAGCTTCGATGTGTTTTAATTTGTGAAAAGTGAATAATGAATTAATGAATCTGGTCACAAAGTAGAAACTGTAAATGATTTTGCATCTGTATATATATACACACACACACACACTATGATCAACAAAGAGATTCGAATCACTTAAAAGTGGGAAGATATGTTAAGCAGAGGCTCATATCTAGGTTTACATGATATATACAAGGAAAAGGAGCTGCGTGGAAAGAAGAAAACTATAGTTTATATAAAAATATGTGAAAGAAAGCCAAAACCCTAATTCGTATACATATATATATATATGTGTGTGTGTGTGTGTATCTCCAGAGAGAGAGAGATATAGAGAGAGAGAGCATGCAAAACAATTGTCAGTATGTACATAGAAATATGTAAAATAGGAGAAGCTGGACTGAGACATGAACACCTGTTGAAGACTCATGATGCAGTTAAGTTTTTTCAGTCTCTCGATGAACCCTACTCTCTAGCATACATATCATAGCTTAGCTCCTCAATTTCACTCCTACCCTAATCCTATATACATATATACACACACTTAATCAAATACTTACACACATATATATGCATATACAGTAGCTTTATACGTGATATACACACCCTAGCACATATTTATATATTACACACAACCATATTATATATACAGAAGAAGGCTAATGGGAGATGCATACATAACATTCGTACAACCATGGAAACGCGCACATCAGTACATGCGTGTATTTGTCTACGTGTATATACATCTACACATTTAATAGTGACATTACAGAGCAGCTTGTCTATTTTGGACCTCGGAAGTACTCTCACCCAAACTCACTTTTTTTTTTTTCATTTAAGAAAACGATATATAAAACGCGATATATATATATATATATATATGTGTGTTATATATATAATTAAAAAAGAAATATATATGGTAGGTATAGGTTAAGAAGGCAGACGGCTTTCAGAATCGAAGAAAGAGGAAAGCGAAGCTTTTTCCTTTTATGTATACATTCTCTAAACTCTCAATTATACACAATTTAGTAGAGTAGGCTGCATCCCTAATTCCTAAACAATGACAAAAACCCATCACTATACATACATTTGCGTGTGCGTTTGGATTCATGAAGTTATTTCATGTCTAAGGTTTGATCATAATTTGGCATCAAGTTATGTTATCAACTAAATACAACCGAATAATATGTAAAAGGAAAATCATATTATCACTATTATTGTCAATCGATGATTGTTTTATTCTATGACAACCGAATAATACGTAGTTCTATATCCCAAAACCCTAATTTCGGAGTGATGCCATATATTGCATGTTATACTATGTGATTCTATTTTTTCTGAAAGAACCCAAACGCAATAGAAAGATATCACATATATTTTTTTATCTTGATTTTTTTGTTATGAAATTATTTTTTCATTTTGCTCGTTCTATATCACACACTGGGAAAATCTCATTGAAGAATTGGGCCGAATTGGGCTGAAACAAATCTTAATGGGCCCTTATTTATTGGACTTAATTGGAACTGAAGGTGTATCATTTATGGTAATGATGATTGGTGACCGAAACCCAAAGGGCCGCTGGCTCAATTCAACAACTCGATTCTACAATAAGATTAAATTATATGATCACCCGCCATTATTATCATTAGTAATAAACGTGCATTGATAATAATTCCATGGATGAACTCCTCAGCATACGATCCAATCAATGTCCTAATTCGAGTATGTGATTAATTTAACGCTTGAAAAAAAAAACTTTTCTTATTTATATTCATCATATTACAGATTTGGGATCTTTTTTTTTTTTTGTTAAACCAGATTTGGGATCTTTGCCTATCGATTCTCCAACAAATGAACCCTGCGTTTTTTTTTTGTTCGGACCACATCGTAACACCGGAAATGCAGCTTACTTGTGATCCAAGAAACTGGATCAATCAAGAAACAAAAGAAATCGCTCGCCTGAAACTCCGAAGACGAGAGCTAGGAGAAGCACTCTTCTCAGAATGTTCCATGGCTAACCCTTGAGCTCCGAAGCATAAATACCTGTTCACGAACTTCTTGTCTCTTGGAGAAGAACCACCTTGTTTCTTCATCGAAACCGGTGTTTTGTCGGTTCTTTCTGACATCTCCGGCGTCGTATAACCTGACGATACTCCCGAGAAATCGGCGATCGGAGGCGAGAATATGAATCGAGGCGTCTTATGAACCACGACGCCTTTCATCAACCCTTCTGTGAATTTCATCCTTACCGATAAACTCGGGAGATCGCCATTGTTGCTTCTCATCGAAATCGTTCTTCCTTCGCTTCCTTTATAGGATGGCGATCTTGAATACATCTCTCTTAGAGTCACGCGCCCATCTCTCCAGTCATTTTCGCCGGAAAAGTCGCAATCTTTACCGGTTTCTTCTCTTTTCGCGGCCGGACGTAACAGAAGCTTCAGGCGAGACCCTGCCCATTTCTGTTTCGTGGGCACTGAATTCGCATTGGTGGTATCGTAACTATCTCTTTCGTCGGGGCTGGCGAATAGAAAGATTTCGGAATCGGAAATCTTGAACAAAGTTCCCGGACTTCCGCAGAATCCATACTCTTCTCTGGGCATGTAACCCCTTTCCGGTCCGTTGGATCGGCCGCCGGCTGAAACGAGCCGTTTGATCAAGATCTCGGTAGACGGAGACTTAGGCCGTTGCTTCTGAAGCAGATCAACCGGCGTCATACCATCCGAATCAATAACATTCAGATCAATGCCGGGAATTTTCATCAAAAGCTCGACGATTTCCACTCTAACGGCGTTAATACCCTCCATCACGGCCAAATGAAGAGCTGTTTTTCCGTTATTGTTCCTGAAGTTGACGATCTGTCGGACGTTCGTGAAGATTCCGGAAGCAAGATGGGTCAAGAGCTCCATCTGACGGTCGAGTCTCTTGAATCCAGAAACGGCGAAACCGGACACGGCCGAGTGGAGGAAGGTGTAGCCATTGCTGTTGGAAACGGACATCAACGAAGGAGATGCCCGCAACAGCGCTTTCACGACAGGTAAATGGCCCTTGTAAGCCGCTACATGTAAAGCCGTGTTCCCGTTTCTGTCTTTTGCATTTGTGATTTTCTCATACTTTGATATTAGATACTCCACAACCTGCCCAATCATATAGAATTCAAAAGGACACTTCGAATTAAAGTCGGTCCATATAGAAATATTATGTCTTGTTACATTGCACGAGTTATTTATTGACATGGCTATTTAATAACTTACTTCAACTTGGCCGCTGCTCGAGGCAGAGTGCAAGAGGGAGGCGCCTTGGGCGTCTCTGAGGCCCAAAACGATGTCGTATCTCCACGAATGCAATAGCTCCTCCATCAACGCCACGTGTCCTCCTCTCGCAGCTCCATGAATGCCCCTCTTCGCCATCTCCTCTTTCACAGCCAACTGTTTCTCCGTCAGCTTCTCTTCTTCTTCCTTTTCACCTTCGCAGGAGATTCCCGCTGGCAACAAAGCGAAGTCCATAATCAGCTGGAAAACGTCACGGTTTCTCCCACGCGCCGCCGCATAGAGGATATCGGTGACGCCATACTCTCCTTCTCCGAATACGAGTAGTGGGTCTCTCCCCACAAGCTTCTTCACGAACCCCAAATCTCCGGCGGAAGCCGCCGTGTACAGGAGCCGCCCGCCGTAACCAGCTCTGACGAGGGAGTTGCCTCCGCCATCGCCGGATGATTCGCACTCTTCTAGAAGCTTCCGTGCCACGTGGCATCTGTTTTGCGCCACGTCATCGCCGTCGCCGTCGTCCCACACGGATTCGAGGCGGCGGATGCGGCGGAGGGAGGTGAGCTTGATGAGGAGGTTGGCGTCTTGGTGGAGGAGCTCCAAAACGACGTCGAATAAGCCGTTCGCGGCGGCGATGTCGATCGGCGCCGCGTCCCACCACTGGTCTCCGGTGCTCTCCCACCGGAGTGGAAATAACGGCGGGGCCATTGGGGTATAACCGGTTCGGTTTAGGCGGTAATCGGGATTTTTTCTGGTTTTGGTGAAATAAAGACTGTTTTGAGGAAGACCCAGAATCCAGAATTTACAGGGGATGGATACAGAGGGAAATTCCCAAGAATCAGGTAGAAATTCGATAAAATGGGTATTGGAGAAAAGAAGGGTGAAATCAAGAACTCTAATTTCAAGATTGAATGTTCAGAGATTGATAAGAGAGAGAGAGAGAGAAGGATTAGAAGGAAACGAGAGGAGAGAACGAACAGAAAGTGACGCAGCACAAGGCAACAAAAAGGAAAATACCCAGAGGATTGTGTTGTAGCGAAAAAAAACTTTTTTTTCACCAAAAGAAAAAAAAAACAAGAGGAGAAAAGTTTTTTTTTTTTTTTTTTTTACGTGCATAGAAAATGTTAAGATTCCATTCCCGTGGGCGACTGGCGTGGGATAGAAGTGGTGAGTGGACCAAAGCAAACTGTGGAAAGGCTTGATTTTTGTTTCTATTTTTTCTTTGGTATGTCACGGATGGTAAGTAATGGAGGTTTGAAGAGAATACTGTTGAGAATAATAATCATAAAAGTCTCTCTTTATATATATATATATAAGTACTGATTGATTAAGAGGATTCACATGAATTGGATCCCTAAATACAATGGTAGTAAGTTGGGAGATCATATAAATGGACCGACGGCCTCTTGTCGGTGCGATATATTTGGCATCCAAAGGCGCATGTGCCCCGAATCAATCATATGTTTCTGCTTCTCTTTTGTTTTTGTTGTTGTTAAATGTCTGTTTTTTGTTGGCTTCACCCAAAAAAGGTTACAACTTTGGACACAAGAATCAAGATTAAATAAAAATACAAATTAAGATTGTATAAAAAGAGATATGATTTATTTGAATAATTTATTGGGGAAAAAAAACTTTGGATCTGGAGCCGGTAAGAGTTTCAGAGACATATTCACGTGAAACTCAGATTCCAAAACGAGTCAGAGAGACGACACAAGCACTTGTCAACTGAATCTCTCATACTGCAAACAGTATCCTACAACATGATGGTTCAGTTCCACTTCTGTTTCTGTATATTTACATCTGTGTCATAATCGTTTTGATTGGTTGCAGAGTAGCAAAACCTAGCTGTGATTTGATCATATGCTCCGTTCAAAACTCCAATGTGGGTTCATCCTCTTCCTCTAGAGACCCTGCAAATTTTTGCCGAAATCCAATGTGATTTGATCATATATATGTACATATATATATGTAATGATCTGATTCACCAGAAAACCAGCCCTTGATTCTCCACAAACATTAGAGTTATGCAAGAATCAAGATAGATAGATAGATAGATAGATAGAAGAAATAGTGGGTTGCTTCTGCTTCCACTTCTCTTTCTGGACAGAACTCCTTAGGACGTACTGAAAACAACATATGAGGAGGGACACAACTCGGGAAAGTTGTAACGGAACACAAAGCATAAAGCTTCATACCTTCTTCATGATGTTATCAATCCTCTCGGCGGCCTCATCCATATTCTTCTGCTTGACCTCTTCCAATAGCAAACGACAAGTCCGATACCTAGGTGTCAGATCTTGGCTGATCATCTCTTCGAAAAGGTTGTAAGCCCATTCGCATCTGTTTCCTCTGCATAAGCTCTGTATCAGGAGAGTATAGGTCGATTCATCGAGACTGATATTATGTTTGTTCACCATTTTATCCAATAATCTTCTCACCCCATCCATGTCTCCTTTCTTAAAGCACAATTTCAGCAAAGGGTGATATGTATGAGCATCTGGGTCACACAGCTTCAAACTCTCCATTTCATCGAGGATTTCAAAGGCCTTCTCTTCCTGATTGTGATGGCAAAACATAGCAATCATTGAGTTGTAGGTTGAAGCACTTGCAGGGACACCAAGTTGAGGCATCTCATCTCTGAAGACATGAATAGCTTCTTCTAATTTACCAGCTCGAGAGAGTGTATGGATCAAGCAGTTGTAGAAAAAGGTGTCGGGTTTACAACCTGCTTTTTTCATTCTATGAGCTACCCGTAAAGCCGACTCATACTCCTTATGCATAGTGAGTGAACTCATAATAGTGGTGTAAGTGACGGCATTCGGAGGACACCCATTAGCTTCCATTTCATCAAGAACCTCATAGACCTTGACATAGTTAGATTCTTGGCAATAACAACGGATAATCGTAGAATAGCTAATAACACAGGGACAACAGCCATGTCCTTTCATCTCTTGAATTGCCCAGTGAGCCTCATCGACTCTATTTGCCCTACACCAACCGTGAATGAAAATGTTAAAAGTATGTGCATTTGGTCGAATGTGTGACTTAAGCTCTAAGAAAACTGATCTGGCCAGTCCCACCTTGTTTTCCTTGCAAAGGGTACCGAGCAATATGTTCATAGATTCAGTGTTCTTCTCCAAACCAAACTTACTCAACTCATCAAACATTCCAACAGCATCTTCCCATTTCCCTGCACCAGACAATCTCCTCATTACCTTAGCAATCGTGTTGTGAGTGACGAGATTGTCTTTGCGCATTCTGTAAACCAACTCGATCATTCGATCCCATTTCTTTGCCTTTCCGAGAATATCCACCACCGTATCATACGCATCCGATGAATGTTTATACCCTCTGCATGATTCAGCCCACTTCAGAACACCAACAGCGGATTTCCAGTCATCTTTAAACCTAAGAAGCAGCTTCTGGACCAAACTCTCAGAGAGCTTTATGGTATCACAAGCTTTGTCGTGGGCTAGACGATGAAAAACCTCATCTTCGTTACCTCTATCGCCAACTATAGATAGAATAGCATCAAAATCAGATCTTTCAGACCGCCCAGCTTCTATCAAACTTGAAGATTCAAGTGTTTCAGGTAAAGCTTTGGAAGCATTAGAGAAATTTCCGATGGATGAAGGGGAAATAGCAAAAGAAACCGATGAATTACGGCGTAACCAAGTGCTTCCATGGAGATTTCGCAGACGAAAAAACATCAGAAGAGCAGGAAACTAAAAACCCAACACAGGTGGCTTCAACTGCGGCAACAGAAAGCTGCAAACAAACAAACAAGAAAGATCGTTGTTTCAGTATCGGAGAACATCAGAGAGATTAACAAAAGAAGAAAAAAAAACGAAGACCCAGAAAAATTCAAATCGAATAGGAAGCCGGAAAAAAATCGAAACAGATATGAGCGACACAAACCGAATCGCTCGTCTCGAAGTTGGTCGGCTTTGTCACGGCGAGGAAGATGGTGACGACGGTGACCGTCGACCCTAAAAACTTTTGAGGGTTTTTGTTAGGGCCGGGAAGTTAAACACTCATGGCCCAATAACGAGCCTATAAAGTAAGCAAGTGGGCCCATCTTTTTTGCCTACCATTTATACAGCGAGTTAAAGCCTACGCGCATAGATGGCGCGTGATCTTCACCGACCCAACCTCGGTTATCCCACAACAACGACTAGGGTAAAATCCGATTCATGGTATAAATCGCATCTTTGATGTGGGCATGGTATCTTATGCACGGAAGAGAATATGAGAGCTTTCTTAGTTTCTTCGTTTCCCTTGTAGTTGAAAAATATCGAGCAAGAGTGTTTTAGGTATGATTTAGTCGGCCCGGAAGTTTCGGGCTCGGGTTCGGGCCAGCCCGATTTTTTTCGGGCCTATGTACTTAAGCCCGAAGCCTGATCCTATGCACTCCGGGCTCGGGTCAGACCAGACCGGGCCGGCCCGCGGATTTTCTTTGTAAATGTTATTTTTTTTTTCTTTTTTTTATTAAATTTTCGGACTTTCGGACCGGTCCGATTCGAACCCGAAACCCAATTTGAGCCCGGCCCGAAAGCCCGATTTTTTTCGGGCCAAGAAACTTCGGCCCGAAACCCGCTATTTATCGGGCTGGACCGGGCCGAGCTTCGGAACTCGGACCCAAATTGACACCCCTATGTTAAAGTCTTCTTTGTTATTTTTTTTTTATCCATTCGGCATTTTTTAAACCAATAATATAACCAGTTAAATTTTGCAACGGACTAATTAAAGAACAGCAGGCGAGAGAGAAATAAGGGGGGAGAGAAACCAGAAATGGAACTAAAAGACCATAAATCACTATTTCTCAGTCATAACATGAAACAACACCAAGCGAGAGGTGGTTTTTGGGTTGAAACCCATCTGAGAAAACCAAAAAAGGGTAGAGTAAAGGAACAAACAAAACGCCGACAAACGAACTCCCCATAGCCGATGCAGGAAACCACCGGCGACCAAACCTAACGAAGGGACATGAGTTGTTTTTTTATTGAGAAGCACAAAATCCAGACAACAGGTGATCACGATGATGACGGGTTTAGGGTTTAGGCCTTGGACATGTGAACGATCAAGTCGACGACACGGGTACTGCACATCAACAAAGACGGAGGGAACCCATATTAGTTAATATAGTAATAAGATCAAAATCCACTATAACCACGAGTGAAGGCGAAAACGTACCTGTAGCCCATCTCGTTGTCGTACCAGGAGACGACCTTGACGAAGTTCTGGCTCAACGCAATTCCTGCCTTCGCGTCAAATATGCTCGACCTGCCCATCATTACAAAAACCCATCTCACCTTTGTCAGAACAAGATATAGTGTTGACTCTGAATCTTAATTTCATTTCAACAAATTAAGAAGCAAAGCTTTAAACTACATATCAAAGGGGGGATATATTGTACCTGCTGTCACCAACAAAGTCGGTCGAAACAACATCATCCTCAGTGTATCCCAAGATGCCCTTCAGCTTGCCTTCAGACTCCTCCCTGTTGTACAGTTTGATTATGAGAATTACAAAATCATGATGTTTAAACGCCAACAAAGAAAATCGCAAAGGGTTACAATAGGAGCAAGCTCTTACTTGATAGCCTTCTTGATGTCATCGTATGTGGCAGCTTTCTCAAGTCTAACAGTGAGGTCGACAACCGAGACGTCCACTGTAGGAACACGGAAGGACATTCCGGTCAACTTCCCGTTGAGAGCTGGGAGAACTTTGCCGACAGCCTTCACAAACATGAAAAAATCATCAGTCAAGAAGAAAACCCAACCCATTAAATAAAACACAGTAACTTGTTTTTACAATCTCATAAACAAAAGACATTCATGAGCAGTCACCCAGCTGCCCGATTACCTTGGCAGCTCCAGTGCTGCTAGGAATAATGTTGAAGGATGCAGCCCTTCCACCTCTCCAGTCCTTCATGGATGGACCATCAACAGTCTTCTGAGTAGCTGAACCACCACAAATCATAAGTTAAGGCAAGTAATAAGCCACACATTCAGTTCAAACCAACTCAGGTAGACAAAAAAGCTATCGAAGAAGCCAAGAAAATTTACCAGTGATAGAGTGGACAGTGGTCATAAGCCCCTCAACAATTCCAAACCTGTCATGAATAACCTGCACATACACCACATGGAAGCATATTAAACCTCAAGATTCGAACACAAACTAAAGATTATTATGGCCAGAGTAAAACCTTGGCAAGGGGAGCAAGGCAGTTGGTGGTGCAGCTAGCATTGGAAACAATGTCAAGCTCAGGCTTGTACTCGTGCTCATTGACACCAACGACGAACATGGGTGCATCCTTGCTTGGGGCAGAGATGACAACCTTCTTGGCACCACCCTATATAAAGAAAAAACCATTCAACTAACATTAGCTTTCGTGACCTTCGAACAATGTAACCCATTGCATTTATATACATTCTTCGCCTCTTCAGCACATGAACAACCTAGTAGTGCAAGCATAAACAGATAATCCCTTGAGCATTATTACGCTGATACATTTACCTAGGCAGATTAACGCTTTAGAGATTGTTCATTGCCACACACCAACTGATGAACTAAATGCTTAACAATGATCTAGACATCATGCAGATCCAATCCGCCACTATAGTGCAGTACACAAGAATCAACACATCAACCTCGATCATGAGGCTAAATAAAATTCGCTACAAACAAAACAAACCTTCAAGTGGGCAGCAGCCTTGTCCTTGTCAGTAAAGACACCAGTGGACTCGACAACATAGTCAGCACCAGCCTGAGCCCATGGGATATCCTCAGGGTTCCTGTACACAGACAAGGATCATGTATCAGATTAACCAGTACCAATCACAATGAAACATATTTACAAATGACAGATCAGAAGATATACCTGATACCGAAAACAGTGACTGGCTTCTCGCCAAAGAGAAGAGTCTTCTCATCCTTAACTTTGAGTTCGTTGTGCTTCCACTGACCGTGCACACTGTCGTACTTGAACATGTAGGTCTGCAACAATCATACACACAGCATGAGATAAAATCGTCGTAATTCAACCCCAAATCAAAATGGCCAACTAGAATTAAGCATGTAAAATTCATTTAAACCAATTCCAAACCAAACCAACAAACAGATCACATCACCCACACACTGGAAACAAGTACTAAAAAGATATTTAAATATTCAGACAAGAAAACATAGATTTCGCATCATCGAAATGATAAAACCACTCCAGATCAAAGAAACATCAGAAGATAGGATACGAACCATGTAATCCGTGGTGATGAAAGGATCGTTGACAGCGACGAGCTCAACATCGTCCCTCTGCAAGATAACTCTAGCGACCAAACGACCGATTCTTCCGAATCCTAATATTAACAACGAAACGAAGTCAGATTCGGTAGATCTAAACAACCAACATCACAAAAACCGAAAAAAACATGATCGGTTACTCACCATTGATTCCGATCTTGACCTTACCGCCAGCTACACAAAACAAAAACAAGATAAAAACACGATCAGAACAAGCAAGCAGCGAAGAAATCAGAGATCAAAACCATAGTGGAGTAGAAGAAACTCACCCATCGTAAGATCAGAGAGATGCGAGAGAAATGAACTGATGAAATTCGAAGAGAGGGGCGTTTCAGGGAAATGATTTGTGAAGGTTTTGTGAGGCTTTAGGGTTATTTAAAAGAGAGGGAGGAGAGGTTAACGATCCAGTGGTCGAGAATTTTGCTTGGGAAAAAAGTCAGATCTGATTCACTATTTTGGCCGAAATGACATTATTACCCATCATTTCTATGTTTATTTCCCATTTTGAGCCTTCCTCTTAAGCGCTAATGGCATGATTTACAATAGAAAAAAAATAATTTTTTTTCTAAAAAAAGGTTGCAGGGTTAGGTGGCGACTGCATCTCACGCGCCAGACGTGGAATATTCGAGATCGAAATCCCATGGGCTGGGCCGGCGCACACAAACTCAAAACGCAGCGGATTTGGAGAGGATTCGTTACAACCAATGAGTATCCGCCACGTCGCAGTATGTCCATCTTCTAGATTGTTCCATGTTTCTAGAATCGTAACGCCACACCAGGACTTGGGTCAAGAACAACGTAACATTTTGGAAAGTTTCAAAAAAATTGGTTGAAAAAAATATAATTAAATTTGGACAAATGAATTTATTTTATAAAATCAGAATTTAAATTTCTTTGTAACAATGGACTGCGACACGTATATGCATATTCTCAGTGTGATATCTTTTTTTGGTTGGCTTATGGCATGACTCTTGGCCTTTGCCAAAAGTCTTCTGCATCTCGTCCTCATAATTTATCTTTTAAAAAAATTATATGAAAATAAAATTCGTAATTGAGTTTATATTTTAAATGTGATCATATCATAATTTCACCAATACGTATCTCATCATCCGTGAGTGATGTTTGACTCGAGCCGCAATTGAACAGCCACCAAATTTCGTGATTTTATCTAACATATACCACCATCCTAAATAAACTAGATTTTTTCAAAATGGATGAATTATATATATATTTTTTCAAAATTCAAATATAGTATAAAAAACCAACCCAACAAAAAATATTATGAAATTAAAATATTGATCTTTATTTTGGGATTGAAATGGAATAAGTATATGCTGAAATAGTACAACGGTAGAAGAATAAAAAATTATCAATAATAAAAGCATGAAAGTGGCACTTGATAATGATTGATGCGTTATGTGATAAAAAAATGTTCATATATATATTTATATAAAATAAAAGTATCTGACAAATGAAAAATGTAATTTTTTTTTTGTTCATAAGAGGCGCGCGCAAATCACGTACGGAAAATGGACATAACAAAAAGGGTTTGACTGGTTGTACCGCAGCGGTTGCGGTTGCGGATGACAATGTTTTCAGAACGTTTGATAGCGATTATAAATTATTAATTCTGACTGGTTAAAAAATTGTTGTTGATAACGATTACGGGTGGGTGCAGTTAGAAGTGAATGGTTTATTACGGTTACGGTTGCGTTTTGATATAAATTATCAAAAAAATATTATTTTAAAATTATTTTGTATAATAGTTTTAATTAAATTTTTCGTATCATTTGATAAAAAATATTTACTAAATTTATAATAATTAAATAATAAATTAAAATATAAATATTATTAATTTAATTTATTTTTAAGTAAAAAAATAATTTTATTATAAAAATTATTAAAAATAATCATTATTAAATCTAAAAATTATACTATTGTATTTTTTATTAAAATATAATACTAAAAAATAATATAAAATCATAACACTAAACAAAATCATCACCGATATGTATATTAATGTTTTATATAATTTCTAATAAAAATATTATAGTTTTTTTGTCAAAACGCTAGAAACCGCTACCAAGACGCAAGTTGGAAGCTGAGATTAGAAAACACAAGTTTGGTTGCGGTTGCGGTTGGTTGCAGTTCAACCAGTCAGCTTTTCAATCGTCTACAACCGCCGAAAATCGCAACCGCTCTGTTTGCAGGTGGCGACGGTGTCGGTCCAAGATGTTGAGAAGAAATAGATGGTCTTTTAAAGCCCATTAATAGAAGGCCCAACATTTGGGAACATGATTAACAAAATCCCATTTTTTTTATTTCAAAAAATACAGATTATATATGTATATATCATTTTTTATTCGATTTAACACTATTTATTTATATTAAGTTTTTTGAGTTTTTATTAATAAAAAGTTCTCTAAAAAAATCCAATTTGTTTTAAAACTGAATTCATTTTTGGGCTATAATTTTATATTTTTCGATTTGTACTTATTGCATTCTATTAAGATGATGCCGAGCCGAGAAAGAGCAACATAATAAACAGGCATCACAAATTTTAAGATTCTCGAAATAACCATTTTTATTTAGGAAAGTGGTGGCAATATTCAGCATTATATGTAATAATACATGTATCTATATATCTGCGTTTGTGCGTAGTTGGAAAAATAACTTTTTTTTGGAAAGCCCACAAAATTAACGTTCATAATAAAAAAATATTTAATTGCGAGAAAATTATATTTAAAAAAAAAAAGAAATTTCAATCGACGGAATTGACCGTTGGAAGGCCACTACTGTGGAGTGTTCCGTTGGCCTCCGAAACTAGCCGTTGCGTCTTTTCCTCTTTTTAATTTATAGTTTCCCTGGAATTTCACTTGCGAAATCCCAGACCAGACCACGCTCTTAAACCCTAGCTCTTCCGTATCGCTCCGAAGAAAATCCTCATTTGCAGATCTACGAATTGTTGCTTCCATGGCGTCGAAAACAGCAGCCAAAGATATAATCACTCTGCGTGGATCCGCGGCCATCGTCAGCGAGTTCTTCTGTGCGTTTTTCTTCCCCAGTTTCTTCGATTTTGCTTCTTCGATTCACTTTGCGCTTTTCAATTATCACTTACAGTTTTTTGATTTTGACGTTTTCTTCCCCAATTTGATGCGTCTTTCAGGTTATGCAGCGAACAGGTGAGAATCGACCGGTCATGGGATTTCGATCAACTTCTCAGTTTAGGGTTTTGTGGCGAGATTGACGGGTTTGTTATTGTTTGATTTAGTGTTCTGTACAACCGTGGAGTTTATCCAGAAGAGAGCTTTGTCAAAGTGAAGAAGTATGGGCTACCGATGTTGCTTAACCAAGACGAAGCTGTTAAGTCCTTCCTCTCCAACCTAACTTCTCAGCTTTCCGGTAAGTCTTCTTCCCGACAGATGGTCACAATTTTGTATTTTTGGGTGTTTAGATAGAAGTTGGTTTCTCTCAGAAGCCATAATCTTTGAGTGAACTATTCCTTGTGTGTGCTTTATCTGGTGAACACTTTTAGGATTAGCAAACAAGTGAGATTGTGTCTTGGGCATTGTCTTGATTTTTGGAAAAAAAAATATGTTTCTATAAAGAGTGGCTTGAGGCTGGAAAGCTGCAGAGAGTGGTACTTGTGATAATGAGCAAGGCGACTTCTGAGGTCTTAGAGAGATGGAACTTCCGCATTGAAACCGATAACGAGGTTGTTGAAAAAGGGTGAGTTTCTGTTTCGGATTTGTGGATATCTGGCTACATAAATGGTTCCAAGAATGCTTGTCAAATGTGTTTAGTTGACTGTATCACCTTTATACAGTGTTTCGAGGGAGAAAAGTGACAAGGAGATCATGAGGGAGATCCAAGCAATCATGAGACAAATCGCTTCCAGCATAACTTACCTGCCATGTCTCGATGAAACATGTGAGAACCTTTGAATACCCTTCATTATATGTCAATCTATATGCAAAGATCCGGAAAGTTTTCAGCTTCATATGAAAACTTTGTTGGTGGCGAATTCAGAAATGTGGTCTCTATGGTTATCTTACTTCTAATTGCGTATTCTTCATTGCTTCGATTAGGTGTGTTCGATGTGTTGGCATATACAGATACGGATGTGGCTGTCCCGTTCACCTGGATCGAGAGCGACCCGAAATTGATTGCCAATCCACAGATGGTTAAATTGCATTCTTTCGACACCAAGGTGAGCAGAGAAAGGAATTTGTATGTTGCTTTGCGATCAGGTTGAGAATTTGAATGTATGATACTATCGGTGTTTATTCTTTTGCAGATTCACAAGGTTGACACGCTAGTTTCGTACAAGAACGACGAGTGGGATGAGGAATAGAACAAAGTTTGGCACTTTCTTCCTCTGCTTCAAGGGCATGTGAATCCTTTATTCACATTTGTCTGTTCTCTCTCGTTCCGACCAAATCTTGTTATAGCAAGAACCTATGTGTTTGTTTGTTTGTTTGTTAAAAAAAATGTCCTCAACTCCCTTGTGTCAAACGGCAACAATATCTACATTTCAAATGTTGTCCAGCCATTATTGTAGTTCTGTATAATCAAATATGATATCTTCAGACCCATTTTGAATTATTATTTTTATTAATTATTATCCCCGGGCCAAAAAAAAAAATAAAATGTAAAGAGAGAAAAAAGGAGATTTTTATATGTACAGAGACCATGTTTGCAAGGGTAAGAAGTGTTCTGAACAGGAAATTCCCCCTCATCTCATTCCTCGATACAAGGCACCAGGTTGAAGATCATCCATATTGTCTATGTTCCGAAACCCATCAAACTCTCTCAGACAACTCCATCCGCGCCGTGCCAGAAAATCGCGGTAATCTTCTTCCGTGTAGAAGATCTTCTCTTCTGTATGGACTGGCAACTGGTCGGAATCATCGTAATGGCACACCTTTATGGCCAGCCCTGAAAATGGGTATTCAAGACGTGCAGAAAAATACCCAAAAGTATATCAATATTCATACATCTCGGAGAGACATATAATATATAGCTGAAAGACTTGGACTTTTTGCAATCAAATTTACCTTCATCGACATGGAGTGTGTAGTTGCCAAGGGGCATGTCTCGGTCAAGACTCCGTACGACTTGTTCATCATCTTCTAGCCAAAAAGCTCGCCTGGTTCTCAACCTAAAAGCAGATCTGATGGCTTCCTTGATTGCTTCTGCAGTACCATCAATTCCAATTCTTCTCGTGTACTCTCCAAATTTCACAGTTATGACTCTCCCACCAAAGGATTGACCATCAGCCGCTGCTGCAAAACAGGAGACAGTGGAGCTCTAACTCTATAGAGAAACCTAACATCATCTCAAGTTAAGATACATAGGCCAACGGATCAATCTGAAAATTTTGAGCTTCCTTACACCATTCTTCGAACATAAAGTTCAAAGCTTGATGAGGAAAATATTGCCTTCTTGGCAAACTAACTGGAGGGTTAATAAGTTAAGCTTTGGATGGATGGATACTTGCCATTTCCAGGTGTCTCCCTCCAATTCCAAGTAGGAACTGCAGTAGCTGCAACTGCATCAGCTGTAGCAATGGCGAGAGGGTGCCCATCATGGTCAAGGCGCCTTTCAAGGTTAAGTGCTGGCCTGGCACTGGCTGAACACAGATAAAAACTTGTATCAATACAAAAATGAAGAAAAAAAAAATCTAAGAGACCATAGAAGAAACTTAGAAGTGAGAGGAGCAAGCCAGATAAGTAGCTTGTGTCAAAAATTTCCTCAATAGTCTCGTAAATTGAGGGACTTTATGAGTTCAAGTCGATGGAAACTGCTATACAAGTATTTAAACCACTGCTCATCAGGACAGTCTTCATTCCATAGGAAACTTCATTGCTGGGATGTTCACTTCATTCATTGTCTATGGATACAGGCCTTAACCATTTCCCTCGTGAACCATTCAATAAGGATTTCACACAATTTACATAAAACCTTTAATAAGCAATGGATGAGCAAATCTTTCCTCTATGGAAATAGTGAGATATAAAAACCCAAATAAGTGTTGAGACCAGTCGGTACCTTCAACGGATCCAAAAGAAATGCTGGTATCGTCAAAACCTACGTGAAGACAAAAATATCGGAAAGTTCGACACTTTATCAATAAATGCAGAATCTTATTATATATCAGAGGCAGAGTGCTAAAAGGTCAACACTTGGATGAAAGAAGATTGACTGGAGTAGACAAACCAGATGCCGACAAAACAACAGATAACGGCTTAAGAAAGATTGAAACTTGCAATGCACGAATAACAGGCATCGAAAGCAGGCTAGCCAAACTCAAAATTTTACTAAAAAAGAGAAACCTGGGATACTACAGGCCGGCATCATCAGAAAACAGTATGCTCAATGACTTAACCCTCATGCGAGGCATTTTGGCATATAGACTAAAAATGGAATGGAACCTAACCACATAATAAGACAAAGTTCAAGCTTAAAGCTTTTACATTTAATTTCTTCCATACGCCCATGGATTCCACAACTACTTGTAGTTTCTTCTTTTGTAAAAACTCAAAAGAGTGTATCTTCTTCAAGGTAGCATTAAACCATATATCAGAAAAAGCCGCCATTGAAGGCAGTAAACCTAGTTTACCAAGTCAGAATACAGAATCATCAACTACAGCTTACAGCCAAAAAAAACTCCAGATTTCAAATGAACATCTACACTTCTGAAGGACCATTTTTTCTACATCCTTGGAGCTTTCTCTGAGCTAAAGATTTATGAAATACAATTGGCTACACATCTGCTAATTTACTAACAAACCCTAGTGCCAATATTAAGCCCTAGCAAGAATTTGTATTTGTTCTTGTAATTTGCGGGGTTGCCAGCTACTGAATACCTTTACCCCCAGAAAAATGAAAATGGAAACCCTAATATGAGCGGTTTTACCTTTGTCAGTGAATTGCATAAAGGAATCAACTTTGGAAGAGGGTGTAGGGCTCTTATACTGTGCCGCCTTCTTGCTCCTCTCCCTGAGAATCTCATCGATCTCCTTGTAGTACGATATCTTCGTGGATCCACTTCCCCTGTCCTGATGCTTCGCCTTCTTGAACTCCTTCAACAGGTTCCTCCACTTATCCGTACACATCGTTGGCGAACGATCGAACCCTTTCTCTCTCATCTTCGACGAAATCTGCTCCCACAGGTGCTTGTTCGACTTGGACGTGTTGAAGAGACTGTCCATCTCCCTCCGGAACGCGATCAAGCTCCGAGTCTCGTCCTGAACCCACGTCTCAGCGCGCTTTTTCGGGGCCTTGACCTCATGGTCCTCGCCGCTGCTGTCTCCGAGGATCATCTGCTGTTGCTGCTGCTGAGCTTGGTGGAGCTGGTGATGGTGGTGGTGGTGATGGTGGTGATGCGGCGGCAGATCTCCGTTGGCAGTGACTTCGACAATCATGTCGCGTGCGGCGACGGCAGAGGAATCGTCGTTGTCCTTGTAGAAGTCGATCGGTCGAGGCTTGTCGGAGACGAACATGCTGGGTTCTTGCCCTGAGAGAGTCACTGTTCCCAACAGTCGCAGGTTATGAGAGGGCGGGCCATTGAAGGGTTGAAGACCCCTGAGAAACAGAGAAACGGCGAAGAGGATTGGGGAAGGGGGAAGGGCGTGAAGTCAACGCGAAGTCATAGCGCGTGAGATACGAACCTCCGAATGCGACATCGCAAAGAAGAGAAGACCGATTTCTGAAATTTTCTGCCGCGGTTAATGGGCCAATGATACTGGGCCTATCCAATAAATGGGCCTGGGATTTCTTTCTGCATTATTGAAATCCAGCTGAACCGGTGCCATATCGCCGGTTTATTTCTAGTTCTAATCAGGCTGTTTTCTGGGCCACGACATTCAGTAAACCGAAAATCCAGGCTCTGGTTAAGCCATGCAGATTATGCAAACCGGGAATTCCGATTCTGTACAAACAAATCGCCTATTAACCAAATTCCAGATCGAGGGCGAGAATCAAACAGCACCAAAAAAGAAAAACGCATCAAGAATCAGGCAAAAAGGACAAGCAAAGCCAAAGATACCAACTTTATTCCAGAATCTGTAAGATTATTGTTGTCCGATCCGATACCTCATAACATAGAAAAAAAAATATACATCTTACAGTGCAACGAAATCATCAAAGAAGATCCTTCAATTACCTCTCTTTGAAGGGCGAAGCAATTATTTACCAGTCTCGGAGGGAGATGCAGGCAAAACAAAAAAGAAGCATAGAGAGACTTTTCACCATGAAAACTCTCAGATACCACCAGTCAGTTACTCTTCCTCCTATGGACAAACAGAACCGAACCCTGATGCAGCACTTGTCCTAAACCCTGTGACCAATGTCACAAGCGATCCGACAAGGGTTTGTGTCCTGTTACTGAAGCAGCTCCACCCACTTACAGTACAAACTTACGTCATGGTTTCAAGATCAGAAGCCATTAACCACGAGACTCTTTACTTGCACAGTTCTATATAATAAAAAGCCAGCTTTCCACCTCCTCCTTCCTCCGCAAATATTCCACAGCCTCTCTCTCTGGCTTCATTGTATAAAGATTACCAAATTAGCCACTGACAAATTCCAACACCCCAACACTGGCTGCACCGCACAACAGACCCATAAACAAACACATGAAAACCCATCACTCAAAACATCCTCCCAACTTCTTCTGACGAAAACACCAAGCAGCAAATCAAACCACTAGCTCCTTGCAATTTCCAGCCTAGCCATGAAGATCTGAGCCACTCGATTCACAGTGAGAAGAAGGCTCAGATGGAGTTACATCCCCCATGTGCCCATCCGGGCACTTGAAAACTTGGTTCAGACAGTCAGAACACAGATACTCCAGACAAAAAGTTTCTTCGTACTCACTGTCATTAATGCACCGGCCACACTGCACGCACCTCTGTATGCAAAGGGTACATGCACGGCATGATTGGGAGTCATGCCCATTCCCTTTACAACCTTCTGCCGGGCAATCATACACAAGCCTGAAATTTTGACATTTCGGGCACATCTCAATGTCTATTGCACGATCCTCGTCACATGTCACATGTAGTTCCCCTCTGTGGTAAAAACGTGGATTCTGAAAATTCTGTTTAGCGCGGTAGTCTACGCCCAACAAATGAACAAACTCCTCAAAGTGCTCCTTGGTCACCCCATAAAGTCCACCTATCCTTATGTGTTTCACTCCAAGCCTTCCTGCAGTCTTCAAATCCCTCAACATATTCAACAACCCCTCAATAGTGATCCTTGTGCACCCAGGCACACTGAGCTGTAGAACAACAAAAGGAAAAATAAGTCAGAAGCATGTAAATGTTGAGAAAAATATCGTCTTCAATCTTCTCGAATTTAGTTTAATAGCTCTTTGGGTCAGAAAATAACAGGTTCAAGTTAAAATGACAATTCAATCTCATCCTTCCATATCCAACGTTTACAACAAAAACCAACATGAAAAATAAGACACAAATGGTATGAAATTTTTGAACGCCTGTATCCTTAAGCTAGACTGGACATAATCAAAGAGTGAACTGATATGATAGCTAAACAGGCAACCACATTCATCCCTACGAACATGGTTACCAAATCCAGGGATCAGATCATTGCATAAAACTTAACGAGCATCAACTTCAAGTGCAGGATGGAAATCTCACCTTGACTAACTTAGGATTGGATTCAAGCACCCGTTTAAGACCCTCATCTGTAATCTTTGAGCACTCTATGAGGCTCAAACAATGCAGGGTACCCTGAGCTCTGTCAGTTAATTGCAGTAGAATGTCATCTGTGATCTTCTCATTCGATGGCTGAGAAATGTGGATATGCTTCCACAGTAGAGGGTCATCTTGGACAGTAGACTGAAGGGATTTGCAAGCCATGGAAACCGAAAGAAGATCCCTTATTCCCAGATGACAAAGGGAATAACTAAAGGCCGGATGAACAGCTCCATCTTCTCCACTAGAGCAACCCTCCTTGTCCTTGCAGGGACCATTTATACCGACAACTTGACCGGCCGCTTTCTCAAGACTCAATACTTCATCTGCACTGCTAGCAGATACAAAGGCACCATGGCAAGCTTCATCGCCAAACCCAACATTGGAAGCCCCACCGATAGATTCCGATTCATTATCAAACACGCTGATCCCACTCTGAGATAACTCCTGAAACTTCAACGCGTTTTTCCATACGAAATTGAGCCCAGCAAATAGCTGGTAATTTCCATCATCTACCCCAGTCTCAGCCCTCCTATACTGTGTATAATCCACCTCCAAGTCCTCGAGCCAGCCAGTAATTGCCGTAAAAGTAGTGCTGATATCCATTCCGAATGGATCAGATGGCAGAAGATCAAGTATGTCAACAGAAGCTGAATCCTGCGAGCCACACCTATCTCCCCAACCCCTTCCATAATCAAAGCAATCTCCTTTGTCATGATTTGAGCACCAAGGTCTGGAAAACATATCACCATTCCTCTCCGCTGTGCTCTCAACCAGAAACCCATTAGCGATCCTCATCGGCGAAACCAGATTTTCCTCAGACGTATGGGCAGAGAATAAGGGTCTATGTGAAAAATTCAAGGCCATTCCTATATATACACTCAAAACCTCGAGTCCTCTGTACAGAATCAATACCCCCAACCCAAAAAACCCTTCGTGAAGAACAAACCCCAAATTCTATTCCTTTTTGTGGTTATTTTCAATGGATTATCTAAAGACGAAAGAAAACAGGAAAAGAAAAAAAAAAGAATGAAGGAAGGAAGGAAGAAGATCGTGTGAAGACCTATCCTGAGAAGGAAACTCCTTATTTCAGATGGCAAAACAAAAAAAACCAAGCACCGAAAATTTCAGAGTTTCCCCGGCTGAGAGAGCTAGGAACCCTAGATACTGACTACAATTACAAAACCAAACCGCTAAAAGAGATATATCAGCAAACCAGGAGGGGAGGGGAAAAAGAATCAATCAATCATTTTTTTTGGCGTCTACTTTTATTCTTCCTCGACCAGAACAAGGGTTTTCCCGGGAAATCGAGACCTAATCCTAAACCTAACAGGAAGGTTGGGAAAATCCTAGAAGTGGGACAGAATTAGACGAAGAGATCAAGATCCTAAAGATGAATCCTAATTCCACAACCCACCCAAGAAGAACGCGATCGACGTATCTCCAGGCATCGAAATCGAACCCTCGCCGAGAGAACGACCAAGAGAATGAAATCTAGATTCCTCGACAACCCACTTCGAAGGAAACAACAATCAAGTCTCCGAATTTTCCTTTCCTCCTTTTGCTCCCGGAGAAGGGATTCGAATCCAGAGAGAGATAGAGAGAAAGAAAGGGGGTGGGTGTGTTCGTCGACCGAGTCCGAGAGAAAAAGAGAGAAAGAGCGAGAAAATAGATGCGAAAACCGGAGGAGATTATGAATATTATCTCTTTTTATTTGAGATTGAGATTTTTATTAATAAAACAGACAAGCGTAGGGGTGACGGTGAAATCGTCAAAGACTTAGCGCTGACTGACACGTGTCAATCACATAATTCTCCAGTCATTTCCCGGCAATTTGATGTGCCGCGACTTGTTACGTGGTATTTTCCAATTTTATTTATTTAATATATTTATAACGTCAAAAAATTTTATTTAATTTGTAATGGTTATTAATGTCATCAAATCAAGTCGCATAAATTCCTAACATCTGTTTCACATAAATAGACAAGAGTTAGTTACTATAAAGATAAAAAAAGATGTAAAAAAATCTCAAAGATACCTAAATATTTATAGTTCGAAAATATGTTAAGTATCTGTTATATGTATATAAATATCCCATTTATAGTTAGATTAACAAAATGATATAAAAGTAACAATTTTTTAAGATAAAAAGAGAAATATAAAGCGATGGTCCATCAAGGCACGGATAACCAGAAGATTCGTGAACGTGGCATCTAACATAATCAAGGCACAATTGAGGTAATTTAAAATATTTCATGAATTTTTTTTTATTACATTTAGTTTTTTTAAATGGTAATTTGATTAAATTGAAAATAAATAAATAGAGAAAAATGGTTGCAGACAGATTTTGCTTGGTCGTCAAAACTTGTGTTCTTTTCAACCGTAGGGCAAAGAATGCTTTGTCGCTCAAACTAAACTTCTAAGATTCTTATTCCACGTGGAATTTTAACTTTTATTGGCATTTATGAATATTCATTGACGAAACTTACCCTCCCTTCAACAACTATTATTTTTCTTACTTTTAATTCATTGATGTAATAAAATAATGAAAGACGCAGATTTGCTCGAATTGGCATAAATTTTTCTTCTAATTTTTTTCACGCCATATTTGGGTGAGAAATGAAAAAATATTATATATAATTAATTTAGAGGAAAAAGAACATAAAGATATTTGAATTGAAATATTAAAATTACATTTATAAAAGGGAAATGCAAGCCATGGAAACCGAAAGAAGATCCCTTATTCCCAGATGACAAAGGGAATAACTAAAGGCCGGATGAACAGCTCCATCTTCTCCACTAGAGCAACCCTCCTTGTCCTTGCAGGGACCATTTATACCGACAACTTGACCGGCCGCTTTCTCAAGACTCAATACTTCATCTGCACTGCTAGCAGATACAAAGGCACCATGGCAAGCTTCATCGCCAAACCCAACATTGGAAGCCCCACCGATAGATTCCGATTCATTATCAAACACGCTGATCCCACTCTGAGATAACTCGGGAAAGAGGTGAAGCCCAAGCCACGAAAGTCCACTAGCCGTTGGAACCATACGTAAGGATGACGTAATAAATAAAAAAGCAAGAATTAATAAATAATCCAATCGGATTTTTTTATATTAAATGAAAACGATTCGTATGCACACGTGTCCTTTGTAAGCAACTACAGTCGCATATCTGGAAGTGGCCGTTGGGTTTGAAATTTAAAAACCGGAGCCCATAGATAGAACCGACACAGAGATTGGAGCGGAATCAGGATTTTGCGGAGGAGTGCGAAGAATCCAAAGATTAGGGTTTTTGTTTCCCAATTTGTACGGCGCTTTCTTTTCTTATTTTTACCCGTTTGGATAGCGAGAAAATGGGGGAATCCGCTTGTCTTCGGAGATCCTTCTCTCAACCCGCTGGGATTTGTTCGCGCGAAACCGAAGAGGTCAGTACTTTATCCATAGATTCGGGATTGTTCTTTGTTCTTTTCACCTCGTGGCCGTTTTTCCGAATCTCTGTTTGGTAGGATAGAAAGTGTGGGAAACCTCGGGACTGAGATTGTGGTCTGTGATTGTCTCAGAATCACCTCCCTTCTTACATCGAGAACCGATCGAATCTAGGGTTTTTGCTCTCTTTATTGGTACAGAAATCTTTGTCGTAGTTGCCTCTTAGATGCAGAGAACTTCACTATTAAAAGAGCAACGTTCCGAATCTTCTTTTAGGGGATTTTAAATTATACTGTACATGAGAATGTGAATTATTTACGATAATTGCGTGTCTTCGTCAGCTAATTGAAGCATTCTGATAATAGAAACTCTTTTCTTCCTTGTGTTTGTGGATTTTAGTACGTTTCCTATGGAAAGCTGCTATGAATCTGTAGTTCTAGAAACATAGTTTGAGATGTAGATTTTTGGTTGGCAGGGAGATCCTGTTCGTGCCCTGACAGAATCCGTATCCTTCGGTAGATTTATGTCAGAATCTCTGGCATGGGAGAAATGGTCCACCTTCTCTCACAATCGTTACTTGGAAGAGGTTGAGAAGTTCGCCAAACCAGGATCTGTTGCACAGAAGAAAGCGTTTTTTGAAGAACACTACAAGAAACGAGCTGCTATGAAAGCGGCAAAGCTTGAAGAAGCCAATGTTGCATCTCATAAAGTCTCAGGACATGGAAATGCAGGAGGAAGCCAGACAGATGATCCAATTGATTCACAAGTACAGGTGACGGTAACTACCAGTATGGTCGTCGATGAAATAAGACAGGAAGAGATCTGCAATATCACAGAAGATCTTGTAGTCGATGTGAATTCTGGTACTTGTATTTCCGAAGTGGAAGTTAAGACTGATGTTGAAGCTGGTGAAGTGACGGATAAATCAATGGAGAATCTTGAGCTGCCCGAAGCTACGGAAAGCCACTTTGAGGTTGCTGTTCCTGACGGCAAGGTGTTTAATGAGGTAATATTCTTGTCCAATCAAATGCCAGATTTTCATTTATCACAGATTCGGAGTACAAAGCAAGTTCTACCTTTTGTTTCTTTTTTTCAGGGGAATCCTGCTTCTTCAACCAAAGAGAAGCGAACGAGTTCTTCTTCTGGATCAAAGGCCTCCGGCAGAAGACCAAGACTGACACCCTCTTATGCTAGAGAACTGGATTCTTCACACGAGAGATCTGAAAAAGGCACAAACTCAAACAGAAAGAAGTCTATAAGCGCGACAAAGAAACAGAAGATATCGACTCTTGAATCCAACAAGGGATTGCTTCAGATGCCCCAACAGAGTTCTAGAAGCAGTACCAGTGCCAATGTTACAGTAGAAGTGGACAAGAAGAGAACAGTTCTGAATTCAGTTCACATGTCCATCAAATATGTTTCTCCTCGTCAAATGAGCAAAACCGAACCAAAATTTTCAGTAAGAAGCTCAACTGTGCGAGAAGCAGCTTCTCCCAATTCTAAAGCCACTCCTAGAAGCAGTTCAAGAACTAAAGCTACAGGAGAAGTGGATAACAAGAAGAGATTGCGCCCAAGTTCAGCTCACATGTCAATCAACTTTGCTTCTTCTCTTCATCAAAAAGTTCCAATAAAAAGCTCAACTAGACGAGAAACGACTTCTACCACTCCTAAAGCTGCAGGAGAAGCAGTCAAGAAGAAGATGTCAGTTTCAAGTTCAGTTCACATGTCAGAATTTGCTTCTTCTCCTTGTCAAACGAGCAAAACAGGAAAGAAAATTCCAATAAGAAGCTCTACTACACAAGAAGCAAATTCATCCAAGGCTGGAAAAAATGTTCTTCCCAAGGGTGGTAAGGCATGGGTGGATGTCCCTGGAAGTCAAAAGACACCATTAACATGTTCCTTTCGTAGGCCGATTAGTACTAGAACTGATGTTGGTGGTACCGCTAAGGGCTCTCCCAGAACGGCCAAAAATGACTTAGATACTGCAAAATGTTCAGCCAGAGTAATTTTCTTCATCTGTAATTCTCCATTACATGCTTCGTATTCTTTGAGCATTATTCTCATTTTGAAGCTAACTTCATCTTATGTATGATGCAGGCATCTACGATCAGGTTACCAAAACTTCCTCTCAAGAATCACCTCTCTGAAGACAATAGGTTGCTTTTCAACTCTCTTCTACATTTATGATCCATACTAGATCTCTGTTGACGACTCGGTTTCTTATTTTACAGGAAAGATACTATTGTAGGCAGTTCGATTTCAGTCAGAATACCCACAAATGAGCAGATGGAGTCTTCTGTCAAGTAAGAATTTTCAGAAAACCATGTTGTGACATGGTTTCGTGTAAAACGTTTTTGGTATCAGATCATGTGCCCGTTTACTAGATTCAGAGAGTGGGTTTTTTTAAACTGGATCTTGTTTCTTGCAGCCAGGGAAAGCTTTCAACCCCTCGTGGAACCAAGGCAAGAGCTTGCACGATATCCTCACCTTTCAGATTCCGGAGTGATGAAAGAGTAGAAAAGAGGAAAGAGGTAGTACAATTAATTAAACACATCCCGATTATCCGCAACTGAAACATGAGTTATGAACTTGTATTTTTCCATGGCTGTACCTGCCAGTTCTTCAAGAAACTGGAAGAGAGGAGCAAGAATGAGGCGGCTGCAACAGATCAATTGCCCTCTAGCTCAAAGGCAAGTCACTCACTTCAAAACCGTATCGAACTCGATTCTAAGCATCTGCATAGTTCAAATGGAGAAAACTAGATTCTTGCTTGCTTTTTCATCATTTTGAGTGCTAAAAAATCTCGATGTGTGCCAATATAATTCTATGCAGATGCCCCTGACAGGACTGGTCTCACCGAGACGAAGCCTACGCTCGAAAAACAATGGAAATTCTCATCGGCCTCCCATGAAAACTTCTTCAGTAATCACCGCCGCGGGTAAGGAGAATGCAGCGGCCGGAGCGAAGAAAAGAAGCATCAAGATTCACATGGAGAATCTTTCTCCTAATATCCAACAATGACTTGTGCAAGAATCACTCTACGGTTTCTGTCTGAAGTAGAAAGTTTTGTCATGGCGCCGATTTCCTCGAATTCATCATCTATATGTAGCCCCTGTGGTTCTATAGATGTAAATTGTATATATATCTCTCTATATATATATGTGCGCGCGTGTGTGTTATGCATATTCTTTGCCCTGTGTTATAAGCTTCAGAATCGCGTGTTTCTAATCTTCGTATTGGTGTGAATGTTCTTCTCACAAGGTGATATTCAGGGTTGAGATTGATCAAAAAGAAAACTATTGGGTCAAAAGAGAATATGTGGGCATCAGCATATGCGGAGAGAGAGAGACGGGAATTACCAAAGTCAGGTACTTTTCTTTTCTTTTCTTTTCTTTTTCTCTTCAAAATTTATTTCTTTTCATTATCTCTCTCTACAATAATGCTAAATCATAACTGTGTCCAATTAATGCGGCAAACTCCACGTGTTTTCCGTTTTCTCCATGTTTAATTTCTATTTATTAATGAAAAATTAGTCTGAAATATTCTAATTTGCATAATTTTCTCACACAAAAAAAAATTGGCATCAATGTCGGTCGTCGGACAAAAAACGATGGATGTGATAAAATAATTTTAGAGAAAAAGAAATTATCATATGTGATTATTGAAGGAAGGAACGAGAGAACAGAGCCGCGAGGGAAAGTCGGGCTTTGAATACGTTGAATGCTTTGTCCAAAGATCAAGAGATCGCAGATCTCTTAATTTATGATGTTTCATGACCACATTAACATTACATGTTTCATGATGTTGTGTGTTTCAGCCCTCATTATTCAACATGCCTTTGCAGACAAAAATCTGTTTTTTTTTTTTTCTAACCTTCCCTTTTGGTTCCAAAGATTGCATAGAGGAATCTAAGCATACTCTTCTCATACGTGGGTTCATGTCTTGCCCACAATTGGTCTTTATATTCATTTTAACTTTCCAAAAAAAAAACAAATTGCAAGAAGATGATGGTTGACGAATCTTTTTCTTTTTCTCTCTCAAAGTAGTGACATTTTGAATTATACATATATATAATATTTTCTAAAAATCTAGTATGATTTTCAATTGAAATGATATTTGTTGTGGTTATACAAAATTGCATCAAATAAGATTTAATCTAAAATTGTATCGATTGAATTCAGATCAAATTTGAATATAATACAATATAATGAATTTTTATAAATATAATTGGTTAAAAATAATTTCTTTTAGTGAAAATGAATGCGAAGGGAAACGAATAAAATTTAGGAAGAACCAAAAGGCGATATAATAATTTAAATTAATTTTTTTTGTAAAGCTAAAAAATTCAAATACTCACCCCCTGAATTTGTGTTTTTATCGTAGTTTAGATTGTTTTGAGCACATAATCTATAGATAAAGTAGTCGTGTGGGAGTTTTTCTAATAATTTTGTAAAAAAAATAATCCGAGGAGTATTTCATTTTCTTTAATGGAAGGTTTTGGTCAAATTTAATTATTGGGTCTTGTCGCTTGCAGCACTAAGGCACATCATTAAATTGCATGAAATTCTTTATCCGTCACATAATTATAACAATTCTTTTTTTTTGTTTAATATAATTATAACAATTCTTCTTTCGTCTCATTACAAAGAAAGTTGTTTTATGATAAAAAAAAAGAAGATAGGATAAATTCGAGATAAAATACGTAATTACACATTTTGATTAACTATTACAATAATTACTGCGGAGTATTAGTTATTTCATCTTTGCATCATCCTAATTTTACGTTAAAAATCGATTATATATAATATCCAAATAAAGACAATATAATTCTGCAAAAAAGTTTATTAGTATAATTCTATGGAATATGATGACAAAAGAAAACCATAGCTCCCACATCATCATCAACTCCAAATATATAAAAAGAATTCCAGATAGACCCCTAAATGATATGCTGTCTAACTCTTTGTAAAGCATATCATAAAATAAAATGCACATGGAATATGCTTAGAGACACAGCCAAACACATTTTTATATCTTCATAAACTTTTTTTCCCCATTAAAACGTAACTTTATTTTGGTTAAATTATCTTATAAGATAATTTGTTGTATTTTAAGTTAATTATTTCTAACCAAATTAGCATGTAAGATCTTCTCAAATGAGAATCGAACTTACCTTTTTCAACCCGAAAGTTGAATACTTGATTTTACCAAAATTATTCCCTCGAATTTTGACAGATGGTAAAAGATGCTTAAGATTCTTGCGACACGTAGGACTGTGGATGTGAGAGTCCACCAAGCAACCCACAAACATATATATATATAGGGTATATAATATATGGACCACATATTCATATACCATGGAAATGCATAACCATGTATTAGTGCTTCAATTCAATTTATTCCACCCTACCGTTCATGTTATAAACACCAAAATATAGATATCATTAGAAAGAAAATAATCTATATATTATCTATAAATAATTTTAACATAGTATGATGTTTATTTGAATGACAATACCTTGATTAAAATCTGGATTTTGAAAATAAGTAAGAGTTATAGTTTTTTTTTTCCCTTCAAAGTGACAAAATAATAATTATTTCACAAAAGAATATGGGATGATGGATAGCTATGGCCCATATATAAAATGCAATATGCGATTATCTTTTTTCACAATATTAAAATAAAGGGATCCGTTGGATAGATAACTTGCTCTACCACTCAATGCTTTGTTTGCGTTTGACACACATTCATGGAGACATGCAAGCATTATATATCCAATTATATGATGATTGCACGCAATTATTCATGCTAATATATATTTATAGGTTTCAAAGTAAATACTCACACAGATATATATATATATATTTATACATATATATATATATATATGTCGAATTTTACAATGTAAATACATCTTGCAGGGAGAGAGAGACACCTGATCGCTTTATAAGGCCGCATAAGAGACACCACAACCCTCCCCCTTCATCTCTCAAGAAAATTTGCAGACCCTCCAAAGGAGGAAATCAAAATTAATTGGAAAAAAAAGAAAACCTTTTAGAAATCTGCAAACTTTTTTGAAAAATCCCTTCGTTTTTTCGCCTTGAAATCTCATACCCAGATCATAGCCTCTTCCCTTGCTCTGATCAGACAGAAACCCACTTGCTGTTCTGGTCTCTGGATTCTGATTTAGATTTGCTTGTCGTTGATGGTTGTTGGTGATGCAGATGGGTTTCCAGAAATCGTGGTTTTCTCCTTACATGTAACCTCTCGTTGTCGAATTCTTAATTCGGTATCTGTTTCGCTTCTGATGTGATCAATAACCGGATATGATTCTAAAGTCTATCCCTTTGTATACCATTAGTAAAGTAACGATCTGTTCTTCTCGTGGTTCTCATACCTCCGATGTTTCTCTCTGTTCATAAACTTTGGAATCCTCCGATCAAATTTCACAATTTTTTTTTTGGGAATTTCATGTTTGTGGGTTCGATTGTTTCTTCTGTTCATCGCGATAAAGTCAATGGCGTTTCGTGTGCAGCAGCAAAAGGACTTTGCGTGACGAACAGTGTCTTCCTTCCGTATCAGAACCGTCTCTCTATCTAGATTTTATTTTGTGTGTGTTCTTAGAATATCGTCACATTTTGGACTACTATGCTTCTCTTCCAAGTTTTCTTTATCCCATTTATTCTGGTTTTCAATTTCTCGAAAGATTCTGCTTGATTGTTGTGTATCATATTGAGATTCTCTGATGGGTTAAAAGATTTTGTTGGAAATTCAGATTTACTTGTTTGTTCTTGATGAAAAGGTTTGAACTTTTGGTTCTGGTTTTTCCTCAAGAGTACTTTGTCCATGTCATGTCACTGAGAGTGTCCTCCAAGAATCTTGGTAACTTAGTTTGTTATGTCCCATGTTTGCTTGGACACCGCTGCCTTAGAATTATGGATGTGGTTTCAGTCTGATTGATGATTGTTTCCGTCTTTTGAATTCGTGTCGAGAAGTTTCCTGATTCGTCCATGTTTTCATCTGTGTAGATTCAGGGCCTAGAGCTTGTTGACCGATAACTAGACAATCGAAGGTAGTTAGTTCTGTTTCTGTTCTGTGATGTGTATTTTTTTGTTTCAGAGAGCAATGTAGTCATATATCATGGTTTTCAGGTACTCGGGCACTTCAGAATTCGGGCATTGCAGAACTCGGGGCAGTGCCCGTGATGGACGCTACGACAAGCAAAACCCCGTCTGTGCAGTATCATAACTTACCCGAGCAGACGATTGCTGCCATTGTTCCTGCTCCTGTTCCTGCTTTTCAGCGGCAAACACGCCATTGCTTTGGAGATGCCGCTCCCGGAGAATTTCCCTTGGCTGCTAACCCTTCCATTGTCCTACACGTTCTCACTGAATGTAGATTAGATCCTTGTGACCTTGCCAAGCTAGAGGCAAGTTATTTCCATCTTCCATTTTCCGAAAAATGAAATCTTTACTGACGTTTTTAGGATTGACGGTGCTGCTGATTTGGTTTTCGATCTGTATGTTTCAGGCAACATGCTCATTCTTTAGCCAGCCAGCAAACTTCGCCCCTGACTCTGATTTATCACTGCCAGAGCTTGCAGCTCTTGACATGTGCAGAAAAAGGGCCATTTTTAAGCCTATGAATGAAGAACAGCTCCAAGAGATGAAACGGAAATGCGGGGGCTCGTGGAAATTGGTCCTACGGTTTTTGCTGGCTGGAGAAGCGTGTTCTAGACGGGAGAAATCACAGGCAATCGCTGGTCCGGGCCATAGTGTTGTCGTGACGTCAAAGGGAGAGGCTTTCTCTTTCGGGTATAATAACTCTGGACAGCTCGGACATGGCCACACTGAAGAACAAATACGACCTCAGCTCGTCAGGTTGCTCCCATTTTACGTTAATTCTTCGATAACAGCATGACCCGAGAATGGTACTGCAGATTTTCGTTGATGGAGATATTTCTGCTGCAGATCGTTACAAGGCATCCGAATCATCCAAGCAGCAGCTGGGGCTGGTCGGACAATGCTAATCAGCGACTCGGGTCATGTTTATGCATGTGGAAAGGATTCTTTTGGTGAAGCAGAATATGGAAGTCAAGGAGCTAAACTTGTTACAGCTCCTCAGCTGGTAGAATCATTGAAGCACCTATATATTGTGCAAGCTGCCATCGGGAATTTCTTCACGGCTGTACTTTCTCGAGAAGGAAGGGTTTACACGTTTTCATGGGGCAATGACAGTAAACTTGGACACCAGACCGATGCCAACGACTTGGAACCTCAGCCTTTGTTGGGGCCTTTGGAGAATATTCCGGTTGTGCAAATAGTAGCCGGGTATTGCTATCTCCTCGCCTTGGCTTGTCAACCAACCGGCATGTAAGCTCCTTCCATCGTCTTAACTCAACTATTCAATGGGTTGGACGGTAATTTTCTCACTCAAGTTTGAATGATGAATCAGGTCGGTGTATTCAGTTGGCTGTGGACTGGGAGGAAAACTTGGTCATGGCTCGAGAACAGACGAGAAATACCCACGACTGATCGAGCAGTTTCAGAATCTGAACCTTCAACCAAAGGTGGTTGCAGCCGGGGCATGGCATGCGGCCGTGGTGGGTCAGGACGGTAGAGTCTGCACGTGGGGATGGGGAAGATACGGTTGCTTAGGACATGGGAACGAGGAATGTGAATCAGTTCCTAAAGTCGTGGAAGCGCTGAGACATGTCAAAGCTGTGCATGTCGCCACAGGAGATTACACGACCTTCGTGGTCACCGACAACGGCGACGTTTACTCCTTTGGTTGCGGAGAATCTGCCAGCCTCGGACAGGTTTGTGGTTCTATTCTCGTGTTTTTAGGGTTCTCATGTCACTGTTCTGAAATCTCGGGTCGATGGCAGGGAGGAGGGCAAGGCAACGTGCTGAGCCCGGCCCTGGTAACGTCGTTGAAGAACGACGAACGGGTGGTTCAGATCAGTCTGACAAACTCGATATATTGGAACGCTCACACCTTCGCTCTGACGGAAACTGGTAAGCTTTACGCGTTTGGAGCCGGGGACAAGGGTCAGCTCGGGACAGAGCTCGGTCCGAACCAGACCGAGCGTGCCGTCCCGGAAAGCTTGGACATCGATCTCAGCTAAGCATTAGCTTTCAATGGCAGCTTCTGGTTTATGTTCATAATAGTTGTTGAAGACAGAAGCAAAACCAAACAAGATATGGTTCAAAGTTGGGGAATTGTCATTTGTAAATAGGGAAAAACATAAGTGAACAGATGTCTTTAAAATTTAACATTTTGTGTGTAGTTAGACATTTTCATTGGCAAAGTAGATAATGGTGTTTATTTCTGTTTCAGGTCTTTGTTGACAAATCTTTATTCTTTTTATCTAATGATACCTCAAAATTATGATTAATATATTTTTTAACATCATTGAAGAATATTTATTATTTGATTAAACTCAATATGCGTTGTTAATCGATGGAAAAATAAATATTATTATGGGCCCTTAATGAGCCTATTATGGGCCCAATAATCTCCTTCCTAAGCCCATAGTCATATTAATCAGTAATCGCAATGGGCTTAGATCCCTCGGCGTCCGATCACACGCGCACCTTACGCGCGTGTTTTCCACCTTTTCAAAATCGCAATTATGTTGCAATTTCCTTTTGTTTTCTTTTCTATATTGAGAAAAAAGCTTAAATTAGAAATATTAAAAAAATTCTGATGTATCGTTTTTAGAGTGTAAAAAAAGAAAAAGGAATACGATTTTGGCAAAGCCTCACGTTTCCAGGTCTTCCTCCTCGCACTTAACCCAAAGCTATATATAAACAACGAAGCTCCCTTTTCTCGAATCCAAAAAAAAAAAAAATTCAAGGAAGAAATTTAATTTGAATCGAAAGACACAATGGGGCGCCTCCAGCTTGCTCTTCTCGTCTTCGTCCTCGCCGTCTCCGCCGCGATCGTATCTGCCTCCGAAAATTCCACGGCGAAGGTGAAGGCGGAGGCTCCCGCCACCAACGGAGGCTCCGACGGCGAGGCGCCGGTTGACAACAACACGATCGGGACCACCGACGATGGTGGCGACAACGACGACGGAGCAGCCGCACCCTCTCCCGACGACGATGACGTGGTGGTTCCCGGACCGATCGGGAGCGAGTCTTCGTACTCAAATTACCCTCCGGCTCAACCGACGGGCTCCGCCGCAATCGGGGGCGTCTCCGCCGTGACTGGCTTCGTCGCCGTTGCAGGCTCGCTCTTCTTTTTCTGAGCTAAGAAGCTTCGCGCGTCAAAATTGGAAATAATTTAAAAATAATATATTGAAGTAATTGTGTGTATAAATATGGATTATAATCATTTGTAAGCTTAATGTATAATTTAAAGGGATAACTGCAAAAGCAATCACCCAATTTTCGTGTGTTTCTGTATTCCAACAATTCCGAGTTTCAAATATCTATATTTCAATATTTAAATTTTGTACATTCTATTTGGTATTTCACAAATAATGTATATTAAATTAAAATACGCAACCTTGAATAAAATAAATATGTAAAAAATCGCCATCAACATCATCACATACGCATAAACACAATGTTCAACCATTTGTTACTTTGACCTCAAGTCAAGAAGAAGCCTTTTTGGTCAGGCTCCATATGATATGAAAAACCCTAAAAATCATCCAGAAAATTCTATGGATTCCACAACCGAAGATTCTTTGGGATTCACACAAAAACCCGACTTCTATTATCAAGAATCTAACCAAATAATCAACCTTACAATGTGCATGTGCATGTGCATGTCTCCTTCTGAACCAAATTGCTCCTTAACCCTAATTCCCAACTGAAAAAAAGGGATGGATGAATTTCGTCAATGGCTTCAAAACAGATAGCCTGGGCCACGAGCAACTCCGATGGAGCTTATTTTGATGGAAGTATGAAGCAGCTTCGATCTTTCAGTACATCCCCTTGAACACAGGGTTCGTCCGGCATATGCTTGCTCCATATTCCTCGTACTCTTGTTTCGTATGGCAGCTCTGCAAAAATCACAGTACAAAAATGGCCATGGATCTCAGCACGAGTTCAGTAGGAAAGAACAGAAGATGTTTTGGTCGTGTTGTCGGAAAGAGAACCCCTCTTACAGCAAAGAATTCGGGAGTTGATGCAAGAACTGAACCTCCAAACCAGACTGCGAATCTCTGGACAGGATGGCTGACGATGTTAACCTCCAATGGTTGAGCCTATTGTCACAAGAAGAAAGGGAAAATGCTCATCTTTCAGAACTGAAATATCACCAAGTACGGAAAAATTCCATTCTTACTTTAATTTCATCACCAACACGAGCATTATTCGCAAGGATACGGGCATCAACAATCTTCTTAAGATCTCTCTGCAACCTTCTTCCGAAATCCTTGAACATGGTTGAACCTCCGGACAAAACTATATTCTGAAACAAGCCACAGTCCATCAGTACATAACACAGGGTCTCACAAAAGAAGGATCTTTGTACTCCTTGGAAAAATCTTCATCTCCGAACCATCTCCTACATATGGAGGTTTCCCACTCTTGATGCTAAATGGAAGCAGCGGAAAAGAAGCAACCGAAATTGAGATTTTTGAATTAACAACACAATCACAGAGTCTAAAACCATACAAGCAAATCAGATCAGATTTCCAGACCTTATATAAAGCTCTTCTTGTGTCAATTGGTGCAGACTGAATACACTTGTCTATGACAGCTGGTAAGGGAGTTGTGAAGTCATTGCTGTAGATCTCCGGATTAAAGAATATCTACAACACATATCAACCTAATCGTCAAAGAAAAAAACATAATGAACCACATGAACATGTGTGACCCCAGGATAGGACAGCCTTCTAATCCAGAAGCCTATTTTACTGATTTTCCCTCGATCAAAATGAGTAAACTAGGGTTTCTCGGAAAGCAAAATACTGTCTGTATCAGAGCATGATGCTAAATCAGATTTTACTAGGCATAGAAAAATGCCACAAAGAGGAGATTACAAACCTCTGGTCCAAGAAATCGTTCATAGCCTACATCACAAGAATATGGTGCACCTGTCTTTGGTTTAACACCTCTCCATTGCTTAATGTACTTGGCTGGCTCTTTGTCATGCTTATTAAACTCCTGGAATCATTTATTTATGTTTTATGTGCATTAAGAGGAATTTGAAGCACACAAATAATAATATATCATTAAATGACTTAAACCTTAAACACAAAATATCACCTTTACGATATCTGAACAAGTGTAACAGTACATTTCTTTAACTTTACGGGCTACATCGAATGAATCTTCTGGTGGTATGTTCTCTCCCCTTTCCTACAAGGGGAAAAAAAAAAGAGGGTAACATCTTGAATGGATTGGAAACACGAAATCAGAACACAGAAAACCAAAAGGAGGAGAAACCAACTATATTTGAAAGGCAGAAATGGTGCATACCCGCATAAGTTGCTGGATAAAGAGGGAAACATCTTTCCCAGCAATTGGAACCGACTTGATGCAACTCCCAATAACATACCCCTCTGCAACAGGTACAATATGAGTGGCCCCATCTCCAACATCTACTACGACCCCTGTCATCTCACACTAAGAATAACTGTAGGTCAAACTAAAAGACAAGAACAAAAGACAGATAAAACAGGACAGGGAGAATGTCTGAAAATCACAATTAGCGGAATGAACGTAGAGGAGCCCATGAATCAGACGTATATCCCTACTGTAAACACAGAGACAGGTGAAACGGATGGAAGAAAACTAATTATTTGTTCTAGAAGAAATAAAAACATTCAATCACTTCGAGTCCAATACTTCCAGGTCAAGAACTCATCCAACCCAAAAGCAATCTGAACATTTGGCAGCATAGATATCAGAATACGCTAGCAAGCAACACAAACCTTTAAAAAACAGAGAAGATTCAAGACCTACCTTGGATGTTGTATACCCAGCTGCAAGTGCGGGCACTGAATTAACAGCAATGTATAGTCCAGGAACATTGAACGTTTCGAACATAATTTCTCCAGTATACTCTCGACTTTCGGGAGGGGTAAGAGGACTTTCAGTCAGAAGAAAGTAATGATCCTCTGGATCGCATCTCAGATAGTTGAATATACACTGCTGCCAATACCTTTCCATTGCATCCCAGTCCTCTACTTGGCCATGCTCAATTGGATAATGAAGATTATAGGTGCTACTAGACCTTGATCTTGTAAGGGCTTCATCTCCAATAAAGAAATCTAGATCTGCCATCACCCCAGCGCTATGCTGAGCTAACCAATTTGACTTTGAGGAACTCTTGGATTGATTCAAGAACGACTCATTAACAGCAACTACTGTTGGAAGAATAAAGCAGGGTTCTACATTACCAGCAAACCCTATCTTAGTATACCTGCGATACACCCAAAGACATGAACCTAATGAATTACAGAACAAAACGCAAAAATAAGGACAACCCAGATGATCCTTCTTGTCTCATCACATTCTGAGGTAAGGAAATAAAAAACCAACGAAGAAAAAAACCTCATTCACGCATTTCATCAGACAAGTTGGGGGCGCAACCTATCAAACATGTAGACAAACGCGAGCAACCGGAACGATTCACATACCCGGTTCCGTTGTCGATGACGACAGCGGGTCGAGAAGTCGGGTCCATTAAGAAAACTACGGCGGCGATCACTACGGCAACGGCGGCTCGCGTGGCGGTGGAGGATCTGCGACTGAGATCCCAACGAGAATACAATAAAACAAAGGATCATAATCATAAACCACGCCGAAGAAAGCGCAGATACGATCCCGTCTCCGTCTCTATCGCAGTGGTCGCTGACGACGGCAACACGAGAATAAACGTGGATCTCAAGCGAAAACGACAATTCAACAACCAGCAAAAGTTCCTCTGCTTCCTCCAAACAAGAACCATTTCACCGAAGATGAGAACAATCCCGATGATACGTTCTCATCATCGTCACCTGTGTTTGTCACTACAGATGACTCTGAATCTTGGTATCGGTGTATCGTCTTTGCTGAGCGCAACGGTGCTTTTGTTTGCCTTCATTTTTTGACCTGCAATGATCAACGGACTGGGCAATAATTTTAGGCCGTCCGATCTTTGAGATCCCGGAATGAACGGTGAGAGATGAGAAGAAATATGTAACGTGGGACCCAATGCAACTATTAGGCGTTGGAATGAGAGGAGCGTCCACGAAGGTAAAATTGTCCCGTACGGTAAACACCGTTAAAAAAAAATGAATCGAAAGTTTTTTTTGTATATATATATATATATATTAATTTATTAGGAATAGTTTGAATTTGGGCTGTAAATGGGCCTGTGGTATAAAGGTTAGTGAGCTCGAGCTGAAAATGGATGTAGATGTCGGCCCATATTTTATTTATGATATATTGTAATGTTTTTATTGATCTCACAAGCCATATTTTTTTTTCTACGACTGTAAATAGTAAATACAACAAGATGATATTTTAGTGTGGGGGAGCATGCACGTGCCATCACGTTTGAGGCAAAGGGAGCACGTGACACGTGACTCATCGTGACCTGCCCTCTCCATGTGGTGGAGAGAGAGCTATGGGACTTGCTGGTCGGTCCATTCCACGTAAAAACAAAACAAAATCTCCCTAATCATTGATTTTATTAGATAATGCTTAGTATATTACACAAAAGGAAAAACAATTTTAATTAAAAACGCACCTCGTGGAGAGAATCTTTATATATGTGTGTCTGTATATATATATATGAGATATTCAGTACCACAGAAACATTATATTTTTTAGTACACAACATACATATATAATTTTATGAATTCTTTTATCACCAACAAAACTAATTTAATTCACACAACACAAAAAGATTCTTAGTAATATATATATATATATATATAATATGAGGTGAATGCATGGAATTTTGATCATTTTCATGTTTTGGGCCGCGATTACATTTCCAAGTAAATCGATGATATAAGATTGTATTTTCGTCAACAATATTACAGCCCATATAAAAAAAATATATATATACAAAGAATCGGAGTGAAGATATTTATCGGCTTACATAAATACACGCCGGATCTCATGCATCGTCTATGGATGTACACCTAACTTTTTTTTATATATTAATTAATTTATACTGTAAATATTATACCGAATAAAATTAAGAAAACAAAATAAAAAAAGGCAGTTGCTGTGTGAGGAGTTGCTTTAAAAATAGCAAACTATTTAATATTATAATAAAATCCTCTAATCGCACTGGTCCATAAAATAATAATTATGTTGACTCATGATAATAATAATAGTAATAATAATTATAATAATGACCTTTCCTCCTTTTTTTCTTTTGTTTTTCTTTTCCTTTTTCTGATGATTTTAAACGGTTCTCCCTCTCTCTCTTCTCTCAACGATCTCTGCACACTGCACAAACACAAATTTTACTGACCACTGCCTTAATTGGATCTGCGTGCCCCCTGACTTCTCCATTATAGCTCTCTCTCTCTCTCTCTCTCTCTCTCTCTCTCTTTCTCTCTCTCTCTCTCGCGTACTGATTGTCTCTGCTGCTGAGTTCCGAGTTGCAGTCATCTTCGGCATCTCCGACCGGCGAGTCTTTCGATCTGCGGTGGATCTCGGTTCCTCGGGTGCAGCTCGACCTTCTTCGTTCTGGATCTCTGTTTCTCCGCTTGGCATTGAGGATGTGGGTCGTCTTTCTCTTTGTGTTTGATCCTTTGGGTGTATGATCAATGTTGATGTGAGTGTGGGATTTTGTCGGCGCGGTGATGAATCCTCTCTGCTGCATTGCTCCGGTTTCGATCGAAGATCGGGCTAATCCGGTGGTGGCGAAATCGTCGGCGACAGCGAATCAACAGTATCAGCTAGGGCTCGAAGCTCCTCCAATCGGTAAACCCAGTAGCAATCACGCCTCCAAGCCGTCGCTCTCGATTCAGGCCTCGTGGATCAGCCAAGATCAGCTCGACCAGCTCTCTTCCTGTACCGCCAAGTCCGATGCCGTTGTCTCTGATGAAGCGAATCAAGAGGGCAAGGATCACTCCTCTAAGGGCGGATTGTTCGCAGGAAACGGCGTCGTCACAGGAGGTGGAGTTGCCGGGATCATGTATAAGTGGGTGAACTACGGGAAAGGTTGGAGAGGCAGATGGTTCGAGCTGGAGGACGGCGTTTTGTCGTACTACAAGGTCCGTGGACCTGATAAGATCATGATGAATCCTTCAAAAGAGACGGGCGTGAGGGTGATCGGCGAGGAATCGATGAGATACATGAGGAAGGCGAGCTGCAGCAGCAGCAACCGGCTTGGCGTCCCTGCTGCTTACAGGCCTTGTAAACCCTTCGGAGAAGTACATTTGAAGGTCTCATAACTATACTTGTTTGCTGGTGCAATCTGAGAAGAGGAAGTGATGATAATATCCGTTGATCCCTTTGAAATGTTGAAAATGTTTTCACAATGATGGAAATTTTATTTGCTTCTTGTGCTAGGAATAGAATGTTCATAGAAGAACTTCATTGGTGCTGAGAAAGATCTTATCTTGAATATCCGGTTTATTGCATAATGTTTGCTTGGCTTGCATGTCAGTCTGCATGTTGTTTTCTAGATGCAGTCTGTTAGGTTGGGTCTGATTTAAGCTATTCATCTGCATTCCCTTGAATTGGCAGCTGAGGTTATATACAACATTATTGTAGGTTTCTTCAATTCGTGCAAGCAAGTCTGATGACAAAAGGCTTACCATATTCACGGGGACAAAGACTCTTCATTTGCGTTGTGTATCGAGAGAGGACAGAACAGCTTGGGTTGAAGCCTTGCAAGCTGCCAAAGATCTTTTTCCTAGAGTGCCCAGTACTGATATTACACCCACCGAAGATGCAGTTGTTTCAACCGATAAGCTACGAGAGAGGTTATTGCAGGAAGGCATCGGTGAGGCAGTCATCAAAGATTGCGAATCTATAATGCTCTTGGAAGTTTCTGTGGTGCAGAGCCAATTAAAGATTCTCAAACATAAACACGTCTTATTACTGGACACACTTAGACAATTAGAGGTATGCGTTAATTCTCCTTGATAACGCACTTTGATATGACCTTCTCGAGGATTGGTAGCTAATGGTAAGAATGGAACGAAATAGCTGCTCACTGCTGTGTTGAGAACATGATGCTAGGTGGCCATTTTCAGATTTTTCTTCCCGAACTGTTCCAAATTCTGTGGAAGTGGGTGAAATATTCAGTCATCTGGCTGTTGACTTGGGTCTGCCCTGATCACAAATCTCAGTGTGTATTATGTGGTCTTTTAACCTTTCGTGAATAACAGTATTTTCTGGATTGATTATTGTTGTAAACGCCTTCCACTTTACGCTCCTGTTCTTCATTTGCCAGTCATTTTGATGCAGCTTCCCAAGATGAAAGTTGAGTCATTGATGACCTCTTTTAAATTATTTTTGCAGACTGAGAAAATAGAGCTGGAAACTACTGTAGTAGACGAAACAAAGGAGCATGACTCGTGCTGTGGACAAGGAAGAAGATTTAGTGGTTAGTTATTCATTTTAACTTTAATCGCAGGCGCTAGTTTGTTGATTCTCTATTTGTGCAACCGCACAGTCGCACAAAGTTAATATTCTATGACACTGCACGATTGGGAGATTCAAGTAGTGTTGTGTTTTTCTTCAACTCACTTGAGAAAAATCTTATTAGTTTTCCTTATTATTGTCTCTGAACAGATTTCTATTCAGTCATGTCAGAGGTAAGTGCAAGTGATTCTGAGGCAGATAATGAAAGTCAAGATGGAGCAGATGTTGAAAGCGATGAAGATGATGTGGCATTCTTTGATACTAACGATTTCCTGTCAGCCGAGGCACTGCGAAGTGCTTCCTATCGCAGTAGGGAAGCTGCAGGAAGTGGTTCTATCTATGATAAAGATATATTCTTTTCTGACCGATTGCATGATGTTGCAATCAGGATTCCCCAATATCCATATGTTAAAAGAAGGGATAACTTACCGGAACCAAAGGAGAAGGAAAAGCCAGTTGGGTTGTGGTCAATCATCAAGGAGAACATTGGTAAAGACTTGTCTGGAGTTTGTCTCCCCGTATATTTCAACGAGCCACTCTCTTCTCTACAAAAGTGCTTCGAGGATTTGGAGTACTCGTATTTGGTTGATCGAGCATTGGAGTGGGGAAAGCAGGTCTGTTTGCTCAGCCCTTTTTTCGTGTTAGAACAAAGAGGAAACCTTGATGCATTCTGTGTATCATGGTGCATTTCCTTAGATTTTTTCATTTGCTGTTTCATATTTGGAGAGCTCAGTAGTCTCCACTTCTCTTCCCATTGGTCAGCAAGCAAGTTCATTGGATTTTTCACCCCTTGTAGTCAAGTCCTTGGTTGCTGCTGCCTCCGCATTTGCTGGAAAGACTGGAATTTATTGTGATGCTTTTCACTTATCATAGAAAAGCCATACACATTTGGTTTTTTTTCTCGGAAATTTTGCATATTTGATTTTTAGATTGTGTTCTTCCTTCATTTTTTGGTGGCTTGAGCTTTTATTTATTCGGGTTGTGTTTCCTTCAGAGTTTGTTGTATAATCTGAAACCGCAAGTTCCACAAATTCATTGCAAAACGCTTAAAATATTATCATCTTTCTAATTGTATTGACTTAACCAGATCAACAATGTTTTAACATTATAGTTTTTGCTCATTTCAGGGGAATGAATTGATGAGGATTCTAAATATTGCAGCATTTGCTGTATCTGGCTATGCATCCACAGAAGGTAGGCAATGCAAACCTTTTAATCCTCTGCTTGGTGAGACCTATGAAGCTGATTACCCTGATAAAGGACTTCGTTTCTTCTCTGAAAAGGCAAGCATAATTTTCCCAATAATCTCCTTTATACATGAAACTTGTATGGAATTCAATTCATTGATAATTATAACAATACTTAACCTTTTGCCGGCCATAATTATGCGGTTCAGGTGAGCCATCATCCGATGATTGTTGCTTGCCATTGTGAGGGACAAGGCTGGAATTTCTGGGGAGATTCAAATATCAAAGGAAAATTCTGGGGACGATCAATCCAGCTTGACCCAGTTGGTGTCCTGACATTACAATTTGAGGACGGAGAGACATTCCAATGGAGCAAGGTTACCACCTCGATATACAACATCATCCTTGGTAAACTTTACTGTGATCATTACGGTACCATGCGCATTAAGGGCAGCGGCAACTATTCCTGCAAGCTGAAGTTCAAGGAGCAGTCAGTCATAGATCGAAATCCTCGTCAGGTAGCATTCTTTGAAATTTGTTTTTTGAAGTCTCCGTTCCTTATTTCCCTCTAATCTTCATTCCTTGACTAACCATATAACGATAGGAGCTTTTAGACGTGATTTTAACAGTAACCCATTTTCTCATTAGGTGCTCATGTAGGTTTCTTGAATTCAAATGCAGGTTCATGGCTTTGTGCAAGACAATAGGACTGGGGAGAAGGTAGCTATATTGGTAGGCAAGTGGGACGAAGCCATGTACTATGTATTGGGAGACCCGACAACAAAACCAAAGGGATATGATCCCATGACAGAAGCCGTGTTGTTGTGGGAAAGAGAAAAGGCTCCTACAAAGACAAGATATAATCTTTCTCCTTTCGCCATCTCCCTTAACGAAATAACATCTGGACTGCAAGAAAAGTTGCCTCCGACTGATTCAAGGCTGAGACCGGACCAAAGGCACTTAGAAAATGGCGAATATGAGTTGGCAAATGCCGAGAAATTGAGACTGGAACAGCTGCAAAGACAGGTACAAGAAATTTTGGTTACTAAACACGAAATATTTTATCCTTCTCTAAAAGACCACAATACAACAACAATAGCACCAAGTTTATTTGGAGTCGAGTGTATGAATTCTTTTTCTCTACAAGACCAGAATGTCATAAAAAAATCATTGACATATTATTCTCGGGTTTGATGATTCAGGCAAGGAGGCTGCAGGAGAAGGGGTGGCAGCCAAGATGGTTTCAGAAGGATGAAGAAGGGAACTATCGGTATGTAGGAGGATATTGGCAAGCTCGAGAAAAGCGGCTGTGGAATGGAATTCCCGACATTTTCAGGCAGAGTAACACAGATTCAGCTCTCTTGTATCCTTGACCAGTAATAACAAAAAAGGTGGTCCGATTCGGTATAGAAGGCAGGTCGGGTTGTCGACCTTCTAGCCCTTGTGTTTCTTGCTTCTCCTTTGTGCTTGTGGGTAAAAATGATGGATACAGAATGAAGGAAAGGAGTGTCAAGATTATTATGGTTTTGGAGACCCTCCCTTTCGAACCGAGACTCTGTAGTCTCACATCACATGCATGCACGTCTGTTTGGTTACTGCTTCTTCGTGTTTAGGAATCCTTTGTTGATTTGTATTGCATTAGTCAATATTTTTACCATGAAAAGCTTTTGGAACGAAGAAAGAACAAGTTACTCGCCGGAAAATCATTCTCCGGCGCGAAAAAACCCTTCTTCGGCCGGAAAATTTGATCCATATGCGCAGGAGGTTTCTAACTTTCTACCCGTAAACCCTATCACCGCCCATTCCGACCTTTTTTTTCGACGTTTTGGGCCATATAAAGGCCGAAAAGTGGTTATTCAGACGGCCCATCTTGCTATGGGCCTATTGATGGCATTTTCGTAATTTACTCCCTGCCATGTCTCCCCTCTATTTTCTATTTATAAGAGCCCTTAAACCTAAACCCTATGATCTCCGCCGATGGTCGCTCTCTGCAATTTTCTCCCTTAGCATATTACGTTCTTCTTTTCCTGCAATTCTCTGCCTTCGCATATTGCGTTCTTCTTCATGCTTCCACTTCCACGTCTGTTTTAGCAGAGCCTTTCTCTGATATCAGAATTATACTCTGGCATCACAGCTAGTCTCTAATACCTTATCTGTTTGCGTGAATTAAGGAGAAACTTAGAGTTTGATTCAACGAGTTTCTTAGTTTTTTTGTGATCGCTTTCGATAGGCGTTGCGTTCTTCGCTTGGGAATTTAGTGACCCAGAAGAGCGCGTCAACGGAAGCGTAGAGTGAATTTTTCAATCCGATGGGGTTGCGATTTCAGAGTTCTCTGAAAGAGCATTTTCGATCCGATGGGTCGAGCTGTTTCGTGTCTTTTCCATCGATCCATTGGGTTGGAAAATTTTTCAGATTTCTATTGCAGATTACGAAAGAAAATAGTATCTCGGGCTTTCTTGATTTGATACGGTGTTGTTGCTTCTTACTGGTGAACTCTCTTAAAGAACACTGGGAGATGTTCATGTTTCCGAAGCATAGATAAACCTGGCAAGAATTAAACAGCTCTGTGCAAATCTATCATTGCACAGTCGTTACCTGTCTCCTTGTACATTTCCTTCAATTATGTTCCGAAATTTGTGTTTTTTTCGGTAGATTATGTGTTGGTTTTGAATCCATTTGTGTTTCTACCTTTGATTTTCTATAAAGTTTTGGTCTTGCATGTTTATTTTCCGTAATTAACGTTTAAGTTCGTGTTTACTGAAAGTATGTGTTGTGTTTTAGTTATGAAAGCATTTAGTTTACTACCGTGAAATCAGAGATGGTAACGGTAACCAACATGGAGCGTTGCAGTAGAACAGAACTGAAATCATTATGGAATCTCAGTCTCTGTTCCTGGAACTGAATCATGATTGTGTCAGGCTTTAGCCATCTCGGTGTCTTGGTGGAAGCTCACGTGATCTTGTTGTGCATGCTCTATGTAATCTTGTCCAGAAGAGCCATGCTACTTTGATTATGCGTTTCTTCTTGTTATCTTTCAGACCCGACCCATTTCTTCCCCACCTTACGTGTCTGCAGTGCCAAGGGAGAGCATCTGGGTTTGGTCGGTGAAGGTTTCAGGCTTTGTTCGAGACTTGGAGTACTTTTTGTGATGGGGTCAGGACACATTTCACATTTGCGGGTAACTGATTCAACAGAATGCGCCAGCAGATCGAACGCTCAATATGTGGATCGCGTTCTGGTTCGTGGCGGTTCCTTGCTGGTCAAGCATCGGCCTGTCGTTGACCGCTGCCTCATCTTCCCGAACCTTTGCTCTCCTGTCGTGGGAGAATGTACTGTTCCTAGAAGTTAGCTAGCTCACTTGAACTGAAGATGCATGGAATTGTCTGAAGCTTAGGCTTCAAGGCAGCTCTTTAGGAGTGTGGCCCAATTCTGTATCGGCTTATTCCAGGCCCAATTCTATTCGACCCAGCCTTATAAAATGTTTCTTTCACCTTTATTAACCATTTGTGTCATTTTTCGAATAAATAAATAAATAAATAAACTCATTGAAATTTCATATACTATTTGTCATCGAGTAACGTTTTTTCTTCGTATATGGCACTCCTGTGAATGTCGTTTGATGGTGAATTTATTTAATCATTATTATTATCGACACACATTTCGCATTTTGTCATTTATTTGTAAATAGTTCTTTGGGATTACGTCACCTGACACATGGGCCGACATAGACACACCACACACTTCGCATTTTCACCAACACGCCGTTGTGACGCAACAAAACATTCCGAACGCTACAATGACATCACGGCTACTACAGCGTTTGCGTTTAAAAAAACGCAAACGCTCTAGTAATTTACTGCTCCAGCAATTAGCCGCACTAGCCGTTACTGCTCCATCTTAAACGCAGAGTACGTGGTTTAACTCTGCCCTGGAAACGCAGTAGCGAATCACAACAAGAGTCATCCAACCGCAAACGCAAACGCTGATTACATCTTTTAGGAATCCAATGACCTCATTTTCATGATTCTGATTCTTGAAATGGACAAAAGTTTCGAAACTGAAAGATAAAGCGAAGAAACTGTTTTGTAAGGACACGTAAGAGAAAACACAACTTGGAAGCAACACAAAACGCATGACGAAAATGTCTCCGCAAGTAATCTTAAACCAAGCCTTCTTTTGGCTCTGTCCCCTTGCGAAATATAAAACATAACCGTCAAAGCAAAACAAAAAAAAACCACTTTCTGAACACACAGAGCTTGTTTCAATGGTGAAAGAACCTGCAACTCCGCTGCTGCTAGAGCACGTTCACTCTCATCTATGCCTTCTCGACGTGGCTCTTGCCTTGCTCGGGCTGTTCGTCTTCTGCTGCGTGAGAGCGAAACTGAAGAACGACGGGCCGATGATATGGCCGGTTTTCGGAATCACGCTCGAGTTCTTCCTCCAGATGAGGGACGTGTACGGATGGATCACCAGATCCTTGAAGAAAAGCGGAGGAACATTCAGTTACCATGGAGTTTGGGGAGGTGGGTCTTATGGAGCGGTGACCTGTCTCCCTTGGAACATCGAGTACATGCTCAAGACCAACTTCAAGAACTACCCCAAGGGTAAATTCTACAGAGAGAGGTTCAGTGATCTTCTCGAGGACGGTATCTTCAACGCAGATGATGATTCTTGGAAGGAACAGAGACGTATAACCATAACCGAAATGCATTCGACCCGGTTCGTTGATCATTCTTTTCGGACGACCCAGGATCTGATTGCCAAGAAGCTGCTTAGGGTCATGGATAGTCTGGCCATGTCTCAAGAGCCTTTCGACCTCCAAGACATGCTTCTGCGTTTGACGTTTGACAATATCTGCATCGCCGGTCTTGGCGCCGATCCTGGATCCTTGGCCATTGGTCTTCCCAATGTCCCATTCGCGAGAGCTTTTGAAGAAGCGACCGAGTCTACGTTGTTTAGATTCATGATACCGCCTTTTGTGTGGAAACCCATGAGGTTTCTCGACATTGGATATGAGAAGGGTTTAAGGAAAGCTGTCGAGACAGTGCACGAGTTTGTGGACAAGATCGTTCAGGACAGGATCACCAAACTCAAGGAGGACGGAACTCTGGATAATCAATCTGATTTCCTGTCGAGGGTTATCCAGATTGAAAGTCAGCAAAAAGGTCACGTGAAAGGCTATTCCACCGTCCAGTTCTTCAGACAGTTCTGCACGAGTTTCATCTTAGCAGGACGGGACACAAGCTCTGTTGCGCTCTCATGGTTCTTCTGGGTGATACAAGAACACCCAGAAGTCGAAAACAAGATCATCACCGAGATAAGAGAGATTTTGAGACGGCGGGAGAATCTTCCGGTCCACGAAACTGAAAGCACTACTACCTTCACGGTCAGAGAACTGAACGACATGGTATATCTACAAGCAGCATTGTCAGAAGCCCTCAGGATTCATCCCCCAATCCCGATGGAAATGAAAGAAGCCCTCGAAGACGATGCTTTTCCCGATGGCACATTCATCAGAAAAGGTTCACGGATCTACTTCTCGATCTACGCCATGGGAAGAATGGAAAGCATCTGGGGTAAGGATTGTGAACTGTTCAAACCAGAGAGGTGGATCCAAGCTGGACAGTTTGTCGGTGAAGATCCATACAAGTTTGTAGTGTTCAATGCTGGGCCAAGGCTGTGTTTAGGGAGAACATTTGCTTACCTGCAGATGAAAATGGTGGCTGCTTCCATCTTGTGGCGGTACTCGATTAAGGTTGTTCCAGGACACGTCGTCTTCCCCAGAGTTACTACAACGTTGTACATGAAACACGGTCTAAAGGTGACTGTCAAGCCCAGGCTGCACAAATGATGGACAGTTATATGCAGAATCCGAGAAAAATACTACCCACAGATGTCAGAAAGAAGATTTGAGCAGGATAGGTTAATGTTTTCATACAATACGCCAATATGATATTGTTGTTGAATAGAGAAGGAACTCCTTTTTAGTTTGATGTAAAAGTAATGGGAAAAGATGTCTGTCTCTGTAGTGGAACTTGCTCTCCTCCCGCCTGTGAATCAAATATCTCGGAAGACACACAAAAGAACTTCTCATGCACTTGAAATAAACAACTCCAAGAAAGTGTATGCCTTTGATATGAATTGTGTATTACATGTGCAGGACTGTGTATTGTATGTACCAGTGTAAGTATTATACACACACAGATAAAAAAAAAGCACCAAGAATCATAAAGAAAGGATTTTTTTTCCAGTTGTTTTAAAATCCAGATTGGATCCTTGATCTCTTGCAGATTGGAAAAGGTTTGGGAAGAGTGTCTTACTGTATGGGTTCACCCAAAGGAGAGGTTTTGCTTTCGTTCTTCTTCTTCTCGTGCTCGTAACGAGCTTGAACCACTGGCTCCCCGGGTCACATGGCTCGTTCCCGTGTAAGCATTTGCAGCTGGTTGTGACAATGTTGCTGTCTGAATCCACATCCAAACAGACAGATGCTCCACTCCATGTTAGGGATGCGAGTTGCATCTTTGATTCAGATGTCACTTTCCATTTTGAACAAGAAGCCTCGGAAAAAAATATACGCAGCTTTGCGGGCTGTCCTCTCTCATCGACTTTTATGCAGAGGAGTTGTTCCTTAACCGATAGAATCCTGTGAGGCGTATGTCTCCAACTATCTGACTCGTTGCATGGACCGAGCTTTAGTCTAAAAGGGTTAGGCCATGATTCCCTCACAACACAGAGTCCGGTTGAAGGGTGAAAAATCACCTTGTGCGGGTAAGTTTCCATCAATCCTGGCCCTGAAAATTTGCAGAATTATGGTTAAGCACTGCAAATATACAAAGCTCAGATCACCGAGAGTAAAGTTTTCAGGCTAGCCATTAACATTGTACCTCGAAATGGGCGCTGGATTGCAGAAATCCTCTGAAAAAAGGTTGAATTCCTTATGCCAATCCAACTCCAATCCAAAACTCCGAAATACTCATCTGCCCCGATAGCTTTCTCTCTCGTGTAATAGCTTCCTGCAAGCGTCCAGAGCGCCCAGTCCAAATCAAGTTCAGCAGCTACAGCCATAAAGCAATTCAGAAACCTGTTGTCATTTCTGTTGTTCCCTCTCTGATCAACCCCAAACTCACTCACGAACAGAGGGATTCCTTTTTCTAGCAGAAATCCAGACATGTTCATCATGTTTTCTGTTAATCTAGCACAGATCTGGTTCAGGTTTTCTGTCTCCCATGAGTTCCAAAACCCATACCAATGAATCTCAAACACTAGCTTCCTTGTGAAGGTGAGGTTTAGTGATTTATCCCTGAGAAATGACAAGTCGGTCTCGTAACTGAGTCCAGATACTATGACAAGAACGTTAGGATTCATCGAATGGACAGCTTCAGCTCCTTTTTGCATATACCTGACCCGTTTCAATCGAACACAACTAAAGTCAGATATCTATGTCCCTATCAGATCAACCCTACCATAAACTACCGCTTTTTCATTCTTTCAAGCAAGAGAAAAACCACACACTTGTACCAATCGTCGGTGTTCTGTCTAGGGCCTCGAAGATCATTCCGCAAGCTCATACCAACCACATTGGACACATTAGCAAACATTGAGGCCATCTTCTTCAGACTATTGATCCAAAGATCAGGATTAAAATGTCTGTCCCAGAAGAAACCGTTTCCATCGTTGTCACTGCAACACCAACCTGGTTGGCTTGTGTAGTTGTCTAATATCACCATCAATCTGTTCTTTCCAAGACAAGACACCATTTCCTGTAAGAAAACTCCAAGCTCTGATCATCGAAGTCCTGAATCCGATTGGTACCCATCAAGACAGAATCACGAGAAAACCAAACAAGAGAAATTCAAAATTTGAAATTTTTGCAGGAAAAGAATAACCCAACAAGGAGAACTCAGAGACTTTTCAGGAATCAATCAAGGGAAACCAATACACAGAAGAAACTCGGAGACGGGACCAACTCAGGAAGAAAGGTCTAAACTTTCTCGGACAATGCAATGATCAAGAAAAAAATTCAAACTTTCCGGGAAACTTTGAGTGCCCAAGAAGGAAGATCTTAACCTGGAAAGCTCTGATAAGAGGAAGATCAATAATGGAGGGGTTATTAGCTTGAACACCGGAAATGGCTTCGAAAAGCCCAAGTCTTCGCAAAGACTGTCTCACAGTCATAGAAGCGAACGAGTCATCGGTGGCTAAATAGAGAGGCCAAGTGAACCTGACGCAATTGAAACCCATAGAGAGAATCTTCTCAGCGATCGCATCCATCGGACGCTTGCTCAGACCTTCCGCCACCGCAGCATCGAGATGCGACGGCCAAACGATGCACGCGAGCTTCACGCGCCGCCCGGTCAACCCAACGATCCACCGAGAATCGGTGGATAGAGGCAATGCTGCGGCGGCGGCGGCGGAAGTGACGAATAGAAACAGAAGAGGGAAAACACAGATTGAGAACTTCCCCATTTTACGGGTCTCTCGACTCGATGGTTTCCGTCGAGCTCTTGTTTTGTTGACCGCCAAATCGCCAATCTATTTGTACATGCATATACATATGTATATATAAATATGTATATAACAGGGTGGTCATTTTTACCCGAGACGCGCGGGTCTCTGTGTACTCTTCTCACGGGTATCCAGGATTCATTATCCGTGAGATAATGAGATAAAGATCGGCTTTTGTGAGACGAAAAATCCGAGTTTGGAGTTCAGAGTTTAGATATTGGCGCAAGAATAAAGGATTAATCCGGTATAGAAATGGGTGCTTTTTTTACGTCGTTTACCTTAGTTACTGGGGGTTTCGGGGAAGACCAATGTACGGTTATCTGACGCATACCGATAAAATAATTAAATTACTAAAATACCCTTAATTTTAATAAATTTACCTAAATACCCTTAACCCTAATTCTAATCCGTTAGACATTCTGCCGCTCCCACATCTCTCTCTTATTTTTTTTGGTTAAATCTCTCTTATCTTCGTTTGTCACTTCCACAAATTTCACCATCGTCTCTCCGTCGTCGCCATCTCATCGTCTCTCTGTCGTCGCCGTCTCGCCGTCTCTCCGTCGCCTCTGTTCGTCTTCGTCCGTATGTGTCTCCCTTCACTTCCGTCCGTCTGTCCGTCTCCTTTCCGTCTCGTCGTCTGTGTCTCACTCCGACGACAACGAAGCGTCAGTTTCCATCGGAGTGTTAGCCCACTTCCGTTTTGAGAGCCAAGCTCCTCCATCGAAATCACATAGCTCCTTTCCGTCTCGTTTGATGCTCGGGTAAGATTCTGCAAAGATTTTTTAAGTCAATCACGGGTGCGGGTCTCGCGAGTACCCGATCTCGTGTGGCGGGTCGTGAGATAGAGAACGAACATTCGACTGTAAAACCCGACGAGACTGAGAACGAGATAGAGATACGTCCGGGTACCCGCCCGTTACCAGCCCTAGTATATAACGATTCTTTATTATATTTTTGTAAAGAACGGTTCTTTATATGAACTTTAAAAAAAAAATCCAACACTTAAAAGAATCAATTTACTTCGAAATAGAGTTGGTTGGCTTGTCTCGTTACACTCCCAGAATCAATTTACTTGGAAATAGAACAAAAGAATTTTTCTTTTCTTTTTTTCATACTATATAAAACGAATCGTTATATACATTACATATATACATTGTAACAAATCAAAATACCCAACTATTTTGTTTATAAAATGTAATCACTTATATAAATAGAATATTGTAAGAATTTAAATATTAAAAATTGAAAAATATGAAAAGTATTAGAAGTTTGTATATCATTAAAATTTATTTAGTTTGGATTCTTCTTAATATTATATATATAAATTGACTGATTAACTAATATAATTGATTACAGATGAATCAATTAATCAAAATAAAATATAATTTGATACTATTAGAAAGCATAATTATAATCAAAATTAAATTAATATTAAAAATTTAGTAAGGGGAAACTTACCGTTACCTTAGTATATTAATCAACAAAGAAGCAACCTTAAAATAAAATTGCCGAGAAAAAAAAAAAACTAAAATAAGGATTAGCCTCCCTCCACTGTTTCTCCGTCTTCGTTTCCCTCTCTCTTCCCTGAACCGGAATTCATCGCTGCGGCCGGTCGCCGGAAGTGTAAATGTACGCTTTTGATTCTACCTCTTCATCGTTGTTCCTCCTCTTCTGAACCTTCTCCTTACTTCTCACCTGAAAAAGAAAAACTCGGCGGAGGATTTCGGTTCTATGTCGGTGGTGGCGAAGTATTGCAACTAAGCCCTAAAGATTCCTGGCCAAGTCGTTATTTGTGGCGATTTTGTTCAGGGTTTCGCTGATTCAGCAATGTAATTCCTCTGTAGTATCCTTCAATTTCATTCCTTTATGGAAACCCTAGTGTTTTCCGTTGCACTGAGCGCTTGAAATTGGTTACAGCTTCGATTCGTAGTCAAATTTTTCTCCTTTTTCAATTGGGTTCTGCTGATTATGTATCTTTCGATTTCTCTTGTTCGTGCAGGGGAATTGTTTTGGAGCTTCGTTCTCCGAGTAGTGTTGATGGGATCAGCATTGACCCTGAGCCGAATTGGAATTTTGATACTTTGGTATCTGAGATTAATTCGCTAGAGAAGAAGCTCAATGCCTCTTCAAAGTTTCCATCACCGTTTACTAAAACATCCTTCCGGTATTTTCTCTCTCTTTTGGTATCTGGTTTGGATTCTAGTGCTCAGAGTTCTGCATCGCTCTGTTTGTGGCTGGTCCTTAGATCTGTGTTTCTAGGCTTTAGCATAGGATTAGAAGAAGTATAGATTGTTTGTAATGGCCGGTTGTGTTTAGGGATGTGCCCGGTGCGAGAAGGATGGAAAGAAATGCTAGAGGATTTGTAATGCGTGTATCGGAAGACGAGCTGGAGAGTGTCAAAGATGAGAGTGATGATGAAGACCACAATCAAAGTTCTATAGTCGCAAGACGTTTTGTCTGTGATGAGCTTTACTTGAGGTAATCACCACTAACTGTTCCTTGCTAGCTTGTTTCCCATACCGAGAAACTTCTTCTGTGTTATTTGATGGTTTCCCTGGTGATTTTTCCTTGAGAACCTCTTTTTTAGGTTGTTTTTATCTATTATTCATTCTGGTTTCTTGCGTCTTGTTGTGCTTGCAAGTGATTCTGACGATGAGTTGGTTCCCGAGCATGAGTTGTACTTGATGCATAAAATGGTGCCGTTTGAAGGTGCTCTATATGAACTGACCAATGATCATCAAACCAAAGTGAAGGTGGGTTAGGTCTTGAAAAATTGACCTTGGATTGTCGGATACTTTACTTTGATTAACATTCATATGATTGCAATTTGGATTCTCTTGGTAACAGGAAGAAATTAGGATTCAAGTATCAGCTGTTGAATCCGGAATAATGAATGAGATCGAAACGTCTCGTTCTGCAATAGCCCGTGTCGAGAAATATCGAGAGACAAGAAAAGAAGTGGAACGGAAACTTGATCTTCAGTATCAACGAAAAGTGTAACGATCCTTTACTCATATATTATGTATTTCTTTTGCTATTACTCTTTTCTTCCTGTTGTTTTCCAAATTAAGTTTTCTTGGTTTTGGTTTGCAGTGCTGAAGCGCTTGATGGCCATCTGACTGCAATCCAACGGGAGCATGAACTCAAATCGCAAATAGAAGAAAGAAAAATCAGGAGTGATGCTGCTCAGGAGGAAGCCAAGAGAAGAGGAAGGGCAATTCAAGAAGAGAAATTACGTCAAGAAAAAGCTCGGGCAGAGGCTGAGGTTTGTGTCAAATTTTTCCTTCCACTTTTTTGGTTATCGACGAGAAAGATGGTTAATCATTTCTCCACACAACTTTCGGGATCCTCTATTTTTCTGTTCAATCAGATGCAAGCTAAAATCAGAGCAGAAGAAGCAAAGAAAGAAGCTGAGAGAAAGGTGGCCGAGGAAGCTGCAGAACAGAAAGCTGCAGAACAAAAAGCTGCAGAAGAAAAGGCTGCCAGAGAGAAAGCAGCTGAAATTTCTCTTGCTGGTAGTTCAGGAAATTTGAATGGAAAAACTGAAGGAACATCTGGTACGTTATCTTCTATTAGTTGTTCATTTAGTTTTGCACTTTCCCATGATTGTATAGGCTCTGGAAGTTCATATATTTTTTTTTCCGCTGCCTCATGAATTTTCCTCCATTTCTGTCAATTAAAGATTGTAGTCGTGTTTGTAATGTTTATCACTGGCCGTTCATGCCAGGTAAGTTTGTTCGAGCATCAGAAAGTGCTTTGACCTTGGAGGAGCAAAGATTGAAGCGGCTCAAAGAATTAGAAGACATGAACCAAACGCTCACAACACGTTCAAACGAGGTATATCTCATTTTATGTATTATCACCTGTCATATCTTCTATATCTGTTGTTAAGTTACGTTGTTTTGCTGTTTTGGTAGAATTTCAGTAGTTTCGAACGGCATATTTCAAGGTTGATGAGGCAAATAAGTGGGACGAAGGATAATGTAACGTAAGTTTCATCGTATCTACTTATCATTTGGGAGTTGTTAAGACATTAACAACTTCAGTTCGTCTCTTAATGTAGTTTCTTTTAGAGAAACTTCAGGGAACCGTTTGACGTTGCAGCCCTTACATACATGAGTGTTCATTATGGAATTTTGTTGATCTTTGTCATGCCTAAAATTCTTCCATTTTGGGTCTGCAGTGCCAAAGCCACTGAAATTGTCAAGATATTTAATGACCCTCGTTGCCCCAATTCCATCAGCATTGCCGCTTTTGCAAAGAAGGTGATGTAAATGATTTGGCCATTTAACATTCACCTTTTCATCTTGAACCAAGTGTTTCTCCATCATCATTCACACAGATACAAGCATGCAATATGCATCTTCTTACATGTCTTTTCCAATTTGTATCCTAGAGTTTTTCATCAACGTTCTGATGCATATTATAGTTTGTACATCTTGCGTGTATTTATTCTCGCTCTCTCTAATGTTGGACACAAGAAAGAGACTGATATCTTTGCAATTTTCAGGTGGTCTCCTTTTGTGAAAACCCTAGCAGTCCTTACTTTGCATGTAGCTATGTCATTCTCATGGTCACCTCAAAGGTACGGAATGTGTTTTTTACTCTACTTTTTAGGATGAATTATGGAATATTATCTCGTAATCTGTTGGAAATTCACGTATTATTAAGCATATCCAGTATTCCTGGGTCGGGTTTTATCTGTTCTAATGGAACTTCAGTAATTTCCTTCTGTGTACTAATAATTTTCACTTGAATAATATTATACTGTTTTCAGTTTCCACAAGCAATGGATGTTCTTCTTGCTGAACTCCACAAGGCCTGCATTTACACCGTTCCAAAGCATATTGTTTACTCTGAGGTGAATCCTTTGAACTCTCCCCACAAATATTTGCCAACCATTCTGAGATGTTACTGTTTTGGCATTTTGCTGAGCTGCTTCTGATTTCTCTATCACGATTCAGATGGCATTTGCGTCAAAGGAAGCATACCGAAAGGCTATTGGGTTCCAAGAAACCGAGGGGAAGATTGAAAACGTCGATAATTATCTAAAACGTACAGAATCCTACATGAAACTTTACGGGGCACTCGTTCAGGTTTTGACACCGTTATGGATTGTTTCGCGTATTTTTCACCCCAGTTTGCTGTATTTTTTCTTCCACTTCATTTCGACATTTATGTTTTTAATACCCTATTTGCAGACGGAAATTCCCAATGTTCGAAATATTCATGGGCTAGAAGAAGGATGGGCTTGGCTTGCCCGGTTTCTAAACAGAGTTCCAGCTAACAGAGTTACTGCTACAGCTCTGAACGCATTCCTCCAGGTTCCTTTCAGAAGCTTCGAGTTGTTTATTTGATGCTTAGTCCCATATGAGTTTATTTTTTAACAGGTCTTGAATTGTCTGAACCTCAAAACCCATGGTTTCACAGATGGCGGGTTTCGCTCTTCACAGAAGGTATAAAACCCAGTTTCTGAAGATTTTAAACGTCGCCCATGAGCATTTTCTAGCAAAGCTTAGGACAAAACAAGACTCGTCAGAGCTAGGACCGATCGTAATGGAGATAACGTCATATCTAGATGACAAGAAATACCTGCAGGAGCCCGAAGGAAGAAGTTTGTTGAGTAATCTGCTGTCACGAGACAGAGCTCCGGAGCCAGATCACCATGAGTCGTATTACCAGGACCAATATTATGGTTCGCGTCACTATAATAACTGGTACCACCAATAAGAACATTGCCTGAATTCTGGCATTGCTAGTTTTCATTTTGTGACCAGACATACAAAACTGCGAGAATGTCTGTGTTGATACTGTATCAGATAAGGTAATTGGATTAACTTATCTTACACAAAATCTATTATTGAGTATACATGTTCTTTTGTATCATAGAACTTTTCAGGAAATTCTTCAAGCTTTGCTGAGCTATGGATATACGAACGGGCGTTTGGCTCAGCCTTCGCACGATAAAATATGATATGGGCTGGGGAATGGGCATTTGATTCAAATGACCCACTTGGTTCGTACGAATTTCGTTGGTACACTTTTTCAACTTTTACACCATTTTTCGGTTGAAAAAGTCTAAAATATCTTCTTTCTTTTTTTAATTTTTTTACGATTTTATTACGACTAATATATAACTATTATACAACTAAAATAAGTAGTTATGATCTGGAGATGAAAGTATCAAAAAAATATAGTTATTTTTAAAATTTGACATATAAATTTTTTGTATCTTAGAATTAGTTGCAAAATTAGTTGTAACTGTATTTAGAATTAATTATGAATTGCAACTGTATTTAGAATTAATTATGAAGTAATAACAAAATTGTTTTCGAGCGAACAAATTACACGGATTCATTAAGGTAATATAGTCTTTTCAAAAAAAAAAATTAATAGGTTATGTTTTTGACGGTATAACTCAGAAATTCGTGTGACTCAACTCGGTCATTAGAGTAAAATGACCCGTGGAATTATTCAAATTATAACATAAAAGGGAAATCCTCCAACTTGTAAGCAGTGGGTGGATCCATCAATGGTGAAGAACGGGAACAAGCTCGAGAGGCAGCTTCTTGACAATGGTGAGAGTGCCGGCCTCTTCAACATCGATGCCTTTCTCCGTCACTCTCCACCTGGACAGATCCTCCGACCGGATCCAAACGGTAACAGCTCGAAATGCTGTCCCCTGTAATCCACGTGGTGATCCAAGAACCTCTCGGGGATGAACTCATCTGGGTTTGTCCAGTTTCTCGGATCTCGTCCGATGGCCCAAGCGTTGATCTGGAGCCGCGTCTTTGGTGGAATATCGTAACCTTGGATCTTGATGTGAGACATTGTTTCTCGCGGAAGTAGGAGAGGAGCTGCAGGGTGTAACCTGAACGTTTCTTTCATTACGAGGTTCAAGTACTGAACCTTGCCCAGATCTTCTTCTGTGATCCTTTCCTTTTCTCCAAGACAACCTCGGATCTCGTCTTGTACTTTCTTCATCAGCTTAGGGTTTCTCGCCAGCTCTGTCATCGCCCATATTATGGTGATAGCGCTCGTGTCTATTCCCGCGAGAAACACATTCTGAAATCCACACAGGCATGGAAAGAAAAAAGGTTAAACTTCATGGCCGTCAGGGAAGAAACCAGGCTAAAAGAATTCAGATTATTACCGCAAGAAACGCTTTGATATGTTCTGTACTGAGCTTCAGAGCGCCATCTTGGCCTTGGTTCTGAATCATAGACAACATCACATCAATGATATCTTGGTGATCTTTCTGTGTTGTCCTTCCAGGCTTCAAATGCTCGTCTATCACTTTCTGGAAGAAGCCGTCCATTTCCGTGAAAACCTTGTCCAGTCTCTTGTGCTGTCCGGTGATCCAGTCGATGAACCAACCTACGCTTCCGGGGAAGAAATCCGAGCAAGTGAAACTACCCTGAACGCTCTCGGCCTCAAACACGAGTTCTTCGATCCTGTCCTTGTCCATGAACTTGCTCTCATGGAAATTCTGTCCCAACACAAGTCTAAAAATGATGCTGGCCGTGAGCCAGAATAGGGTTTTGCTCAAATTCACTGGAGATTGCTTCGAAGCTGATTCAGAGAGTTGCTTGACCAGCAAGTTACACTCTTCCTCTCGGATGTATCCCAAAGACTGCACCTTTTTCACGCTGAAAATCTCACGAACCGCCAGTTTTCGCCTCTCTCTCCATTCCTCGCCGTAGGGCGTGAAGGCGATGTCTCGGTAACCGTGTGATAATTTCCTTGTACCGAAAAGCTTGGGTCTTGAGCAACACTCCAGGTCATGGGTTCTAAGCACTTGTTCAGCTGCTTCGCTCGATGAGATCACGACCAGTTGTGCAAACCCTAGACGGAGAAGCATGAGGGGGCCGTATTTACTGGAGAGCAAGGCAAGAGATCTGTGAAGAATCCCTGTTTCTCCGAGCTGATGCAAGTTTCCGACGATCGGAAGCTTGGGAGGGGAAGGAGGGAGATTCCATCTCCGAGCTTTAACCTTCTTAACGAAGATGAGAGAGAAGATGGTAAGGAGCAGAAGGCAGAGGAAAGAGAGGGAGAGCTCCATTTTTTGTCTGATTCCGATTGAGAAACGAACAACTGGGTTGGTTAAATGCAGAGTGTGGGGTCCACATGGCGGCGTTTAGATAACTCGAGTTTTTGCAGAATGAACGTGGGATTTTATTTTAGTGTTTTTTTTGTCTGTGGGCATTTATTAGGAGAGATGACATTTGTACTTCATCTTGTTGGGCCTTGGCCCATAATATTAAAGCTTGTATCCAGTTTGCTAATCTTATTTTCTTATGGGCCGTAGATAAAATTACTTCCTTGTTGGGCTTTAGGCCCATACATATTTCCAAAGCTACGTTTATAGAGGTCTCTCTATGTATGTGATTCCCATTTTTCCTCATGAACATGGAGCAGCAATTTTAAAGATAAATCTTCACTTATTTTGTCGTCACAGCCTTCGCAGGATAAAATATTATATGGGCCGAGGAATTATTCAAATTACAACATAAAAGGGAAATCCTCCACTTGTAAGCGGTGTAGGAAAATGAATATGTGATTGGAAGAAAATCTAGATTTTGGAAGAACACAATATTATGTTAAATATTATGAAACATATTTATTTCCGTTATATCTATATTTCATTTTATTTCATTTGTTAATTTTTCTATAAATATGTGAGTTATTTTCATTGTAATAAAGTAACTAGAAAAAGAAGAGATGTAGCAATAAAAGTAATTTCGTTCCTTTCTATTTGTCTTATTTTATTTTCGCATTTTATTTTTCTACATGGTATCAGAGCCTGGTTCGATCTGCTCTATATCTTCTTCTTTTTTTTTCTAAATCTCTTCTTTTTTTTAGTTTTGGATGTTCATATATCCAAATCGTTCAAATAGGAGTAAAAATCCCAAAATCAAACGAGGTTTTGTGACAAAAAGAAGTCAAACCTAAAAACTCTAAGATCAAGCGAGGTGCTATGACAAAAAGAGTTAAAGGTAGAACTTCAAAATCAAGCGAAGTGATTTGAATATGGGTAATATTCTCTAAAAGAACTAAATTTGGTGTTTATGGATTTTTCAAAAGACAATGAAAATGTCTATGAATTTTTATCGCATTATCTTTTCAATATTGATTTTTGCATTCTTTCAAAATAAATCTTGAGGGGAATGTTAAAGTAGGAAAATGAATATGTGATTGGAGGAAAATCTAAATTTTGGAGGAACACAATATTATGTTAAATATTGTGAATCATATTTATTTCCGTTATATCTATATTTTCTTTTATTTTATTTGTTAATTTTTCTATAAATATGTGAGTTATTTTCATTGTAATAAAGTAACTAGAAAAAGAAGAGATGTAACAATAAAAGTAATTTCGTTCTTTTCTATTTGTCTTATTTTATTTTCGCATTTTATTTTTCTACAGGATCCATCAATGGTGAAGAACGGGAACAAGCTCGAGAGGCAGCTTCTTGACAATGGTAAGAGTGCCAGCTTCTTCAACATCGATGCCTTTCTCCGTCACTCTCCAATCGAAGAAGTAAAGCAAATTCAGAAGTCCCAACTCCACAGTAGCAATCCTCCTGGACAGATCCTCCGACCAGATCCAAACGGTAACAGCTCGAAATGCTGTCCCCTGTAATCCACGTCGCAATCCAAGAACCTGTCGGGCATGAACTCATCTGGGTTCGTCCAGTTTCTCGGATCTCGTCCGATGGCCCAAGCATTGATCTGGAGCCGCGTCTTTGGCGGAATATCGTAACCTTGGATCTTGATGTGAGCCATTGTTTCCCTCGGAAGTAGGAGAGGAGCTGCAGGGTGTAACCTGAACGTTTCTTTCATTACGAGGTTCAAGTACTGAACCTTGCCCAGATCTTCTTCTGTGATCCTTTCTTTTTCTCCAAGACAACCTCGGATCTCGTCTTGCACTTTCTTCATCAGCGTAGGGTTTCTCGCCAGCTCTGTCATCGTCCATATCATGGTGATGGCGCTCGTGTCTATTCCCGCGAGAAACACATTCTGAAATACACACAGACATGGAAAGGAAAAAGGCTTTAAGCTCCATGGATATCGGGAAGAAACCAAGCTAACAACATTCAGATTATTACCGCAAGAAAAGCTTTGATATGCTCTGTACTGAGCTCCAGTACGCCGTCTTGACCTTGGTTCTGAATTACAGACAACATCGCATCGATGATATCTTGTTGGTCTTTCTGTGTTAATCTTCCAGGCCTCGAATGGTCGTCTATCACTTTCTGGAAAAAGCTGTCCATTTCCGTGAAAACCTTGTCCAGTCTCTTGTGCTGTCCGGTGATCCAGTCGATGAACCAACCTACGCTTCCGGGGAAGAAATCCGAGCAAGTGAAACTTGCAAGAACATTCTCGGCCTCGAACACGAGTTCTTCGATCCTGTCCTTATCCATGAACCTGCTCTCGTGGAAATTCTGTCCGAACACAACTCTGAATATGATGCTGGCCGTGAGAGAGAAGAGGGTTTTGCTCAAATTCACCGGAGATTGCTTCGAGGCTGATTCAGACAGTTGCTTGACCATCAAGTCACACTCTTCCTCTCTGATGTAACCCAAAGACTGCACCTTTTTGACGTTGAAAAGCTCACGAACCGCCAATTTCCGCCTCTCCCTCCATTCGACGCCGTACTGTGTGAAACCGACGTCTCGGTAATCATGGGACAGCTTCCGTGTCCCGAAAAGCTTCGGTCGGCTGCAACTGTCCGAATCATGGGTCTTGAGCACTTCTTCAGCTCCCTCGCTCGACGAGATTATCACCACAGGGGAAAACCCTAACCGGAGAAGCATAACGGGTCCGTATCTCTTGGAGAGCAAGGCAAGAGATCTGTGGGGCAACTCTGGGTCTCCGAGCTGATGCAAGTTTCCGATGATCGGAAGCCTCGGAGGGCTGGGAGGAAGCTTCAACCTCCAAGATTTGATCTTCTTGAGTAACTGCAAGGAGATGAAGGCGATGAGAAAAAACCAGAGGAAAGAGAGGGAGGTTGCCATTTTTGTTCTGTGCCCTGGTTTTGGATTCTGTCCTGTTTCTTCTAAGAAATCAACAACTGGGTAGATAGGGTTTTTACGGAGAAACTCTTGTCGAAAACAGTTCAGAGTTCATAAAAAAAAAAAAAAAAAAACCGGCATGTTGGAACAGACAAAAGGCTTTTGAGTGTTTGGTGTGAAAAGGCGTTCGTGGCATTAGACTTTGCGAACCACATGTCGGATATCGGATAGCGTTAGTGGTTGTTACGTGTAGAAATTGTGGACACGGTCTTATAACTTCAATCATACAAAAAATAACTTATATATATGTGGTAAATACGATGCGCACGTTTCTAAATTATGCGCATTAATGGTAGGCCAGACCCTCCGACCGGACCAAAAGGTTCAATACCTCTCGAAGTGTGTTATTATTGTCATGGGGCTTAACTATCAACCTCCCGCTTGTGAACTCTCCGATTGGTCCCGAAGCTTTTGAGGCGTTGACAAATGTTTCGACCAAGCTTTGTTTCAAAGATAACGTTGATATTCGAAATTGGAATTGTGGCCACAAACGGAAATTGTTGACTTGGAAATTATATACTCGGGGATAAGGATGTCTCGACATCATCTACGTTGAATAGTATTTGTTTCAAAAATAAATATACAAATTTATGTTTATCTAAATATATTTTATCTCAAATAAATAAAAAAGAGATAAAAGTCGATCCAGAAGAAAATTCTATTTAAATTGATGGTACAAGGAAAAACTTTCCTCCAACAGTGGAAATGCTAATTATAATCAACGTTGACAATAACGTTACAATCGCATACCATTATTTTCCACAAATCTTCGGATATATCAGAAAAGCTTAAAGTAAACATGCGTCACATCGTATCGACCGACGAATTATTCAAACCCTAGAAAAAAAAAAATGGGAAATCGAAGAATTTTATTATTCATACGTATAATTACAACCAAGCATTTTATAGGAAACCAAACTTGTACAAAAGAATGAAAACGTTACATGCCATTATTAATCGGAAAAAGCTTGAAAAGAAACATACGTCGCATCCTATCGACCGACGAATTATTCAAACCATACACAAAAAATTAAAAATTCAAATTCAAATTTCGAAAAACTCCAAGCGGGTCATCAATGGCGTAGGACAGGAACAAGTTCAAGAGGCACTTTCTTGATAACGGTAAGAGTACCAGCTTCTTCAAGGTCGATGTCTTCCACTGCCATCCCTTGAGGCAACTTCCAATCGAAGAAATAGAGCAGATTCACTAACGCCCATTCCACGTTGGCCATTCCCAGATTCATACCAGGACACATCCTTCGACCAGATCCAAACGACAGTAACTGGAAGTGCTGTCCCTTGTTATCTACTGGGTTATCGACGAACCTGTCGGGATTAAACTCGTCGGGGTTTGTCCAGTACTTGGGATCTCGTCCGATGGCCCACGTGTTGATCTGAAGGCGAGTGTTTGCCGGAATATCGTAGCCTTGGATCTTGATCTGAGACATTGTTTCTCTTGGAAGTAGCATCGGAGCTGGTGGGTGTAATCTTAGGGTTTCTTTTATTACAAGCTTTAAGTAATGTACTTTATCCACGTCTTCTTGCGTGATCATCTCCTTGTTCTCGCCGATACATTTTCGGATCTCGTCCTGAACTTTCTTCATGAGGGCCGGTTTCCTCACAAGCTCTGTCATCACCCATACCATGGTGATGGCACTTGTGTCTATTCCCGCCAGAAACAGATTCTGAGACCAAAGGCAAACAGAAGACGAGATAAAGTTCGAAACTTTATGGTATAAAATTGGTTAGTATATGTGTGTTCATGTCCGAAAACGTTATGCTTACCACTGAAACCGCCTTGATATTTAACTCAGAGAAGTTGGAAGATCTGTCTTTGCCATGACTTTGAACCATCTCCAACATCGCATCGATGACATCTCTCTGGTCTTTTGTTGATCGTTCAGGTTTCAGATGCTCGTCGATCACTTTCTGGAAAAATGTGTTCATCTCGACGAAGATTTCGTCCATTCTCTTGTGTTGCCCTTTCAACCAGTCGATCATCCAACCGACACCGCCGGGGAAGAAATCAGAGTAACTCAAGCTTGCGAAAACCGTCTCTGCCTCGAAGATAAGATCTTCCATCCTGTTCTTATCGATGATCTTGCTTGTGTGGAAGTCCTGTCCGAATGCGGCTTTGAATATGATACTGGCTGAATACCACAAAAGGGTTTTGCTCAAATTCACCGTAGATTGCTTGGAAGCCGATTCGGTCAGTTCCTTGACCAACAAGTTACACTCCTCCTCTCTGATGCCCATGAAAGACTGCACCTTTTTCACGCTGAAAACCTCACGGACAGCGAGCTTTCGCCTCTCTCTCCACCCTTCTCCGTAAGGCGAGACGCCGATGTCTCGGTAACCGTGGGAGAGTTTTCGCGTCCCGAAAAGCTTAGGCCGAGTGCAGCACTCCAGATCATGGGTCTTGAGAACTGCTTCAGCTCCTTCGCTCGACGAGATCACGACCACCGGCGCAAACCCAAATCTGAGAAGCATGACGGGGCCGTATTTCTTGGAGAGCACGGCGAGAGACCTGTGGGGTAAGTCTGAATCTCCGAGCTGATGCAGGTTCCCGATGATGGGAAGCTGAGGAGGGCTGGGAGGAAGCTTCAGTTTGGACTGTCTGATCTTCTTTATGAAGAAGAACGACAAGAGGGCAGGGAGCAAAAGCCAGAGGAAAGAGAGAAGGACCGCCATTTTCGTTTATCTGTCTCTGTCTGTTTTGTGATCTTTGTGGAGAAACGCATCGCTGTTTATATAGGGTTTCAGACACAGTGGTCCGTAGGGTTGGAGTTCTGATGGCGGACCACATGGGCTGCTCTCTTTCCGTATGACCGAAATAAAAGGTAAGATTTTTTTCCGACATCGACAGCTTAGAAATCTAAGTTCTCGAGTTGATGGCTTAATCGGGCGGAAGCCGTAGAAGTTTCCGACATTTCTTAGACTTTTTTTTTAATTTTATGTTGCCTCTTTTAGATATATTGGTTTATGTTAATACTTTTGAATTGAATTTTTATTATTTAAAACGATTGAACTCAACTGAATCTTTGTATACACACTAAAGAAATGTCATTTAACCCACGTGCGAAGTTAAAGATACGAGATTGATACAATGGACAAAGTACACAAGATCTATAAATATATTATGTTATTTGCATGTATCATTAATTATTGAATTGAATATTCCAATTCAATATAATACACTTCTAGAGACGTACAAGACAAAAAAAAAACATCAGACTCCTTTTTCAGGCTGCTGGCCAACCCAAGTGGGTTATGAAATTAAACCTTAATTTGATGAGTTGGTTCACAATAACGTATAGAAATTTGGAATTCAGAAAATCCTAGATTTTATTATAAATATGTGAAATAATTTTCTAGATTTTTGTTATTGATATATAACCAAATATAGTAATACAATATATTATTTGCATGAGCGATCACTCGCCTAATAATTCTGTCAAATAATACCGTAAAAGATCCAACACCCAGAGATAACTGTTCAATATGATCGTCATGACTTGGACCAAAAAGGGTAAGAAAAGTCAGCGCGAATTGTTGAATTTATGACACCCTTTTTCTCTAAAATCGATTCCGATTAATTTATTATTTTTAAAATTAGGATGATTATATTTATTCAAGAGACTTCGGGTTTTGGATAAATATGATTTTTATAAAGTATAGAATGCATTTATGCATATGATTATGAATAATATCAGACCATTATTTTGTGCGATGAACCTTATTTGAGATTCTATTAGTTAGTTTAGCTAATTAAGATCTGTTCAATTAATATTCTTATATTGTCTAGATAATAGTCTTATGTAATCCATGAATATAACTCGTATGAAAACCCTCTAATACGTGTATTTTTTTAGTGTAAATTATGGCTATCCAGCCCTCGAGTCCCAATTTTTTATTGTCGTACGAAACCCTGATTTTTGAATCGCTTACCACAATTCCCATTCTAATCCATTGGCTCCATGGATTTTGCGACCGTGACTCTCACGCGCCAAGAATCGTCCTTAATTTCATCGATTTCGCACACGCATGCATATATAAACCAATATATTACTACTTTCACTCGAGATTATTATTTGTTTATTCGTACATTTTCTTTCATATATAGCGAGAGAGGCTTACATGCATGACATGCAATGCAACACAAACTCGTGTTTTGTCTGTCAACCAAGTCGAACTGGCACAAGCTCAAGAGGCACTTTCTTGACAACGGTTACAGTCCCTGCTTCTTCCATGTCGATGTCTTTCTCCGTCATCCCATCAGGCAGTTTCCAGTCGAAGAAGTAAAGCAAGTTCAGCAACCCCAATTCGATCGTAGCGATCGCCATTGGCACGCCTGGACAGATCCTTCGACCTGATCCAAACGGTAACAGGTCGAAATGCTGTCCCTTGTAATCCACAGGGTTATCGATAAACCTCTCCGGGATGAACTTATCCGGGCTCTCCCAGTGTCTGGGGTCACGTCCGATGGCCCATGCATTGATCTGAAGCCATGTCCCTGGAGGAATGTCGTAACCTTGGATCTTGAAATGATCCATCGCTTCTCTCGGGACTAAAAGAGGAGCCGCTGGGTGTAATCTTAGGGTTTCTTTTATTACGAGCTTCAAGCAAGGGACCTTATCGAGGTCGCCTTCATCGATCGTCTCCTTCTTTCCGATGCAGCTTCTGATCTCGTCTTGAGCTTTCTTCATCGTTCCAGGGTTCTTCATCAGCTCTGCCATGGCCCAAATCATTATGATTGCGCTCGTGTCAACTCCTGCCAGGAATACATTCTGGACAACGGATGCGAAAACCGAAAAGTTAAACGTTTCTCAGACAGCTCACACTGTATGTGTGTGTGTGTATATATGGGCTTACTTGGATGACTCCTTTGATGTGATCTATGGTGAGCTTGAAATAATCATCTTCGCCTTGTTTATCGATCATATCCAGCATGGTGTCGATGATATCTTGGTAATCTTGAGTTGTTCTTCTTCCGGGCTTCAAGTGATCGTCGATCACGTTCTGATAAAAAGTGTCGAGTTCGACGAAGAGGCTGTTCAGTCTCTTACGTTGTCCGGACGCCCAATCGAGGAACCGCCCGAGAACCGACGGGAAGAAATCCGAGAAAGCGAAAGTGAACACTGCCTGGGCCTCGAACATGAGTTCTTCGACTCTGTCCTTATCCATGTACTTGCTCTCGTAGAAATTCTGTCCAAAGGTAACCCTAAACATGATGCTCGAGGTGAGCCAGAAAAGGGTTTTGTTCAAGTCGACAGGAGCTTGCTTCGATGCCGATTCAGACAGTTTCTTGACCATCAGGTGACTCTCTTCCTCTCTGATACGCCTAAAGGACCTCACCTTTCTCAGGCTGAATATATCAAGAACCGAAATCTTGCGTAGTTCCCGCCAGAGTTCGCTGTACGGAGAGAAGGCGATGTCCCGGAAACCACGGGAGAGTTTTCTCACGGCGACGCCCTTTGGTCGGCTGCAGGACTTGAGATCATGCGTCTTGAGAACTTCTTCGGCCGCTTCGCTCGACGAGATCACGACAACCGGAGTGAAACCGAAACGAAGAAGCATGACGGGACCGTACTTGTCTGAGAGACTGTGAAGAGACCTGTGAGGCAATCCCCCGAGCTGATGCAAGTTTCCGATGATGGGAAGCTTCCGAGGGCTCGGAGGAAGCTTCCATTTCGAGCCTTTAACCCTCTTTACCGTGATCAAGGACAAGAGGATGAGGAGACAGAGGCCGAGGAAAGATAATAGAGAGACTGTCATTTTGGCTGCTCTGTTTTCGACTCTGTTTTCTTTGAGAAGTGATCTTAAAGTCTTCACTGCGCCATCGTCATATAAAGACAAACGGGGTGGAAAAACCAAGACAAAATTGGTTCCTTTTTGAGATAAGTGAGACGGTGGTCTGAAGAATTTTCTTGATTTTGTCATTGCAATGAGTACAAAGGTTAGGAGTACGTCACATCCAACACATATCGATACATCTGATTTGGAAGAAAAAGACAATATATTTTTGCTGTACTGAAACACCGAGTGTTATGTCGATACTTTCATGCTTTATATAACTAGACACACCATTGCTACATGTTGTGAAACACAAGCAAACCTCACCAGTGATTTCACTTGCAAACTTAGCCAAGTATCTCAACAATGAGATCGACAGCAATCACATCTAAGAACCCATTTCAATTATGTATCTAATAATCTATTTATATCATTGGAAACCCGATGAATCATACAACAACAATCCAGTGTTTTAAACGTAATCTACATCACCATTTAACGTATCAATCCACCACTTGACGTAATTTACATCCCAGTGGCAGTGGCCTAGCAGGGCTTGGGCTATGGCGTGCTGGTAATGGCTCCTCTCTGGGCTCGGTGGCCAGAGGTCGAGCAGCATCCGAGATCTGGGCGCTGAACCGTGGTGGTAATGGCTCTTCTCGACTGTCATTTTGGCTGCTCTGTTTTCGACTCTGTTTTCTTTGAGAAGTGATCTTAAAGTCTTCACTGCGCCATCGTCATATAAAGACAAACGGGGTGGAAAAACCAAGACAAAATTGGTTCCTTTTTGAGATAAGTGAGACGGTGGTCTGAAGAATTTTCTTGATTTTGTCATTGCAATGAGTACAAAGGTTAGGAGTACGTCACATCCAACACATATCGATACATCTGATTTGGAAGAAAAAGACAATATATTTTTGCTGTACTGAAACACCGAGTGTTATGTCGATACTTTCATGCTTTATATAACTAGACACACCATTGCTACATGTTGTGAAACACAAGCAAACCTCACCAGTGATTTCACTTGCAAACTTAGCCAAGTATCTCAACAATGAGATCGACAGCAATCACATCTAAGAACCCATTTCAATTATGTATCTAATAATCTATTTATATCATTGGAAACCCGATGAATCATACAACAACAATCCAGTGTTTTAAACGTAATCTACATCACCATTTAACGTATCAATCCACCACTTGACGTAATTTACATCCCAGTGGCAGTGGCCTAGCAGGGCTTGGGCTATGGCGTGCTGGTAATGGCTCCTCTCTGGGCTCGGTGGCCAGAGGTCGAGCAGCATCCGAGATCTGGGCGCTGAACCGTGGTGGTAATGGCTCTTCTCTGGGCTCAGTGGCCTGAGGTCGAGCATCATGGGTCGAGCACCTGACATCTGACTGCTGACCCGCGGTGGTAATGTCTCCTCTCCGGTCTCAGTGGCCAGAGGTCGAGCATCCATGGTCTGGCCCCTGAGCCATGGTGGTTTGGGGAGAGGTCAATGGGCTAGAGACCTATTCTAGTATGTACGGAAAAAATCAAAAGAAATGCACGGATTACATAAGTAAAACATATTTTCCAGCTAAGCGGTTCAAAGAGTCTTTTCTTGTTTCAACACAAGTCCCTCAATCACAGATCCAAACGACTCAAAATCAAGAATGAAATCGAGCACTTCACATCTAAAGGAGTCTCACTCTACATATTTGTAGATTCAACCCGAAAACTAAACATAATGTCTTTAGAATACAGGAAACCACAATGAAATCGTCATTGTTCAGGTAGGAAGAGAAAGCAGAAAACATACCTCATTATTCGGCAACAATGGCGAACAAGCGAGAATGTGCCGAGATTCCTGCCATGTTCCCATTTAAGGAAACTGTTAGTAGAATGCCTTTTATCAACAAAAAAGAAGAAACCAATTGATTAAAGCAAAAAAAAAAAACGACGAGAGAGGTTGCAACAGAGAGATGGCCACGAGGAAGAGAGAACGATAGCATTGAGTCTAAGAGCAAATGGAGAACATTTGGCAGACAAAATTCTCAGAGTTTTCTTCCACTAAAAAAATTTATAAGAGTTGATACCAAATACAGAAACCAATATACAAGCCTATAGAAGAGCAGGACCAAATACAGAAACATACCATCGATACAGGTGTTTAATGCTGCTTCCTATCCCGCAAGACAATGAGCAGGACCAATGTGTTGGCAAAAACTTTTCTCACTCCAAAATGCTCAGTCTAATTTTTGAGGAATGGATTTAAATCTACAGAAGAGAAGTTTTGCCACGATAGATCAAGAGAACTGGCCTCTTGCTTCACAGCTTGACCACTAAGAGTGATATTTCTCCACTAATATAATCGAGTCAGCTGCAGCATAGACGATAACAAGAAATTCGAATGATGGAACTAAAATGAACTAGAAAAGGAAAGGTGTAGTAAGCCTAAGTAAATTCGATCATAGATTCAGTGCATTGTCCATTAGCAAGTCTACATTTATCTTCTATTAGTTCCTGATGATTGTTTAATGAAGATCACATTCTTGAGAAATTCATATGATGAACAAAAACCCTTTGAGATAGTACATTCCCTTCCATTTCTCTGTGGAAATTCATATAACAATTCACCCTTGTGAGATCGACACAAAGAATAAAATAAGCTCTAACCTGATAACTTCCTCTTTCATTTCTCTGTAGTGCAGGTGGCAACAATTCAGGCGTAAATGACAGTTTATCAACAGCTCCAGGCCACCGTGTAGCATGTTACTTCGGCAAATCTTTCGGCTATTGATTAAGATAGCCTTTTGCACAGGAAATACAACATGGAGGATTTCAAAGCTCTATACCCCTTTTGTGCTTACGCTGCACTTGCTGAGCTGATAATTTATTAGTGTCTCAGACAAATGTCCTTCAAGGGTAAAACCTTTATCCATCATCTTATCCCAAACCTTGTGGGCTAGGGATAGTTTGTTTTCCCGTATGAGTCCCCCAATTATCAAATCGAAAGTCAACTTGTCAGGACTACAACCTTTATCTTGCATTTCCTCGAACAATTTCACAGCCACAACTATTTTAGAGGACTTGCAAAGACCACTTATAAGGGCATTATACGAAACTACATCAGGTGTGATTCCCTGCTCTACCATGTCATTGAAAACACTACATGCCATCTCAACTTTCCCAGATTTACACAAATGGTCAAGAATGGTTGTGTAAAATATACGATCTGGTGATAGACCTGCCCCTGTCATCTGATGAAGAAGTTTCTTTGCAATGCTAGAGCTGCTAAGGCTATGTTCCCTAAGAAAGGCCTTGATAAGAGTGGTGTAAGTGACCACACTACCTCCTACTCCCTTCTGTCTCATTTCCTCAAAAAGCTTATAAGCCCTCCTTGTATTTGATGCCTTACAGTATGCTTCTATCACGGTACTGTAAGAGACAACATCACAAAACCCTCTGGGCTCTATCTCATTTGTCATGAACAAATAGCCTTTGTCAGGCTCACCAGCCTTGCAAATTCCTTTAAGCAACTGGTTGTAACTGTAAGCATCAGGCTGTATCCCCCTTCTCTCCATCTCCTTCATCAACCTCTCTGCTTTCTCCAACATGAGGTTATTGCAGTAATGATTCAATAATACATTGAATGTAACAACGTCCGGCTCACATCCATTCTTGCTCATAAAGGATTTTATTGCTTTTGCCTTGTCCTCCCTACCTGCCCTACAAAACCCACTAATCAACGAATTATAAACCACTGTACTCAGCTTAACTCTTGCAGTCTTCATCTCTTCCACCACCATCTCATAAGCCAAATCAACCTTCCTAGCATCACATAAACCTACAACAAGTGCTGCACATGCTTTATTATCCGGCCTAATCCCTCTACGAATCATATCATTCCAAATCTCGACAGCCTCATTGATCTTTCCATCTTTAAACAACCCATCAATCAGTATAGTATAAGACACAACATCCGGTTCCCGACCTCCCTGAACCATACGAAAGAACGTCTCAACAGCAAGCCCAACCTTTCTCTCCCTACACAACAGATCCAAATATATGTTGAATGCCCAGACATCGGGAACGTAGCCGAGACAGCCCATGTCCCTCAGCAAAGCTTCAATGAAATCAAAGTCTTTGACTTTGCATAAACCCGATATAAACCTCGAGTATGTAAACGGGGTGAGCGAAAAACCCATTGGCGTCATTTCCCTGTAGAACTCCACGGCGAGCTCGAATCTGGATTCCTTTACCAATACGCCGATGAACCGGTTGTAATCCACGGAGAACACGCGGCAGCTCGAGTGGCGCATTTCATCGAACACCTGAACAGCGTTGTCGATCAGACCCGACTTCACGAGGCGAGCGATACACGAGCGGTATGCGAGGCGTAACGCGCCCAGGGTCTGATGCATATCACAGTTCGATTTCGACGACGCATATCAGGTGGACAATTCCGGCGTTACGTGGTGCTTCAACGCCGCGGCATCAGATCGGCGGCGAGAGGGACGGACCTGTGTTAACACGAAGCGAGGGAAATGGAAAACATGAAAGACTCCCAAATCTTAACCCGACTAATTATATGGGCCTTTAACGGACACTTTATGGGGCCCATTAGGCCCAAAATGGGAGACTCTGGAAGCCTTGAGGATTTGGTTTCGGCTTTTGCTTCCCTCTCCTCAAACTCAGACTCGCAAGGTTTAATGGGTGGAAGGGACTGCGGAAGCTCGACAGCGAAGCGAAAATCTCTGCGGATTGTCCTTCTAGCTCATCGTCCTCTTCTTTTAGTCTGTCTACAATGGCGGAAGAGAAGTTTAGGGTTCGTGTGGTGTTTGAGGATCGAAGGATTCTGAGCATGTCCCAGAAGAAGGAAGGTCTGGGGAGAAGCTGGATTGTTCTGAATCGCAAGTGTCATCGTACCATTTCCAATATCTCTACTCATCTTCTTGGCACTTTCGACCTCTTTGAAGCTTGCCCACATGGCATCTCTCTATCTGTATGTCTTCTTTTGCCCTAATTCCCCGAAAGCAAATGCATTGTTGGTTACATACCAAAGGAGCAAACTTTTGGGGGAGAAATTCTCGTTATTTTGTGTTTATGTTCGTTTTATATGACGGCTATTTCTGTGTCGGGATTTTAATGTATGTATGAATCTTTGGCTCCAGATGGAAGGGTTTGTTCTACCGCCGTTCGAGTCGAGTTGTGTTTTGAACGACAAAGACATTGTCTGGTGAGCACCATCTAGTGAATGTTTTGTTGTGTTCCATTCAGCATTCACGTCTTTGTTTTCCGTGTGGTGAGACACTGTCACTGTTGATTCTTCTTCTTGTTTTGGTAGTGTGAAGAAGAGAAAAGCATCCTTGTCGGAAATTGCTGGGGCATACAATGGAGAGAATGCTTTCAATAGGATAGAGCTCGAACCGAGAGGTGGAATACAGCTTCTAGCAAATGAGGAATTTCAGGAGGAAACCGGAGGGTATGAAAGTGACTCGGAGGAGGCTGAGCCCAAAGAGATGGGAAATGGGTTGTTGGAGGAAAGTCTGCCCGAGAAGAAGATGTCAAAGAAGAGAAAGGCTTCAAGTAAAAGTCCAAGCTCCAAGTATGGACCATTACCAGAACAACTGCTTACTTGTTTGTTTGTATCTGTGTTGCTGTTGTTCATGTTTATAATGATGCAGGAAGAAGAAGTGTAAGTTGGCTCGTACTGAAGAAATAGAAAATGGATCCTCTGCTAACAGAAAGAAGATTTCACAAATTGGTGATACAGGCAAGAAAAAGCGTGTTGCCAAGAAGGTGAAGTCTGATATAAAGACGGCTGAAATTGATAAAGAGAATAATAGTGCTGCCAAGTCCATGGCTAACTCAAAAGAGTAGGTGAATGTTATCTCTAGCCCTTTATCATGTTCACTTATCGATTCTCATTGCCTTATTATTACAGGTGCTCACAACAGGAAGAGCAAAAAGGTGCTGATGATTTATGCCAGATTTCTGGTGAAACAAAAAAGGTCGGCCCTTTACTACATTCTTGAAAGGAAACAAGTTGGAGTTGTTTTATGTTGCTTCTAGGTCACTGATTTTTTGTCTTCTAAAGAGTGAACTGAACTAGTAATATGTCCAGCTGATTCCTTTGTAGATTTTCTGGTTTGAGTGGATCCAGGGATTTGCTTGCTGGTTTTTACGGTTCAACAAATTCACTATATTATCAATGGCACTTCACTTATCTGCTTCCTGTAACTGCTGTCTTTGCGAGAATTAATGTGAACCGACTCTTCTTGTTTTTTGTTTCTAGGTTCCTAGCAGAAGTGCTCGCCGTAAAAAGGCTAAACGGCAATGGTTGAGAGAAAAGGCCAAACTAGAGAAGCAAGAGGTTCTCTTCACCATCACTATTATAAGATTCATGCATCAGACATGTACTTAGTCATGTATAACTTGAACTTCAGCACTAACATCTTCTTTCATATTTACAGCTCGAACAGAAGCAGTTGATTGTAACACCCAGTAAAAAATCACTTGGCATCATCAATATCCATGTTGCTGAAGAAAATCACCTTGTTGCCGAAGAACACCAGCAACCAGATGAGTGTAGTGATGGCATAGGAGATGAAGTCGTTCCTGTGGAAGTGAGGCCAGGCCATATTCGCTTCAAGCCCCTTGGTAAACTTAATGAAGCTTGTTCTTTGCCTAGTTCTGTGGGTTTGTTTCTGTGTCCTTACCATTTCTTTCGCATGCTTCTCTTTCCAGTCGGAGCAGATCAAACCTTCCAAGAAGATGAAACTCCAATGGTATGTATTACTTACGGTTCCTTTTTCTTAGTGCATTGTTTTAAGGATTATGATGTCATGCCAAGAACTTTCGCTGCTATTAGGAAAACTTCTCGTGGAATGGAATTACGAGCAAGAAGAAAGGTCAGAAATGGGGCAAAGAGAAAACTGCAACCGCCAAACGATATGCTCAAGATTTCTGCCAAGATTTCTCTGAAACCCAGACTGCAGAAGTAGAGAAACCACCCTCTGTTCAGATCAACTATGAAAAGCTCATGCCCTACCTTGGCTCGCCAAAGGTTTGTTCTTGTTAGACGAGATGTAGCTCTTAGCTCTTGCCTCTTCTTGTTCAAGGGTCAAATGGTTAACATTAACTCTATGTAAAATGTTTCAGGAAGGAAACATTATCGCATATCGGTTGATTGAGCTATCATCTTCTTGGACTCCAGAGGTTTCCTCATTCAGAGTAAAGCTTCATTCTCCTGTCTTTGAACTAATTGATTTGTTTTGTTTTAGCTTTAGCCGTTTACGATACCATTCCCTTGGTAGGTTGGAAAAATAATACGATATGATCCAGAATCCAAGAAGGTGATGTTGACGCCTGTCCCCGAATTTCCAATAGAGAAGAAGATGGAAGAGGATGATTCCTCAGCTCAACCAGATACATCTTTGTATAAGGAAGATGGATCATTGGAGGTATGCTTCATGTGTCAGTGATTGTAACCCATGACACTGATATTTCCGCCAGAGATCAGGACTCCTTTCTGGTTTGTTCTACAGATAGAATCTGATGAGAAAGCTTTCTCCTTTGTTTCTTTTGCTTCTACAGATAGAATTTTCTTCTCTGCTTGATGTCCGTAAGGTGGATCAGAGCACGACTGACGATACAAGGCCGGATCAGAACACGACTGATGATACAAGGCCGCTTACTGCAGAAAGTGAGAAACTTTCTGAGCCAGAGCAAACAGCACCAAGTCAGTATCTGGGAGCAGACAATGGGTTAAAATCGCCGATAAAAGGTACTTTCATATTTGCTCAGAAATGCGATAACCCTTCATGATCATATTCTCTTTTTTCGGCTTACCTTGGTATGTGTATTTGTTGCAGAAAATGGAAATGTGAACCCATGGGAGGAAATAAGCCAAACTCTAAATGCAAAGAAGACAGAACTGACTCAGAGCAAAGGCTGGAACAAGAAAGTGAACTCAAGTGGAGGTTCGTGGTCGTACAGGGCCCTGAGGAGCAGTGCTCTGGGTCCGGTGATGAACTATCTTAGATCCCAGAATGAAATCTAACATTCCAGAAAGAGATTGCCCCTTGTCAGATTATGATTGATATATTTTAGACCTTTTTGCTGCATCAGTTTTGTTGTCTGCTTATGACAACTTGGGCAAGAGAACGCTTCTTTGGTTTTAGGAAAAAGGGCTTGTTTTTGCGTAAATCAAAGCTTATGTATAGGAAGAAAACCATCTTACCACCTAATATAAACCAAGAATTATGCTCCAGGATTACTCAAAATCCACTTCTCATTTCGTTCACTGAAAGACCAAGTCACGAGAATTTGAATGGAAACTGTGTGCCATCACATCCTAACATGGTTGAATACCAATTCCCAGAAAAGCAAAGAGGCAGCCGCCAGGTTTCTTCCAATTGCACTCTCATAAACCTCTGCAGAGAAAATAGAGAAAACCATGAGAAGGGCCACCATAATTGCACAGAAGACCAGAGCTCATGGCAGAAACAATGGAGCTACTTGCAGATTCTGCCACCAGCTCTTCCTGATTTCAAGCTTAATCAAGTTTTTGCATTTCCCCATACCCAATTCACCTGTTCGACTTTCATGTATACGTGCACAGCTACAGACGCAATCCCAGATCAAATTCCCCAAAATATCAACGCCAATCAGATGAAATTCGACGGAGACACGTTCGAATGTTAAAGTACCTGACTTTCTTGATGAGGATCGACTGGAGTTTGCGCGCGAAATCCTCGGATTGGATCCTACGTTCCAGATTCTTCCTAGCGAGGACCTTCTTCTCGGAGTTCTTGATATGATGAGCCTGGCGCTGCTTTATCAACCGCTCCATTCCACTCGACTGCATCTTCCTCTGCAGTATCGACAACGCCTGCTCCAGATTCCCGTTCAAAACCTTCACTCGTATTCCGCGTTCCTGCTGCGCCTGATGGTGGCTCGACCGAGTAATCAATCCCGTGACTCGCCTCGTTACCGTGTTCATCTTTCCCAAGTCGTCTCTGCAATTAGGGCTAACAAAACCATGCTTGATTTACATAGAGTACAGACAATGAGAAAAGAGCAAGAGCAAGAGTATCGGATTTGAACTTGCCTATCGGTACGTTGGTCGGAATCTCACCGGAGAAAGAGGGAGAGACGCCGAAGAGCTGAGAAATGATAGAAACGGAGACTATTTAGGTTTTTAAGGGCTTAAAGCTCGACCAAGATGAAGAGGGTGATTCTGTCATTACTATAAACTATAGGGGTAATTGTGTAATAACATGGATCAGGGAACCTCTGCCTGTTGCAGAGAGTTTTGACTTTGAACAGCAACGCTCATGAGTCATGGCTTCGAATTTTTTTTTGCTTGATTGTTTTCATTTTTTATTTTCCCTTCTCCGGCGCTTCTTCCTTCACATAGCAGCCTTCGCCATAGTTAGCTGAAAAACTGTAGCCATCTTCAGAGAGATAGAGAGAGGCGGAGAGATACAGAGAGAGAGATGGCGACTTTCAGTCCGAAGCGAGCAATGGCGGAGCTACGGCACTCGAGCTCACTCGGGAGCCGATCCTCTTCCTCTCCGCTGCGCGGCGGCGGCGGTGGCGTTGGCGGTGGAGACGACGACTCGTCGTCGCCTCACGTCCACGATCACTCTACCACCGGTGGAGACGACGACGACGACCGCCCACGACGGGGAGATCGCGACCGTTCCTTCTGGTCACTCTCTGGGCTTCACTCGTTGTTCCCTTTCTTCGGTGACGATCCTAGGGTTTCTCCCCACAAGAACAAGATCTCGCTTTTGTTGCTGTTTATTCTAACCGTCGCAAGTTTGATCTCCGTTTTAGGGATTGTTAATCATTTGGTAAGTCTTTCGTTCGATCTAGGAATTGAAATCTTCCGGTATCCAACAGTGGGTACTTGTGAGATGTATTGATTCCGATGCATAATCCAATGTTACCGATCAGGGAATGTATTAGCTGCCTGCATTTGGGTTGAGAAGTGAAAGTAAGGGTTTTTATTCTCGTTAATTAAGCTTAGATCTCTTGTATCTGGATCACTTTTTGTGCAGAATACCCCATATTTGTGTAGAAAAGATGGAATTGTGCTTCACTGCCCACATGTAAGTATCTGAGCTTCACTGTCTATCTATCGAATACATATGTTTTGTCCTGTGAATGAGTTCTGTCTGTTTGCATCTCCAGGTAAAAGAGACACCTTCTCCCTGGGAGAATCCTTTGTCTGCTACGACTTCGTGGAAGCCTTGTGCCGAGCGCCAGCTTGGTGGAGTGTCAGGTATTACATAGGTCGTATGTTTCAATATCACCGTAAATCTTGTCATGTTGTTTTTGATCGGTCATTCCTGAAGTTAAATTGTTGTTCTTGAGCTTTCTTTCTGGATATCTTCTTATCAGTTTGCATTTGACCATTTTCAGATATTCCTCCTGAGAATGAAACAAACGGCTACATCTTTATCCACGCTGAAGGTGGTTTGAATCAGCAAAGAATTGCTGTATGTGTCTTCCATGCATTTTCTTAAATCTATTTCCTGATTCATATTTTCACTGTAAAATCGCGAATCTATGTGCATGTGGCTTCTCCTTTTTACTTGAACTATCACTGCAATTTCTTCCTGCAAATGCTTTAGTTTTTCACTTTTTTGGCTGCAAAGCTTGATTTTTGCTATTTCATAGCCTGCAAAGTTTTGAATTTTGTTCCTTCATGGGTTGCAGATCTGTAATGCTGTAGCTGTTGCCAAGATTATGAATGCAACTTTGATTCTACCTGTATTGAAGCAGGATCAGATTTGGAAAGACCAAACGTGAGCTTATTATTAAGCATTTGCTTTCACTTACCATTCATTTTTTATTTCTATTTGCTGTAGTTATGCATTTCTCGGTTATGATTATTTGAACATCATAATAGAGAAGCAAGATCCTCTCTGTATGTACTGAATCTGCAAATGTACTTTGCAGGAAATTTGAAGACATTTTTGACGTAGACCATTTCATTGATTACTTGAAGGCGGATGTTCGAATTGTTCGAGATATACCTGAATGGTTCACTGACAAGTCAGAGTTATTTAGCAGTATAAGGTTTGTTTCAGCTGTTTAGCTTTCATTGGCGATATGATTATTACCTTTGGTTATTCAAAAACCTTATAGAATAATTTATGCAAGTCAAAGGAGTCTGGTATACATATATGTATATATGATGACGAAGTACTAGGAATTCATATTATAATTGTGATTTTGACCAAGTCATATGGTTTGTATTCTGCAGACGAACTGTCAAAAACATTCCAAAATATGCACCAGCACAATTCTACATTGACAATGTTTTACCTCGTATAAAGGAGAAGAAGATAATGGCCTTAAAGCCTTTTGTTGATCGGCTGGGGTAAGCTCTGTAATATACTATTGATCAAGGCAATGACTTTCAGAGTGTCTGTGTATACAACAAATGATGTTTCCTTCTGTTCTTGGAATTTTTTTCAGGTATGATAATGTACCACCGGAAATCAACAGATTACGATGCCGTGTAAACTATCACGCTCTAGTGTTTCTCCCAGAGATAGAGCAGATGGCCGATTTACTAGTTTCGAGGATGAGAAATCGCACAGGAAAGCCAAATCCATATATGTATGAGATACCATCATACAGAATGTTGTTTGATAGTGAACCCTTTGAATTGCTGTAACTCGAGCTGCTAATTCTGTTTCTCCCATGCAGGGCTCTTCATCTGAGATTCGAGAAAGGTATGGTTGGCCTATCCTTCTGTGATTTTGTGGGAACAAGGGAAGAGAAAGCTAAAATGGCAGTATACAGGCACAAGGAATGGCCTCGGCGTTACAAGGTGACTCGTACTACAATGATATCTGATTTGTCTCTTAAGGTTTGGTGCCTAAACTATCATGGGCTTGTTGTGTATTTGCAGAATGGTTCCCATCTATGGCAGCTTGCCCTGCAGAAGCGAAAAGAAGGCCGGTGCCCTCTTGAGCCTGGAGAAGTTGCTGTCATCCTACGTGCAATGGGTTATCCAAAGGAGACGCAAATTTATGTAGCATCTGGTCAGGTCTATGGTGGGCAGAACCGTATGGCTCCCCTCAGAAACATGTTCCCGAATTTGGTAAGAACTCCACAATCAGTCTCGGTCATGGCGTTTCTTCAGCGAACCCGTTTCTTATCATCGGTCTTTTCACCAATGTCGTTAACCAGGTGACGAAGGAGGAGTTAGCGAGCAAAGAGGAACTAGCCAGCTTCAGAAAGCACGTGACGAGCCTTGCGGCCTTAGATTTCCTGGTCTGCTTGAAATCAGACGTGTTTGTGATGACACACGGTGGAAATTTCGCGAAGCTGATCATCGGTGCAAGAAGATACATGGGACACCGTCAGAAATCCATAAAACCGGACAAAGGGTTGATGTCTAAATCCTTTGGGGACCCATACATGGGTTGGGAAACATTCGTAGAAGACGTAGTTGTCACCCATCAGACACGAACTGGTTTGCCCGAAGAAACTTTCCCTAACTACGACCTCTGGGAGAATCCTCTCACTCCCTGCATGTGCAAAGCCTGATGCTTCTGTTCTGTCCCTCTGTCCTTGCAAAATCTATTATTCTTTTTCTTTCATTACCAAAGTATTTGCATTTTGGACAAAGAGATGGTTTGGTTGGGGTTTTCACAAGGTAGATGTTGGGTCTTTAGTTAATTCTGTAATCATTTTGATATTGTGTAAAGTTACTTGTTGAAATATTTTTAAATTACAAGAGATAGGGAATAGGGATATTGATTGACAGGGAAATGCCATTTAATGTAATTGAACTATAAAACAGTTTTATATAATTATAGCTTTATCTTCTTTGGTTGCGGTATCGCTATGACATATTTTACTGTAAATATGAATCATTAACAGCCAACGAGGGCAATGTTTTTTCATTTGCCTCGTCAATGTCTAATACTTATCTATAAACATGATGAAAAAAAAAGAGATTTATAAGTGAATTATTTAGAAACAAAATCCATTGTGTCTATATATATAATATATATCATTTCTACGCCTAATCTATGAACATATTCATCTATGACAGCGTAAATAAGCATATGCCAATCTATTTGGATTTTGGCAGATCTTAATATACCCGTTATTCGTGCTTAAGCGTATCCATCGTTATAGAAATGGTAAATGGTAAATGGTAAATGGTAAATGCATTTACTCAAGGATCCACGTTTATCCTAATATAGTCATCTACCATACACAAAAAAGCTGCAAAATCAATATATATAGAAAAAAATCTTCCGTATGGAGACAGAAGTTACACACACATATATATATATATATATATATGTGTGTGTGTAGCATACAAATTCATTCAATGATGAATATTTATAACCGAGGGATACCCGCCAGTTACAGGACACTTGCTTTCGGTCTCGACGCCATGGACGGGCCATCCATCAACAGAGTCGGGTCGACCGGGTTTCTATCTTCCCGCGTCTCTTGGTTCATCGTCTTCTTCATCTTCCTCAATCTTTCTCTCCTCAGGTACTTCACCTTCTCTCCACTGGTCCCTGATCATGCTTTTACAGTGTCGGGCTTCAAGCTGGGTTCGTTGAATTTACAGAATTTGACGGATTTGCTGAAATGTTTATGTGGGTCAATCCCAAATTTTCTTCTTGTTACGATAATCTTGTGTTCTTTTTTTGAATTTTGAGCTAATTCCTTGAAAGTTTCAGTATTTCGGTTGGATCGAGCGAACGCGCGATAGCACCGCCAAGAGGATGGAATTCGTACGATTCCTTCTGCTGGATCATTTCCGAAGAAGAATTCTTGCAGAGTGCCGAGATCGTTTCCCAACGACTTCACCCTCATGGATACGAGGTATATACAGAGAAACATCATCGTTAACTGTAAGAATGCTATATAGGGTATTGAGCTTTGGTTGTGAGAAGATTGGATTTGTCTCCGGGAAAGTTTTCTATAAGTGGGAAACATCACTGGGTTTCCTTCTGTTCTTATTTTGGAAACTTAGGGTTTGGTGGTTGAGTTTCATGTGAATTTGCTCGTCCTCCCTTTGTGTGTGTTCAATGCAGTATGTTGTGGTGGATTACCTCTGGTACAGAAGGAAAGTGGAAGGAGCTTATACCGACTCTCACGGGTTCGATGTGATCGACCAATGGGGGAGGGTTCAGCCCGATCCCGAAAGGTGGCCATCCTCTAAGGACGGAAAAGGTTTCACTGAAGTGGCAAACAAAGTGCACGGAATGGGTTTGAAGTTTGGGATTCATGTCATGGCCGGAATCAGTACACAAGCATTTAACTCCAATACTCTCATCTTGGACCCTGTCACGGTATTTTTTATTTTAATCTCAGATTCTTCTAATTATGGATTGGCGAGTGATCGTTGTTTGCCTTGTGATCAGGGCGATGCTTATCAAGAATCGGGTCGACAATGGCGGGCACAAGATATCGGGGTCAAGGAGAAGGCATGTGCATGGATGCCTCACGGGTTCATGAGCGTAAATACTAAGCTAGGAGCAGGAAGAGCTTTCCTCAAGTCTCTTTACCTACAATACGCCGAATGGGGTGTCGATTTCAGTAAGAAAAACGAATTCGTGAAGTCTCAATTCGATCTTCGAAACATCAAAGTATAAAGACATGAACTTTGCTATTGTCTTCAGTAAAACATGACTGTGTGTTTGGCGATGACTTCAACCTAGACGAGATCACTTATGTATCAGAGGTATTTAACTCATTTTTACGGTATTCACTATCATATTTTACTATATTACTGCACGGAGATATCGGTAAAAAAACCAAGTTTTTGCAGGTTCTGAGGGAGCTCAATCGGCCAGTTTTGTACTCTTTATCTCCGGGAACAAGTGTGACACCTGCAATGGCCAAAGAAGTTAGTTCATTAGTTAACATGTATCGGATAACTGGCGATGATTGGGACTCATGGAAAGACGTTTTGGCCCATTTTGATGTCTCGAGGTCACGCTTATGAATGCACGTAGATTATTTTTGCTGAAATGCTTATGAGTTTCCAATCTTTATTCGATATCGTTTTTTTACTACCAGAGATATGTCGGCTTCTGATATGATCGGTGCAGAAGGCTTACTGGGAAAATCGTGGCCCGACCTTGATATGCTACCACTCGGATGGCTTACAGATCCAGGTGATATATATATATATATATAGAGAGAGAGAGAGAGAGCATTCTCTCCCAGATTTCAAACTTCAATCTGATTTCATGGTCTGATAATGTCTTAAAATATTGTGAAAGGTTCGAACTTTGGACCCCATAGACCGTGTAGGCTTACTCTGGATGAACAAAGGACACAGGTAAGTTGGCTTTTGCGGTGTATAAATTCTCCATTGCCGACAATTTTCATGTTCCTTCTGTTTTTGCCCAGATGACTTTGTGGGCTATAGCAAAGTCCCCTCTCATGTTTGGAGGAGACGTGCGAAACCTCGACGACGGTACATATAGTCTTATCACAAACCCGACATTGCTGGATATAAACTCTTACGGTTCTAACACCAAGGAGGTACGTGAAAACGTAACTTCAACTCATTCCGATTTTGGCAAAATCCAATCTCTGTCGAGCTTCTAAAACCGATTTTGCAACTTCTATGATGCAGTTTCCTTATGTCACCGGGATAAATGTATCTACGAGGAAGCGAAAAAACAATCCACGAGAGCCAACGGAAGGGGACATGACAACTAAACTTGCTTTTGGTCTCACGAGCTGCAAAGAGCCGAAAGCCAGCGAATGGTCAATATCAGGATTAGACGAGAATCATCGACAAATCTGTTGGAACCAAAACTTACAAAGCAACAAACTTGCGAGGCGGCCCTTTTGCTTATACAACAGAAAGAGACGAATCGCTTCGTATGATCTCAATCACTATCAGTTTGGTTAACCACTGTCGATTCTCAACGGGTTAATCTGATTTTTGTTCGGTGCAGAGATGAGGAGTTGAGACAAAACCAGATTTACCGAGGTAAACTTCACGTGGTAACAAGCGATAGAACAGCTTCTTCCTGTTTAGGCGCTTCTCCTAAACAAAGGCTCACCTCGAAAGATTACAGCCGAGGTGCATTGTCACCGTGCAAAGCCGACGATGCCAACCAGGTATGACCCGTCTAATCTCTTCTTGTCCCGATCCTATGTTGTAGTTTTCGTATTTCTTACGACACGATCTGATGTCGTATACAGATGTGGGAGCTCCATAGGAATGGGACACTGCAGAACGGATATTCTGGTCTATGTGCAGTGCTGAAACAAGTCGCAGGTTATCTTTTTCCTTGATCAGATTTTCTTGTTCTTCTCTTTACTCGGCTGTGTGTTCACCCGTCTTTCTCTTCGACCAAAGCTGGCTCCAATGGCGTCCGTGCTTGGATTTCCAGGGGAAGAAGTGGTAACTTTCTCCTCTAATGGTGAATGTGCGTGTATATGTATATATACACATACACAGTTACATATGACAGATAGCATTGCCATGGCTTGAACAGGAGAAGTGTACCTAGCGTTCTTCAACCTGAACGAGGTGAAGACAGAGATATCGGCGAAGGTAGGAGACCTGTCGAAGGCTCTTCCCGACAAGAATCTGGAAGGAGCTTCGTGTGAGAGCTCCGAGCTGTGGAGCGGCCAACGATTCGGTCCGACCAAAGACTCTGTCTCGATCCAAGTCCCACCCCATGGCTCTGCCTTGTTCACGCTCTCCTGCTCTCGTGCTTGAACTCTCCGTGCGACGTCGTTGCGTCCTGCATTCTCCTTTACGTTCCTGTTGCGTTTCCCGTTGTGAAGCTCATCAACTTCTTTAATAAAGGTCGACGCTGCAATATATATATATATATATATATGCATTTTAATACTTTGATTTTCAATTTTTATTGTTATAATATTTGAACTATAAAATTATAGAAATTAAATAATTTTGATCATTTAAAAATAAAAAGAAAAATTTAAACCACATATTTTAACTATGGTATAAAATATAAAATATTAAAAGTTCGGGTATCAAAATAAAGAAGAATAAAAAAATTGATGTATTTTTTGTTTCCCTTAATAAAACGTTTATCCACATGTCGCGCAGTGTAAATATCTAATACTTAAAAGTTAATCTATACACGTGGAAATGTAACAATTAAATTACTAATCGCAAATAGAATTACAAGGAAAAGAATCTAAAGACAGATTAAAAAAAATCTGGGGGTAAAAGACGAGGATAATTATAAATCGGGAACACTAATAATGACCGTTCGTTTCCGTTTTCAAGTCAACCGTCACACGTCGCCTGGGCAAGAGAACCTCTCTCTCGCTCCTGATTAGTGCGTGTACTCCACGCGCACTGATAGCGCGTGTTGGATCCCCCTCGCCCCTCCGTTTTCGAATCATGCCACGCTGCCCTCCAAATGGAATTTCATTTATTTCGTTTTCTCAAAATTTTGTTCGTCACGCAAAAGAGGAAAAGAGAGAGACGGCGATAGTCTGTTTCTTTCCTTCCGGCGATTTCGTCTTTGGGTGTTCTCGGAGCTCCTCGAATCTTGTCCGGATCCTTAGATCTATACTGTTCCGGAGAATTTCCGCTGCCTTCCATTCAGATCTTTTCGTTTTCGAGCTTTTTTTTTGTGTTCAGATCTCGGAACCTCCGGTTTTGGAATTGGATCAGATGTCGAAACCTTGGGGTAAGATCGGCGCATGGGCCGATGAGGCTGAGCTTGCCGATGAGGAGAAAGCCGCAGAAGCTACGGCCACTGCGGCGGCGGATATGCGTAGTTTCCCGAGCCTAAAAGAAGCTGCGATTGCCAAGTCGAAGAAGAAGAAAAAGATCATGACGCTGTCGGAGTTCTCCATGGGTGAGTACGGCAGCGGAAGTGCCGCGGTGGGATTGACCCCGGAGGAGATGCATCAGCTTCCGACTGGTCCCCGGCAACGCTCCCAGGAGGAGATGCAACCGGGTCGTCTAGGCGGCGGATTCTCCTCGTACGGTCGGTCTGGTGGTGGGCCTCCGGAACGGATGATGCGGGATCGGGGAGATTCCGATGGGTCGTGGGGCGGTGGCAGGAGAGCCTATGGCGGATTTGACGATGAACGCAGAGGACCCTCGTCTAGGGTTTCCGATTTGTCTCAGCCGTCAAGGGCTGACGAGGTTGATGACTGGGGAAAATCGAAGAAATCGCTTCCTTCTTTCGATCAAGGACGCCAGAGTCGCTATGGCGGTCTTGGAGCCGGCGGCAGTGGTGGTGGATTCTCCAAGGCGGATGAGGTCGATAATTGGGGGGCGGGAAAAAGGCAGCCCCCCACATCTACATTCGGGTCGGGTTTCCATGATTCGGGCCCCAAGCCTGATCGGTGGAGCCGAGAAGTCGCCGGCGTTCAGGCGGAGCGTCGTCGTCTGGTTTTGGAACCACGAAAGGCTGATTCAGGAGTGACCGAAACTCAGGTTGTGAAGACAAATAAACCGAGCCCATTTGGTGCAGCTAGACCGAGAGAGGAAGTGTTGGCGGAGAAGGGATTGGATTGGAAGAAACTCGACTCGGAAATTGAGGGCAAGAAAGAAAGCTCCCAAACGAGTAGACCAACGAGTGCGCACTCAAGCAGGCCATCAAGTGTGCAATCTATCAGGTCTGAGGGTTCGGCATTGAACAGCATAGAGAATGCTGTGAAACCGAGACCCAAGGTGAATCCTTTTGGCGATGCAAAGCCTAGGGAAATATTGCTGGAGGAACGTGGACAGGATTGGCGCAAGATCGATTTCGAACTTGATCATCGCAGAGTTGACAGGTCCTTATCTGTCTCGATTTTTCCTAGTCACTGGGTGTATGGTGTGGTCATTAGTTACTGCTAGTTGACATTCTGCTTGACCATGATTGAATCAGAAAAAAAAGTTAGAACTTTGAAGTGATATTAGCTGTTTGATAGAGTATTTTCAAACTTTTTTTAACGTAGAACAGAGTTGAACATGTTTAGGCGTGTCTAAACTTATAGATGGTTTTGCCTCTGATTGTTACCTTTGAAAGCCACAACCATGTTTGCTTTATCAGTGTCAGTGTCTAGTCTGGCAATTTCCCCAATGATGTTGAACAGAAAATTATCAAGCTTTTAGAAAGTCGGGTACTTTAGCTGATAGTGTTTTTCATGGTAATCTTTTGATGATGTGTTGAAATCATGGCCTTCTGCATGTCTGAGGCACCGAGGTAAATTGTAAGAAGATTTTGTTTGGTTACTGAATGCCAATCTGACGGCATGGTTTAAGAAAGTATGGCTGATGAGAGAGTCATTGCTTTGTTGCTTGTATCTCGTGTTCTTCTAAAGTAAGCTGAAGTTTCTTCCTCTTGTCTCAGATGCTGGTTGTTTAGTTTATTTGATCTTCTGCGTCTGCAGTGTTGTGGTGCCTTCGTATGTGAGTTTCTTGATGGCTATCTAGATCTTCTTCATATCACATTGGTCTCACTTGAATGTGTTATGTCATGAAACAAACTTTGTCAGGCCTGAGACAGAAGAAGAGAAAATGTTGAAGGAAGAGATCGAAGAATTAAAGAAGCAACTCGAGAAGGACCCCGCTGCACCAGATAGCAAGGCCTCTAAAGAAGAACCAGGTGGTAATAACAATAGTTTGCCGGGCATTATAAGTCAGAAAGAAAAAGATCTGGAAACTCTTGCCCGTGAGTTGGACGACAAGGTAAGGTTCAGGCAGAAAGCAGTTCAGAGACCAGACTCCAGTGCAGGCAGAACAGCGACTTATTCTGAAAGATCACATTCCCGATCGGAATCATTCGATGAGTCTAGGAGCGTTGAATCTATGGACCGACCAAGATCACGTGGTGCAGTTGATGCCTGGGTAAGGCCTGTCGATAACAGAAGAAACTTCCAAGGAAACCAGGAGCATGGCCACTTCAGCAACAGGAACTCTGACAGGTTAGTCCTCAGATATGATTTGCCCTTCTTACATTTCAATTCTGGTATCCTGCATTAGGAAACATCTATATCTGCTGAGTCGTGCTTATCGAAGTCTCCTACTTGCGCATATGAACAACAAACAAAAAGGCTGTAGAAATCTGTCAACTTTTTCAGATTCGGGTGGACTTGAAATAACCAAGAGAGAGTTGCGAAACTGGGTCACTAGAATTGCGGTTTGCATATGATCAAACAGGTTCTTAACAAGTTTTACACTTTGGGTATGATGACAGGCCGTCGTCGTCGTCGTCGAGGGAGAGATGGTAAAGAAAGAGAAAGAAACAAAGAACCAAAGGGGTTTGAGGGTGAGTAGTAAAACCCCACCTAGATTTTGAAGGAAGAGTAGAGAAAGCTTATATTAGATAATAAAAAGAAAACTCGTTTCTTTCATAAAACTTAAATCTGTGGTTTTGTTATTGTCTTTGGAGCCTTCATATGTTGGTGACAACTGCAGCCACTAGACTTTGGTGGAGGATGTCTTCATAATTAGGAGGCATGACTCTTTTCTCTTTTGTGTTGAAATCCATTGGATATCTGTCCATTCCCTTGTAAATCTGAAGATTTGGGGGTTCGGTTTTGTTTTTTTTTTTTTTTTTTTTTTTTTTTTTTTGCATGGACTTGGGAAGGAACCCATTATAAATTTATAACTGTTTGTATTTTGAAGTTGAATGTCTTCTTCTGACCAGGATCCTTGTCCTTGCTGCTAGGATTGTTTATTGTTGATTGTTTATTCGTGAAAATTTCCTTCTAAACCCAAAAAATAGGAAAACGACTCCACTGGGGATCGAACCCAGAATCTCTGGTTCCGTAGACCAGCGCCTTATCCATTGGGCCATGGAGTCTTTTTTTAATTTAAATCCTATTAATAAGTTAATCCAAATAGACGATAAAAGGCAATAAAATAAATAAATACATTTTACAACATATATTGCTACCGTATTACAATTTTATATATGCATTATGCCTATATAATATAAACATAAGTCTCAGTATATACACTTATACCTTTTTAAGGAAAGCATTATTCTTTATTATTGAAGAAAGTTGATAATGTGAATTGTTTAAAATATAGAGTTAGGATTCCGACAGGCATATTATTACACCATTTCATTTTTTTTCCTAACGAAGCCAGATTGAGCATTTCTTTGTTAGGTTCATGCCACGTCACCGAATCTTTCCCAATCACAACACATGCAGGTTATTATTTACAATATTGTTTTTGGTAAAGCATTTACAATTACATAAAGGGATCTTATTTTTTTGATGGATTAATATATTTTCTATTATCCAAAAAAAAAAGTCATTACATGTTCTTGATTAGTTAAGTCATTAAATTTTCTTGATTAATATTGTTATGAAGTTTCTATATATATATATATATATATATATATGCGCGTGTAGTGTTTAAAAGCTCTAATCGGCAAAGTTCTCCTTAATACTCGGAAGGGTAGAATGATCATTTCATGACAGATTCCCCTCGGTCTCGCTCTCTCAGACGCACATGACAGCCAAGACAACTCATGACCGACGTGTCCGTCGATAATTGGATACCACGTGGACACGTGGCTCTCACAGCCTTCTGATTCGTGGCCTTCACGCGCCGCTCACGAACGTCATCAAATCCAAGTCAAAGTCAATATTGACAGCCACAGCGTGATCCCGTGGGTCGCGTCACAGGAGATCACGGCTCCGCTGTAGTGCGTTCTGATATGCCTTGTATTGTTTTTTCAATTGATTTTGTGTCTCTCTCTGTGAAACCCGCGAAGAACAGCATCGAAGGCAAGATCTTCAGACCATCTCGTCGGATTCTTCGAAGAAGACGACTTTGAGATTCATCGTATCTCCGGCGTCTCGTTCTCTCGGGTAAATAACCTAACTTCAACTTGGTCTTTTTTTTCCATTTTTTTCAGGTTGAATTTATAATTTATTTTCCAACAAATCATTCCCGTTCTACTCCGATCTTCCTCGGCTCCTGAAAAAAATTCTCCAACTTGAATCTTCCGTTACGTTTCCTTATTTAATGTTTGTTTCCTGAGAAACTCATCTTCTGCTACTGTTACCCTCGCTCGAAACTCCTTTTTTTTTTTTTTTTTGAGTTCGCATCTGATTCGCCGTCTTCGTGTTTCTCTGCTCAATTTTTCTTCAGATTTCGTTTTTCTCCAGATAGTTGAAAGTTTCTTGAGTTGACTTAATTATATTTCCTACTGGGTACGTACGGCAATGGAGCTCCTAGTATTTGCCCTCTGCTGTTTTCTTTGCTTACTCGGATGTGTTCGGATTTTTGTAATTTATCAGCAGAATTCAATTGGGTTGAAAATCCCATCTGATTTCATGTTTTGTTTTGGGCTCTTATGCTTGTCGTAGTGTTTAGAACAAGATCAGTTCTCGAATGATTTCGCAAGATCTTCGATCTGAATCTAAATCTCTCTTCTTTTCAGAGAATCATTTCCAGTATTTCCTGTGCTGGATTGAAGTTTCAATTGGATGACATTGTTGCTGGTCACCTTAGCTGCGTTCAGGACATGGCAAACCGGAATGATGCCATCTTGCGCTGGTTAGTTTTCGTGTTTGGATTCGTTTAAGGTTCATCGCAGCAACGATGGAGTTCTTGAATGTGGATTCTTTTGTTCATCGTTCTTCTCTGCAGTTCGGTTGGTAAAAAGTCTAACGATGGCATGAGGATTATCTTAACGACATTCGTAGGCTTAGCGGTTGGATTTTTCTTGGGCATTTCTTTACCGACATTGTCACTAACAAAGGTGAAGTTTCAGTGTTCTTGTCTGTTATCATTGTCCCTGTGATGTTTTTTCCATCTTTCTTGTACCCAACTTGTAAGCATCTTTTCGGAAAATTTTCAGTTAAATTTTCCATCCAGCATCCTTCCTTCAGTTGATGTTGCATATGTCGATGACGAAACTCCATATACATCGACTGAAATGCTTCTAAACACGCAAGTGTCTAGGAATTCAACACAAGGGCAAAACTCAAGTGTCAAACCGAATTGGAAGGTTCGTCTTTCTATCCCTTGTTAAAGGTTTTCCATTTCTTATGCAATCACAGATTGAAACTTTGGGTGATTCCGAATTTCTTTACCAGGATGATATGGACTTTTGGTATCGGTTCTGGTTCTTGTTCTTGTTCTTGGGCGTTTTTGAGATCTTTAAGATGTAAGTGTTGATGGATGGTGACAAGATCTTGTTAACTAATGTTTCTTGCTCTCTTAATGACGACGACTCTGCAGATTTGGGTTCCATCAAATCCCCGTGGTGCAGAGATGCTCGCTCCGGGTATCGTTGCAGCTGAAACAGATTTCAACTTACGCAGGTTATGGGGTTTACCCGAGGAGGTATACTGCTATATCATCCATGTGTATCTATAGATATCCACTGTGTATATCTACTGAATGCATTCTGGTCACATGTTTATAATCATATCTGCATCTTTAGGATTTCACTGTCAGACCGAAGTATCTCGTGGCATTCACAGTTGGTTACGACCAGAGACAGAACATCGATGCATGTGTAAAGAAGGTGATTCTTTCTCTTGTATTTCCTTTCTTCCCGCATTTATACAAAAAAAAAAGCTTAAAGAGTAGTTTCCTGCAGTTTTCAGAAAACTTCACTATCGTACTATTCCATTACGATGGGCGTGTTTCCGAATGGGAAGAATTCGAATGGTCTAAACGAGCAATACACGTGAGCGTGCGGAAGCAGACCAAGTGGTAAAACACGCTTCAAATACGTCGATACTTTGCTCATTATAGGTTCTTTTCATAACCCTTTCGATCTCTTGATCTTTTTCTCGGTCTGTTATGAAGGTGGTACGCCAAAAGATTTCTGCATCCCGACATTGTCGCTTCATACGATTACATATTCATATGGGATGAAGATCTCGGGGTTGAGAATTTCGATTCAGAAAAGTGAGATTTTTCACTTCCAAATCTCCTCATCTCTTCAAACTTAGCCCCATACGTGAAATTTTGTATACTTGCCATCCGCAGATACATCAAACTTATCAAGAAACACGGTTTAGAGATATCGCAGCCAGCGGTAGAATCCAAGAAGAAGATAACATGGGAGATAACGAAAAGAAAACCCAAAGGCGAAGTTCACAAGTAAGGAAACATCCTCTGATCCATGTCCAAGAGTTAATCAAACAAGTAACCAAATTCTTTTTTTTTTTTTCCAAATCCAGAGAAGCAAAGGAGAAACCAGGCCGATGCAACAGTCCCCATCTGCCTCCATGTGCCGGGTATCGATCATATATCTCGATAAAAGAAATCCATTTTGATCTTCAGAGTTCATCGTGTAAAGATTTAACGCGATTTTTTTTGGGTAGCTTTATAGAAATCATGGCTCCTGTTTTCTCAAGAACAGCATGGCGGTGTGTGTGGTATATGATTCAGGTATCATACGATTTGGTGTTACATTTCCATTCCCTTTGCTTTTTCTGCATTAACTGAAGACCCTTTCCTTCTTACGAATTCGCAGAACGACTTGGTTCATGGTTGGGGCCTTGATTTCGCTCTCAGAAAATGCGTAGAGGTCTGATATCTTCTAATCTCATAATCTTCAACCCCTTATTTTATAGCGAAAAAACGAGTTTTATATCGTTATTATTCGACCGTGGAAACAGCCTGCTCATGAGAAGATAGGAGTTGTGGATTCTCAATGGATCATTCACCAGACTGTTCCCTCTTTAGGCACCCAGGTAACAAACATATATATATATATTACCCTCTGAACTGAATTCATACGTTTCCACTATCGAGATTTTAACGGTGAATAAGCTCTTACTTGATCATTCGGGATTCATCAGGGGGAAGCACAAGACGGGAAAGCAGCGTGGCAAGGGGTGAGAACTTCATCCCTTTGTCCGTTTTTCGTCTCTAACTTGCCATTTCAGACAGATCTTCTACTTCTTCTACTGCTAGAGATCATGTTGGGAAAAACGTCGTGACTTGTTCTGGGTGAAACTGCAGGTTAGGGACAGATGTAAGAGGGAATGGACGGTGTTCCAGAAGCGGATGGCTGCAGCCGAAAGGCGGTATCTGAAAACAATGGCAACCTCTTCGTCTCTTCCAAACTCTACCCTTCATTAATGGACCATGGGAATATGAAGTGAGGTTATTATTATCCAGAAATCTATCAGAGAAGGTGATGCATATTGAATATACATATAGCACTGATTCATTCAATGTATTATACATTAGAGGAAAGCTTGATTTGTTCTTTACAAAGTTCAGTTATACAAGTTTTGATGGTTCGCAAGTTCTTGAGAGCTATGCTCAGTTTGAGGATTGAAAAATAGTAATTTTGATCTTCAAATACAGTAAAATGAGCCCAAAGATGTCCCCAAGCTTCGGGTACGATGGGCCCATCAAGTCGACAAGCGTTTAGGCCCAATAGTGGCCCAAGCAGATCCGTAGATGTTAGGCCTTGTTGGCCCAATCAAATCCGCATGCGTCAGGCCTAATGGGCCCAATCAAGTCCGCCGCCTCCATGGATTAGTTGTATTATGGCTAAACAGGTCAATAGAGTAAAAAAAGGGGATCTGAATAAGAGAAATGTACAAAAGGGTGAACAGTCTCGAAGCAAAACTTCCCGACAAGGAAAACTCGGACGAACACAAACCAAAACCAATGTCTGTTTGCACGACAGAAGAGTGAAGATCATTGATAGGTTCATGCCCTGATTCGAACCGAAGAAGAAAACTCAGAATCTCAGAAGGAAACAATGGAAACTATATACAAATGCCTTCACTCTCAATGCTCTGAAACACCTCCATCGATCTCTGCAGCATCAACAGCTATGTCATCAGGTCCAGGTGTATCGGCTTGGCTCTCTCACATGTTGAGCCAGCAAATGCTCCATCTGAGCATTTACATGAATGAGAAACCAACATTATTCTGTACCGATGATGATATGATGATCATTCGCTTTCTCTTATGCAATTTCCCGGCAAGAGAAACTTGTACTTATCGGCGTTTTCCAAGAGATGAGAAGGAAGATGAACAGCCGAGAAGGAATGCGGGATAGGACCCATCTTCCCGATTATCTCCTTGAAGGTGTACTCTTCAGGAAGCATATCAAACAGATCAGTTCCTTTGCATATCACTCTTTGGACTCTCTTGGGGTTTAAGAAATGAGAGAACCTCACTCTGTCATAATGGCTATAAGCCTTCATCTTGAATATGAACTCGCTGATAAGCCGGAAGCAGAAACTACAATGCCATCCAGCCTCTGCCAAAATATCATCAGACTGGCGGTAATGCGCATACCGTGTTTGGCCAGTCTGATATCTGTGAACAGATGCCCTCCAGCTCTTGTTATCGACGAGAAACTCAAACGAGTAAAGGTAGTTTTTGAGCCGCAAATGAAGGATTTGAGGAATATCATCACACCACCTCAACAGGTTTATGGTATGTCTGCTGGGAATCTCGTCAACATCGGACATTATCAACAAGTCATCATCGGTAATACCAGCTATCCTCAGAAGCTGATCTAGAGCCACCCTTTGATACGCTTCTTCATAGAACGGGTTCTGACCTTTCTTGAATCTTCCACCAACCGTCCCATAAGTCAGGCGTGGCTCCACAAATTTGAAGTCATCCCGATGTGAGGCAAAGACAAGAGGCTTTGGCAAGCCGGTGAAGGTTGAATTAGATTCCAGGAGGACAAACTGGGTGATATAAGGGTACAACTCTCTCCACCGTACTGTAAGGATATCGAGCTCGTTGCTAAATAAAACCGCATCATAGACTCGTCTAGGATATTCTCTGACACTCCATCCATGGAGTCTACAGAGAGTTTCCATTGAAGCATTCTCGTGATGATAGTGAAGAATATCGTGGAAGGGTTTGGGCGGTGATTCCCACAAAGGCCGGAGAAAGTAAGAGATCTTCTGACCATGGATGTAACCCGCAAGTACGCAAGCCGGAACAACCACTAACAGTAATATATAGGTCTTTATATCCACACCACGAAGAACACAACAAAGTCTGGATAGGTTGAAAACTCGACCAGACTCCTGCAAGAAAGATTACAACATGGAAGCCGGTAGAATCATAGTGGCTCATCATTGAAAGTATCATACTTTTGAAAAGGAAAGACGAAATTTGTGCTTCTTGACACGAGTAATTATCATTGACACACTACAGATGCAGAATACAACAAATGATCAGGATTTGCAGGAGTGAGCAATGAACAATCATCAGCCTTAGATGGATGCGGCAGATAACAGAAACTAGAAACGTGCTCTTAAACATTGAAAAGCTTTCTACTATTTCAAATTTCATGCCGTATACGCTGAAACCAAAGTAACGGATTTTGACCAGCCGTAGAGATTTTCAGACAAATTTCATCAGACAGTGAAACCATAACCAGACCACATGCTTCAAGACCTCAAAAAATCAACTTGACACAAACCCAAACCAAACAGTCAACATCTACCACATACATAAGTCTGGAACAGTTCATCACAGATAATTTACATGGGACTGACCCAAGAAAACCAAGCACTGAGAAATTGAGAATGACCCATCAACCTATGCGTCAATCCAAGTCATATTTGCAAGTACGCAAAGTAAAACTTCAGTCTTCAGTCACGCTCATAGTAGCCAGTCCCCATCATAACCAAAATGCTACAAAACTGAAACCTTGACACAATTACTAGAGAGATGTCAGATCAGATGCAAGCCCATGAATGAATTTTAAATGCGAGGGTCACCCTAAAAGAGGTATAACGGGACAAATTCCCGCATAGATCTCGATTATCCACCCAGTAAGTACTTTCTCAGCGGCCAAACAGGGCCAAAGCGCAAATAGAACAAAGCAGATCCAAGATCGTACCTGTCCACAGACACCGCCACAGATGTCATCTGTCTTCTTGGAACAGTAGTGACCGCCGCTTTCTCCCATCATCCACCACATTTCTCTTTCAGATCGGTTGTCCAAACAAAATGCAACCAACCCTTTTGCGCCAGATAATCACCTCTTCGACTATGGTGAAATCTTAGATGACCCGAATACTTTACCGATCTCCAGCTAAATTCCCTCGAGAAACAAAACCAAATCTGTTGGAATCTCAGCTTGACGACAGTATCACGCCAACGGAAGAGATAATTCTGAACGCGAAATCATGTATTCACGAGGAAAGCAAAGCCCTTGATTTCTTGTTTCAGACAACAGAAGTCAAGAATTTGAATCAGGAGAAGAAAAACAAATGAATGAATTAAATCTCGAATGAGTAGAGAGAGGAGGAAAAAGCTGTGGCCTCTCTGGAAATGCGATTGAGATTTTAGAGAGAGAGAGGGCAGATCATAATTTAAAATATAAATAAATAAATTTAAATTGAATTCAATTGTAATATTGACATACCTTTTCCGGATATTTGTTCATTTTTAATTTCCAAATCTACCCTCCCGACTTACGAACAACGGAACGTTGAAAGGAAGGGTGGTTTGGTAAAGCAATCCCATAACGGTTTTGCGGGTTTAAGTGGGACCCACATCCCGTCTGATTCGCCGCAGCTGTTTTGTCGTGAGAATGACTGCATGTGTAAGATTCCGACACGTGTCGATTTAAATAACAACTGGGCTTTTGTAGTTGGGCTTGGGCTTCGTCTCCAGTTCTTTATTTTTTTTAATAAATTAAATCTCGAATTTATTTTGTGTTCCCACACTCTTTTTTTTTTTGTTAATTTATGTTCCCACACTGTTTCTTTTTCTAAAGCAATCAAATCCTAATTACGCAATTTTACCCAATGAATATAGACAAAAATACAAATATCGAATAATTTGTTCGCATATACATATACATATATATATATATATATATATATATATATATATATAACACGAAACAAATGAAATACCACATATGGTGGAAACGTCGGCATTGACTTGAAGGTCAAGTCGCCCACTCACGATTTATGAACCATATGAGGTAGGTCAACGTTTCAAGAAACGAATTTTCGCGGAGGAAATTATTTAATTTTTTAATTTTTATCGGATGGGTTCTTGTGTTTAGTTTCATTCAAATCTATATAGGACGTAGCATCAAGTTTTTTTTTTTGTTACGATGGGAAACCTCTATCCTACAACCCTTCGGATCGGACACCGAACACCGCAATGCCTTTTAATCCATGGATCGGACGAGAAAGGCATCAGGACAGTATCGCGGACATGAGATACTCACTGTCCTACGCACTAGCCGGCAAACCACGCAGAACATCTAAACCAGTCTCGTAAAGCTGACCGGCTCAAGGAGAGTATCATACCTGGGATTCAAACCCACAAACTCATGGAATAGGGGGTTGTCATTAACCAATAGGTTGAGGATTCCCGTAGCATCAAGTTTGCTCTTAGCACATTGTTTCTTTTTATTTGTCTCCATCCGTTACATGATATATACATATATAAATAGATATATAGTCTATTCGATAACTGCCACTGTTTATTTCTTCGTTTAATTTTCGAGTGTAATACGAGTAATTAATTTATATTCCGACTATAACCACATAAGATATTACAATTGTAGCATTATAATCAAATATATATATATATATATGCATTATTAATTGACAATTGCAATAGGCATCTTTTAACGTCGTCTAAAATGTAAATATCATTAGAAAGGGAATTGGGAAAGACAAAGTGAAAATGGGAGACAACGTGGGGACTTTTGTACATTAGAGATTCCATATGCAGAATCTGATTGTATCTCTGAGTTGTTGCTTTCTATGTTCCCCCCGCCAACTCAAACCCCAAACACCGAATTTAAATCCGATAATGAACTTGATCACTCAGCTCATATAATTAAGATTCATTACAAATTTGTTACTTAATTTGTTTTGTACAATTCCATTTGATATCTGATCAAATTCTCCCCCTTTCATCAATCTATCCATGCATATATAGCCAGGAATAAACCAAAAGAAAAATATTATCGGACCAATAATATATATATATAATACGATGATATATAAATCTAAAAAAGTTACTGTTGGATCACTGATATATTATCTAGGGTTCATAAGAAGAGGGACAATGAAAAGATTTAATCCGACATGTCATAATGGGTTTTAATTGGATTGTATATAATGATATCAAAAATTGGAAAAAAAAAACGAATAATGGGAATCGCACGCCGAACTAAGAAACACGTACGTTGAACTCAAACAAAAGGTGGTATTATTACACTTGTCATGCATATATATCCCACGACATGAAATCACGTAACTTTTGTGCCCTTATTCAACGATGCAATCGTCGAATATTCTACCAAGAAAATTCGATTTTTTTTTTATAAAAAAATTCATATATGCATGCACATGAAATGCTTGGTACCTTTTGTCTTAATGGAAAATGGTCGGCCATCATTTTTATATACTTGTTGAGATAAATCAACATGCATAAGGCATCGTAGCATCACACATGATCATGTTATTGTAAGTAATTGTGATCAGTCACCCAATCTTGTTTTAGGGTACGCATGATTTTGGAACGGGAATAAATAAATAAATAAATAAATGTACGTATAGACTCTTCCACTCAAAAATACCTTAATTGTGGGTTAGAAATTAAACTGAATAAAATAATGCAAATAATGAGACATCTAATCAGAAAATCGTAATGGTGAAACTGTTGGAGCATCAAAAAATGCCAAGTTGATATAGAAAAAGAAGGGAAAATTCTCGGAATAAAACTTAAATTTTAATTTTTACCTTTTTTAAACTCGAATTATAATATTTATCTTTAAATAAATATGATAGTTTTATAAACTATGTCAAATTTAACTATAAATGTTAATATGACAATGACTTAACAACATTTTGTTAAAGTCAAAATTGGTACCGTTTAGGGTTAAATTTGATATGGTTTACAAAATATCAAAATTTGGGTTTTAAAATTCAAAAATTAAAGTTCAAATTTTATTTAGATAAATTTGACAAGTTAAGGTATTAATTTTCTAATTTCCCAAAAAAAGAGATAGAAAGCGATCTGAGAAAACTATACAGTAATTAATTTTGGGTCCGTGTTTGATTGAAGCAAGACAAAGTGTACGTAAATGATGGTCCCTTGATATGATTCTTCTCTCGTAGACAAACCTCAGACATTACCATTATGTTTATTAAACACCAAAGGTTATCAGAAAGCCGACATACATTTTCGTCCTTGTCCAAGCTCTCTGGTTTTGCCAACGGACAAAACCCTAAATCTCGAAGACAAAGATCCAACACTTTTTCAACCATATGTTTGTTTAGTCCCATACTTATTTGATTAGACGCAACCCTAATAAACCCTGATAATTTCTATCGTTTACCATTAAATCCGCATTCATCTTTTTTTTGTGTATACGAGTTGAATTGAAAAAATTCCTCCTTATTTACCTACCTGTTATATATCCGGCAGTTACGGCTAATTCACATTTTATATGTGTGTCCGCGGATTCCTATACATTGAAAGTTTACCCAACCAATGCGTCCAAAAGATAATAGGTAGGGTTTCCACGTTATACAAAAAAATTATACGAATCGAATGTATCTTGTAGATTCGTTAGGAACTGTTTTTAAAATTTTTATTTTTCCCTGGTTGTATTTGAAGTATTTAAATCCTTGGTAATATCAGTCCATTTACATATTAAATTATAACGTAAAAGAATCGTCTATTAAAAAGCTCCAAACCGAATAAGGAACACGCTTAGTGGCTTAAATGGCTAAATGAAGAACAATTACTCAATGGATCGATGACGAAATCATTCAAGCCTTTTTGGTAGTTGCTAATTTATAAATTTTTAATTATACCCAATGAGATGTAACCATTTTCCATTTGAACATGACATATAACTGCCCGATTGACCTGCTTATGTCGTGAAATCGCGTAACAACTGTAAAACATTTCAGAAATAAAATATATATATATATATATATAACCAGGAATATATATATATGTGTGACATGTCTTTCACGCATTAATGCATGGACCATGGGGGCTGTTTAATCCCCACCACCACGCGACACAACGTTCAAATAGTTAGGAAATTGTTTGATGTATCAAAATTTCAAAGGTGTGGTTGGACCGTTTATACATTGTCGAACTTATTAACATTGATTTTTAAGCAAATTTAGTTAAATGTCTATTGTCGACGCCTTGTATATAGAGTATAGAGGATTATGGTGATATTATCATATTTGTGGTCATTAATTTTGATTGCTTATTAGTTAATTAATTAATTACTATATTTTTTAGATACTCAAAGCTCAATTACTATCCGCATATATTTCCATCCACATATATATAAGTTACTTAATTACGAAGGTATATATGCATATACATATACACATATATATATATATATATAGAAAAACCGAGTCACATGATGATATCAATATTTTTTTTTTTTTTAAAAAAAGGACAGTTTTATGGTGTATGGCGGCGTATTACTTTTGTATTTTCTTCATGATAATATGATACCCATCTTTTTTTTTTCCAGTAAAGCGTTATCATGTCATAATTCATATAAAGTTTCGCCATAAATTAATATAATAAATCGAGGGTCGTATAATTATCATTGGGAGTCCAAAAGCGCTTGTGGAAATCATTGCTCAACTAAAAGAAATAGAAGAAATGAAAAAAAAACGTAATAAAGAAGCGGCGGCGAAGTTGCAATGGGAGGGAGTGGAGACGAAAGGAGGAGCACATGGCGCCTTGCCTCTTTTTTTTTTTTTTTTAAAGCCTCTAACTAAATTGCAATCTAATAAGATTATATTATTTAATCATCATTAAGAGTTAATCTCTCCTCATCATTACCCATCTAATTATATTACTAATTTAGTACCACCACCATTTACTAATCAAAAAACAACTTTATCATTTTTGTAACATTGAAGATCTTTCTTACTTGGTTTTAGATTATATATATATATATATATATATATATATATATGCATGTACCATGTAAATCTAAAATAGTGTGTATATATATAGGATAAAGCAATTCATTATATTAAAAAAAATCATATGCTTTTGTAGCATATGATACATTTTCATTTGGGGGGGGGGGGTCGAGTCGACCTTTTTTCTTTCTGCTAAAAACGATATTATTTTTTTTTTAATTTTTTGGTTGAAGAAAAACAGCTTTATTTTATTTTAATTGCTTAGAGGAGGGGCTCTGAGTTTGTGAAATCTGATGAGAAGCAGAAGTAAATGCATCTCACTGGTCTCTCTAACGCTCTTTGATATTTTGTTATTACACAAAGCCACTGATGTACTCTCTCTCTCTCCTCCAACACACACGCTGTCCTTTTCCTACAACAAAATAAACAGATCAAATCCAAAATCCAAAATCCAGAATCAGAAACCCAATTTTCTTCTCTTTAAACCCAGTTTGTTCATGAAGTTTTTCCACGACACGGCACAATCAATCACCCCGTCTTGCTCCGCCCCAAGAAACTCGGTCACAGTAACAGTCATGGCTCAGGCCGGAGGAAGTTTTTCTCCGAGAATGCCTTGAAGAATTCTTCCATCCCGCCATTCCAGGAACAAGAAGGTGTTCTCTGTTTTCGTAGCGACGGAGATGAAGTACATGCAACTTGGATGTCGACCCGACACTTTCTACACCGCAGAAGCTGTAAGGTAATGAAACGAGATGAAGATGAAGAAATTGACCCTTCTCTTTAAATCCCTAATCTGGTTTTGTCCGTGTGAACTCAGGTCTGTTTCTTCTGAAATCTTGAGTGATCTCATTATCCAAGTGAAGTCCACAAGATACCTTCTCCACAAGGTAAATGACCCCCTCCCCCTTCATGTCTGGATTCAGTTTCTTGCAGATTTCTGTTCCGTTTTCTGATTGTTTCTCGGCAATGTCTCGTGGTAGTTTCCGATGCTGTCCAAATGCTTGCGGCTACAGAGCTTGATGTCTTCAAAATGCCCGGAAACCTCGCAAGATCAAGTGATCCAACTTCAAGATTTCCCCGGCGAAGCTGAAGCATTCGAACTCTGCGCCAAGTTCTGCTACGGCATCACCATTACTCTCAGCCCTTGCAACGTCATTGCCTTGCGTTGTGCGGCGGAATATCTCGAGATGACGGAGGAAGCCGAGGCCGGGAACTTGATTCAGAAACTGGAGCTTTTCTTGGATTCTTGCGTTTTCAACAGTTGGAGAGATTCTCTCCTCGCTCTCCAGTCCACAAAGGCCTTAGCTTCATGGTCCGAGGATCTGGGAATCACGGGCAGATGCATCGAGGCGATCTCGAGCAGAGTATCTGCAGATTCAGATGATCCGGACACGGGTTTTTTACCGAGGAGCTACTCGAGGAGGGGAAGAGATGAAATCCTCTGCAATGGAGGAAGAAAGATGGAGAGTTCACGGTGGTGGGGCGATGAAATTGCTGAGTTATGTATAGACCTTTACTGGAGAACCATGGCTGCCATTAAATCATCAAACAAAGACATACCTTCAAGACTTGTCGGAAACGCTCTCAGAATCTACGCATCTAAATGGCTTCCAAGTGTCAGGGAAGGCATTGATCAAAAGAAACAGAGGATTTCAGATTCAGAGCCAGGATGTTCGAAGCACAGACTGGTGTTAGAATCTATCATTAGCCTCCTCCCGACGGAAAAGCGCTCTGTTCCTTGCGGTTTTCTGCTGCAGCTACTGAAAATGACAAATGTTCTGAAAGCTTCATCTTCTTCAAAGACAGAGTTGGCGATAAAGGCCGGGCATCAACTGGATGAAGCGACAGTGAGCGATCTGCTGATACCCTTATCAGATAAGCCGGGTATCTTATACGACGTCGACATTGTGATGACAATGGTGAGGGAGTTTCTGTCACAGACGTCAAGAATCATCAGTTCTCCAAGCTCAAGAACAAGAACTGAAAGGAGACGGTCTCACTCTGAAGAGAATATCAACTTGGATCTGCAAGAAAACAGAGTATCTCCTCCTCCTCCTTTACCGGCTTCGAATCTGAAAGTGGCAAAGCTTGTGGATGCTTATCTTCAAGAAATCGCCAAAGACACTAAACTACCTTCTTCAAAGTTCGTTTTATTGGCCGAGATGATCCCAGGGCCCTCACGGGTTAACCATGATGAACTATACAAGGCCATTGATACATACCTTCAGGTAAGAACAAGCAACTATATGCCACTTAACCATTATTACAATACAGAAGCTCAATCTGTAATGAATGATTGCAGAATCATCAAGACATCGAAAAGGGAGAGAGGAAGAGGCTATGCAGAACCTTGGACTGCAAGAAACTATCACCGGAAGCAAGCAAACACGCTGCACAGAACGAGCTGCTGCCACTGAGAGTGATAGTGCAGATCCTTTTCGTGAAGCAGACTAGGGTTTCAACGGTTACTAATGTCAGAACCGCTGAAACAGAGGCTTTGAGCAGAAGCGTGAGCACAAATACGAGGTTACCCACTTTGAGAAACAACATCAGGAGGGAGGAAGAAGAAGAAGAAGAAGCTGCAGAGAGAGGGTTGAATCCAGAAAGACGGATTCAGAGTACTCCTTCGAGGTTCAAGGCGTTTTACGCGATTCCCACTCAGCCGAAGAAGATATTAAGCAAGTTGTTGTCGATCAATAGAAGCTTGAGACAAAGGATCTGAGCTGAGTTTAGGGTTCATCCCCTTGCGAAGCAGAGTTTCTGTCTGAAAATTTGTTTGTTGTCTGATACAGTAAGTAACACACAGAAATCTTGAGCGACATTTTCTGTAATGTCTCTAATGTTATTTATCAATTCGTTTATTTTTTTTTTAATTTGAGTTTGTTTTGGGATTGGAAGACAATTATGTATAAATAAATCCATACACATTGATATATTATTTCGAAATAATTATATTTAAATTAACTTCTTAACAAGAGACAAATCTTCGCACTTTTATTTAAATATAATCAGTTTAAAAAAAATCTTTAATATTTCTTTTTCTGTGACCAAATTCTTTACATTTATTTTCCGCTCCAAATACTTGTTCTCTCTTCTTTCCAATATTTTTATCTAATTGTTTTTAAATAAAATTGAAAGCTTTGCAATTATGGATTCAATTCAACGTTACCCCGAATATATCTTGGCTAGATTTTGAGAATGATCGCATAATGAAAATGTTAGGATACCCACATACTTATTGGTGAAAAAGATTGAAAATAATATATTTCATTCAAAAAATAAATAAAGTTTGAATACAAGATTGGACCATATATTAATAGATTAATGTGTATGTGTATTTCACTCACATAATATGAAAAAAATATCTGTCTTAAAAAAACCAAAAAGAAAAAATCGTCTCTAATGTTTTATATATATATATACACACACACACCCAAATGTTTTTGACTGACTTTAATGTTAGGGATAATCGCATTTTAATACCTGAACTTTTACAAAACTCCCAAATAAATACCTGAACTATAAAATTCTCATATAAATACCTGAACTTTTCAAAAGTTCCATATAAATACCCAGACTTTTAAAAAATTTCCAAATTACACCAAAATCTATTAACGTCGTTTAGCTTGTAACGGAATCCGTCTAACATTGATGAGTCATCATTTGAAATCCTAACAAGCATCCACGTCATAAGCCACATAGGATGAACCGGTTAATTGACTAATAATTGAATATCTAACCGGTTTGATAAAAAATCTCAAAAAGCCTAAAATCCCTAAATCCCAATACGAAACACTCTCTCCCCAAATCACAGAACAATAGAAACCCTAAATTACAAAAACTCTCTCGGTCTGAAGATCGTTCTCTTGTTCGGTCTCGGTGTGAACGTCGTCGGTCACTGTCTCTACTCTCCCCTTGGACTCCCCTCTCACTGGCGAATCGACACTCTCCTCTCGTCAGTCCCTCTGTGAAGGTAAGTATCGAGATTATGGTCTATCGCTCTCGGTGTCTCACCTATTTTCTGTTTGGTCAACTGTAGGGTTTGATTTCACCTCGTCTGTGGTCGATCCCTCTGGATATATGTTTGGTGCTAGGTTGAGGGTCTATTTTAGGGTAACGAGCTCGGTTCTGGGTATAGGTTCAGTGTTGGTTTTAGTGTCTTTGATCGGTCTCTCACCTCCTCTCTATTTGATCGATTCTAGGGATCGATTTCATCTCTCTCTTGTCGATCCCTCTGGATATATGTTTGGTGCTAGGTTGAGGGTCTATTTTAGGGTAACGAGCTCGGTTTTGGGTATAGGTTCAGTGTTGGTTTTAGTGTCTTTGATCGGTCTCTCACCTCCTCTCTATTTGATCGATTCTAGGGATCGATTTCATCTCTCTCTTGTCGATCCCTCTGGATATATGTTTGGTGCTAGGTTGAGGGTCTATTTTAGGGTAACGAGCTCGGTTTTGGGTATAGGTTCAGTGTTGGTTTTAGTGTCTTTGATCGGTCTCTCACCTCCTCTCTATTTGATCGATTCTAGGGATCGATTTCATCTCTCTCTTGTCGATCCCTTTGGATATATGTTTGGTTCTAGGTGTAGGGCCGATTTTAGGGTAACGAGCTCGGTTGTGTTCATAGGTCCAGTTCTGGTTTTAGTGTCGTTTATGGGTTATTCATAAGTTTTTGAAATCTCTGCAGGGATACATTGTTGGTGTGAAAAATGACAAAAATAATCAGGGTGAATTTTCACCTTGGAGGAATTTTTACAAGTGTGGATGGACAACTCATCTACATGGGGGGATTTAAGGTTAAAGGAGTCAAGTTCGATCCAGATAAGTTATCATGGTTTGTCTTTGAGAAGTTTGTGCATTCCCGTAAGATATCATCTCCCATTTCTGTGATATTGTATAAGTTGCCGCATGAGAGTATGCAAGAATTGAGGGTAGTTAAGGAAGACGTGGATTGGGAGATTTGTGATATGTGTAAATTAGCTGAGGAAGGGAAGGAGATAGATGTATATGTAGATCATGAGATATCAGAACCAAATGTGATACCATGTCTTCCTGAAAGTGAAGAGGTTAGGGCAGAAACTGGTTTGAATGAAGAGGTTTTAGAAGATGAGGTTCAGAATGAAGAGGTTTTAGAAGATGAGGTTCAGAATGAAGAAGTTTTAGAAGAAGAGATTAGGGAAGAAGAGGTACTAGAAGAAGAGATTAGGGAAGAAGAGGCTCAAAATGAAGAAGTTAGAGAAGAAGTGGGTAGGGAAGAAGAGTTTCTGAATGAAGATGGTAGGGAAGAAACTGGTGTAGAAGAAGATCAGATTCAGAATGATCGGAACGAAGATATTTTAGAAGAAGAGGTTCCTAATGATGATGTAGAGGAAAATGATTTTCTTAGACCTGCTGAATACGTGAGCGATGAGGATAATGCATATAAAGACGATTTTTATCCTCGGACACCGCAAAATACAGCAGATGAGTGGGAGTCTTTTGAGAGACCTAATTTAGGCGGTCTGAAAACAAGAAAATCGGTTGAAGGAGATGATCATCTAAGCTTTGGTAAGACATTCAACAATGCTGTATCACTCCTTTTCCCCCAGATGTAATGGACGATATAGAAGTTATTCGGCAAAGGTCAGTCTATTGTATGTCGATACCAAGTGGACATGGAAGATATGAAGTATTACAGTTCGGCATAAGTTATAGCGTGGACCTTGGAGGGAAGACCTGTGCATGCAGACGATGGGATTTAACCGGATTACCATGTGAGCACGCACTGTGTGTGCTCAATGCAAGAAAAGATGACCTTACAAGGTATCTGTATGAACATATATTTTTTTATGTTCCTTTCTTTATATATGATGTAATCCTTTTTCTTGGTAAAATTTCTTTTAGGTATACTTCTGGATACTTTTTGACATCCAAATGGAAACAAACTTATGAGAAAAATCTGTTGCCTGTTAATGGAGAACCATTGTGGCGTAAGTTGGGAAGAGATCCTATCGGTGTACCTGAAAAGAGGCCGATGCCTGGGCGACCGAGCAAGCATAACCGAAAAAAAGATCCTCACGAGTCTCCTACAAAGAAAGGTCATATGACTCGGCATGGTCGAATAATGACATGTAGTCGGTGTAAACAGTCTGGGCATAATACAAGCACATGTATAAATGACCCGGTGCAGATTAATGTACCAAAACGGGGCCGAGGAAGACCAAAAAAATTAGAGGTATGTCTTACATATAATTTTGTCATCTCAGTCAAATGCTGATAAATTTGTTTCTCTGTCTAAATAGGTTGGTGGACCATCAAGGCAACCTGGATCATCAAAAAGACCCAGAACAACGACAAATGTTTCTGTCGATTCGGTCCAATCGAGTCAAAATTCAGTCCAAGCTGGTCCATCGAGTCTAGTTAATCCTCCGAGACCTGGCCGGATTCATCATCCTAGACGAAGACAGAACCATCCCCCGCCCCAAATGACTCAATCGAGCCAGAGTAATCGTCCTCCTGCCCAATCCAGCCAGAGTAATCCTCCTCATGCCCAATCCAGCCAGAGTAATCCTCTGACTTCACGAAGTCTCCGTTATCGATCCACTCGACCTCTTGGAGTACCGCGTAATCGAAGTACATCTTCCATGATATTTGTTACTCCATATACCGGTAGAGTATTTCAGGTTCCAAGGTCCGCTCCTCCATCAAACTCGTGAAACAATTGAACTCGGGATCTGCGATTAGGACTTTATATTTTGATTAGGGATTCTGAAGTGTCTAAGATATTTTGTTTCGGAATTCTGTATCAGCTATGACTTTGTGTTTTTTGCAAATCTGAACCTTAGTATATGTATGCATTTTGGTTTATCTTCAGATTAACTAATTTTATATCTTACTGATTTCTATATTTTTTCTTTATAATTTAGGATTCCAATAACAAAAATTAACACAAATCAACAACGAAACATTTTTCTTAGATTCATTATATTAATACAAACAACAACATACAAACATTAGTCTTCATGACAAATCCAAACACATAAACCATCTTCACTCTTTTAATAACCCATAATAGTACAACCCAACCGAAATAAAAACCACCATTCCTATGAGCATTTTTTGGCAAATTGCTTTGAATTCTTGAACCTCAGCTTCAATCCTCTTAAGTCTAGCTTCGATCATGTCAATTCGAACTTTCATTTTCTCATTTTGAACTTCTATCTTGTCATTTCGAAATTCGATCTTCTCATTTTGAACTTCGATCTTCTCATTCCGAACTTCGATCTTCTCATTTCGAACTTTGATCTCCTCTTTCAATGATTGCAGTTCTTCGATAATGGCTTCATCGACCCATTTCCATACGTGTGAATAATTTCCCTGAAACGTATAATTGTAATTCATTTACGATTCTTACTGAAATGCATACAAAAATGTGAAACTAACCTCTTGTGATTCGCAACAGAAGAATAATCTTCCTGGGTTTTTGGAAGTTTTCGATATCAATTTTATAATCTGGCGTCCACATTCACATTGTTGTGGTAATCCTTTTTGTTTGGATGATCTAGAACTGCAACACACTTGTGAATCGGTCGAACTCATGAATCTGAAAATCCTAAACCAGAAACATTAAACCTCAATCAACATAATCCAACAACAAACAACAGCTCAACATAAATCAAATCTAAGAAAAATAAACCGTAACAGTCAAATAACAATATGAATCTGAATCTAAGAAACATAAACCCTAACTTTTTGAAAATGGACTTCAACTAAATCCGAAACCATACACACTTACCTAGACAAACCGACGAGGTAGGATGGAAGCTAGATTGGCGGCGAAGAAAAGAAGCCGACACGACGAGGAGAACAACGCAGATGACGAACAGAGAGAGGAGAAAGGGAGATGACGAACAGAGAGAGGAAAAGGGGAGATGACGAAGGGAGATGAAAATATGAGAGGATAAATCGTGCTGGGGATGAAAAATACACATTTTAGGGTTTTTTAATTTTTTAACCAAACCGGATTGGTTTTTTATCAAACCGCTCCGATTAATTAAACCGGTTACTCCGACATGGCTAAACACGTGGATGCTGAGTAGGATTTTAGAACGTTGAATCATCAGTTTTTAAAATGAACAGTGACACGTTAAACGCCGTCAACGAATCCGGTGTAATTTGGAAATTTTTTCAAAAGTTTGGGTATTTATGTGGAACTTTTGAAAAGTTCAGGTATTTATATGGGAATTTTATAGTTCAGGTATTTATTTGGGAGTTTTGTAAAAGTTCAGGTATTAAAATGCGATTATCCCTTAATGTTATGAGATGGACCTCAACGTTAGTTATGGTATTGGTAGACCCACTAAAAGAGGCGCGTGTGATTTACTCACGATCACTGCGCGTGGGCTATCGATGCTCTGAGGCTTGGGCTTTATAACTCCTCATTGGATGATTAATAATTTATTTGCAAGACTATGAGATCAAGCCTATGGGCTAATTTTATGGCCCATTGGCAATATATACACAGAACACGTGGGTGTATATTAGCATACGTATGTATGATGTATTTCTTTTTTGCCATTCATACATACATATTTAATTACTCAATATACAGAACTATCATTTGACGTCAATGTGGAAAATTGGAGTTGTCGTCAAATGTGGAAAATCATGTATTTGTTGTACACTGTGTTTCATAATTTGAAGTTTAACATTCCCTATATACAATTCAGATGCTGTAATTGAGCTATTTGATATAAAACATAGTAGACAAACACATACATACCAATTTCAACTATACACAGACCAAACATATGCACTACGCAGACATGCCGACATGGATTAACGGAAACATCCCAATCTAATAGTTTAAATTTTATTTAACAAAATTGGATTCATCATAAATCCATGTATCTTAGTGAATCTTTTTATGAACACCCATTTTACAATCTCTCTCTAAAATTTGAAAACTTATTGAATATTTTTTTAATGAAAATCCTTTTTGTAATCTCTCTCTAAAATTTCACAATTTTTAATAAGAAAAATTCGACCAGAAAACAATTATGATATCATTTGTTGTTGTTCTTTTTTTTTTTTGTGGTTTTGTTTCCACAATAATTTGTCAATATCGTGCTTATCTTCGCCGGCTGCAACTGGGGACCCCATGGGTCCATGGGAATCTTCTTCCTATACCTTCTCCCGTCTTCATCTCTCAATCCTCAAAGTCTCGGCCTAATCATAATTTATAAATTGTATATCTTGTTTTGTCTTCTCCCTCAATCTCTCCTCCATAGCTTTTTTTTTGGTTAAAATCTCCTCCATAGCTTTATATCCAATATACGATGATTTCATTTCCAGCTATACGTATACTTATCTACGAACAGATACATACACATACCGAGACTTGATCCGATTTGCCCTGCCTGATGAATAAAGAAGGAAAAAATCCACCGAGAATATCTGCAAATGGTAGAATATTAATGAATGTTAGTATCCAGAAAAAAAAAACATGTGTAAGACTAATACCCACATCACGATTGACAGCAAAAAATACACGTCATAAACCATAAACAAAAATGCAGGAAAACCATTAACAAGAAAAAAAACAGCCAAAACAGATATTTAAGAGAAAAAAAAAAGAATAATATGCTGACGCCGTGACGGACAAAGGAAAAAGACACGGAGATCAGAGATTGCAACGTATAATGCGATGAATGCAGATAAGGCGTGATGACACGTGCATCCAGCTACAAGGGTTCGACGCCACGTGGCTGTGACGCATGTAAAAAAACACGACCGCTGACGGAAAACCTAACGGCACTGGTAACGGACAAAAAATTCCGAAAAAAGAGAAAAAAATTAAACGAATATTTTTTTTAAAAAAATGAACACTCACCAACACAAAGAAAAGCTTGGACGAGTTCATTAATGGCGACGCAATGAAAACACGATCGTACACCATCACAGTTTGCATCTATATTCGGATCTTTTACATGATTCGATTGTACGAAATTACTTTAGTTTTTTTTTATATTTCGAAACCGGTTGCTTCTCCACGTGATTTGATCTGATCGGGATCGGTTATTGCCAGTGATTGCCGTTGTGGACGAGATAGATAAGGCTAGGTTTACGGTGAACATAGCAACCGTAGTATGGATTCCTCGCCGCAACTCTAGGCGGCGACGGCGGGAGCGGTGGCTTCGCCGACGATCTAGGACTCGTCGACGACGATGAGGATGAGGACGACGATGACGAGGACGACGGCTCGGATGTAGAGGCCGGAGCCGGAGGAAGAGAAACGTTTAATTTTCTGGTAGCGCATCTTGGCGGATAGAGAAATGCTCTGATCTTCAACGGCGACAAACTCGCCGGCGCCGCCGCGGTAACGCGGTCGTACTCCTCCACCAAATTCGCGAGATCTTCGTCGGAGGTGACAGATATGAGTGCGTCGAGATCCTCATTCGGAAGCTGACACCGTAAAATAACGGGAGATCCGCACATCTCAGCCATCCTCGCCGTCAGCTCTGTTACACGCGCCAGACGCGCGGCATTAGTTTCTCTATTCCCGATTCAAAATTCAAAAATCCAAACAAGAACAAGGCAAAAACGAAGCGCGTACTCACCGGAAAACGAGACGGAACGGTTAACAGCGAGGACGCGAGTGTGACCGCCGTGATAACGGAGCTTGCCGTCGGGGTGACGTGGGAGAATCTTGCCGCCGTAGCTACAGAGAAATTTGACCGTCGCAGTCTTGGGAGAAACAACCATAGCTTAGTAAGAGAGAGAAAATTAGAGATTGGTAGGAGATTTGGCTCTGCAAAGCAAGGTAGCAAGCTCGGTTTACAGCTTATTTATAGTGGCTCGATGGAGGAGGAGAATGGAAGGGGGGGAGGGGCAAGATGGTAAATTCGCTGGGTCCAGCATCACGTCAGCCATATCTACATGTTTATATATATGAAAAAAAATGAAAAATAAAAGGATAAAGGATTTGACATGGATGTGATTTGGATATTATTTTTTAATGAAGGATTAGTCATTGGAATGGGTTAAATCATATTTTTTAAATTGATCAAAAGTTTTTCGTTTGATTTTTAATATTTTACATTTTATTTTTATATTCTTTTACAAATCCATAATATACATTTAGAATAGTGAAATGTCGAGACTCTTTATCTATCAGTCATTTATAAATAATTTGGGGAGATTAATAGTGGAATAAAGTATAAACACAATCAAAGGAAAAAGGAAACAAAGTGGTGACGCATGGATGAATGTTGATAAGAACTGGTTGTGAATATTCCGATGAAATAGGGCCAACTCCAAGGCCGAAGATGGTCCATGCGATGCAAACAAATTTCCCTATCTCCATATACTTTTATATTTTGTATGCCCACTCGCTCACGTAATCGTAACCCATTCAAAATATTTTATATTATATAAAAATTTAACTAAGCTATATACTATCATTTCATAACCATCGATCACTATAATTTCTTATTTTATGAATAAAAACAAGATCATATATCTCCGATATTATTAAAATTAATTAATTCTAGTCATTTAAATCAATTTATATAGATATAATGGACATTATTGTTATATTTATGTGTTTGAGGAGATAATACTAAACTATTACGTTTTTCGATCAATTCAATGTAAATAATTAAAAATATTAGATTAAAAATATCATTTTATGAATTATTTGTACATTCTCCTTTCAAGATTTCCAAAGCTTTTTAGTTTTTTTTAAAAGTTATAAACCCGACGGTGCATGTGTAGTTCATAAATGCATAAGATGAAATGGATATAATTTATATATCTTTAAAATAATCACCATATTATCAAGAAGTCTCTTGGTTAAATTGAACGTTAAGAATAAGGTATCTTCAATATGTATATATATTGGTACGGTCCCCTTTTATATTGTAAATATTTCAGTGTGTTGATTAAGATAACGCAGAGATGGAACCACGATAACGAATCAATATTTTATAATGGGTGCATTATCCGGTGATCGTCGTCATGGTTTATACATGAAAGGACAAAATTACATATGATGTGTGCTTATAAGAAAATTAATGACGAGGATGTATAATGATTATCCTTAATGCAGGTAGGTATATGTATGTATGGCTGCCCCACAAAATTTGGGCCCTATCCATATTATAATTTTTTATCAATAAAATAATATTAATTTATATAATTAAAAATAATATTAAAATAAAAATTTTAAAATTCAAATATTTTATTTTTTAGGAAAAAATTTTAAAAATAGTAGAAATATTCTTAATTTAACAAATATACAAATATATTGAACTAATATAAAAATATTAAATAACCCAGTTATTTTTTTTGTTTTTAAACAAAATCTTTTAATAAATAATAACAGTGAATTAATGGTAACAAAGTAGTCCGATTCATCACTACTAATAATTATATATTATCATTAACATTTTTTTTAATTATTTTAAAAAGGGGCCATAAAATTTTGAAACTTTGTTCCGTTGCACCTCTTTATGTATGAATGCGTCCATGCATGTATGACTGCGTCTCCAATAATTTTGGATGGTCCTACGTGCTCTGTAAACAAGGGTCATGCATGTCCATACCTAAGCAGCATCATCAACCATGCAATGCATGCCCATACCCATTCTTCTGTCTCTAATTACACACGCGAATTGGGAAACATCCGACTTCGATTTCATATACATGACAGAGCCATGTCTATGGCCATTACGGTGAGAAAATAACATATAATATTTAATAATTCGATATGTGAACTGGAAAATATTTATTTCTATAAGTATAATTCATTCTATTATTTTAAATTTAGCATTAATTTGTTAGATAGTAAACACAAGTATTTTGGAAGTGTATCGTTGAAGCGGGCAACAATGATTTTCATAATAAATGTTTCCGAAGACAATTATATGGCGGTCCAAAAAAGGGTCAATTCACAAGAATATGCTCTAGAATCATACATACATACATACATACATATATACGTATATACATACATACATACTTGCATACATACATATATGAATAATTTATTTGGACGAACGAAACATTCCAAATTCAGAACCCTACAAAATACATTACGCATTGGTGTAAATGCATAAACAATAACAAGATCAAGAAGTCTTAAGTCTATCAACTTCCATTCATTTTACCACTAAAATAAAATTCATAAAAATAGTAATACGTATCTCAATATATTAAATTATCAGTTATAATTGTAGAACACAACTTTATTATTATTATTATTATTATTATTATTATTATTATTATTATTATTATTATTATTATTATTATTATTATTATTATTTAGGGAAATATAATATGGGGTGCGTACGTACATCCACTTTGGTCGTTCCTTATCCTCTTCGATGAGAGAAGCAATGCATTTAGCTTGTCTGCCTCACAAATATAAATGGCAATTTCTCTGTATCATACGTCTCCTTTTTGGTCCCTTTTGCAAATTGGCGCAAAAGATAAACTCAGGAAAAATAAAAATAAAAATGAATTATTATTGCCCTTATGATATTATGTGTTTAATTTTTTTCCCCATATTTATTTAAATTGTATACCATACGTATTTTAGTAGACATACGTTGCACACGTTTTTAGTTATATACGGAAAAAAATATTGTTGGAATAAATAACATGTGCGTATTCCACCAATTAAGAAATCTATGGTTTTATTTCTATTAAGAACTATACTATATAATTTAATTCATTCGATAATAATAATAATAATAATAATAATAATAATAATAATAATAATAATAATAATAATAATAATAATAATAATAATAATAATAATAATAATAATAATAATAATTGATGGTTTCCATGGTTTGATTTGTTCAAACTTAGACGTCCACATTCTAAAACATCATATTATATATAAAAAAAACTCACAATTATATATTTACAAATTCGTTTTTTTTTGTTTTGGTATAAATGGTTTTTTCTATATATTTTTAAAAAATTAATACGTGGAAAATAAGGTTTTTTGTGAATCCACAGGAAAAATCAAGTTATGATGTCAATATTAGGAATATTGAATGTGTTGATAATCATATGAAATGTACTCATATGGATGATGGTCATCTTGTGATGTTGAATGGGCCCAGTGGGCCCACAAGTGATTGGGATAATGATAAGAGGCCTTTTGCAAATTGGATCAAATGGGGTGCGCACACTGACATAGATATGTATGCACAGATCACGAGCCCATGTGTCACGGTGACACGTGGACGGCTAAGATTCGTTTTGTTTAAAATCAAAATTTGATATATGTATTTGGTTAGATAAATGTGATTCCTTTGGATTGTTTTATTTATTTTCCAAGTTACTGGTGTTTACTTATTATATATAATCTAAAGACATTTGGTTATTGAAAAACATTATCCAAATCATTTATTTATTTTTTGATTGTGGGTTACAATTACTGGATCTTATACTGAATGATATGAAAACACGTGTTCCAAAGGAATTATGGTGATTATATCTAATTCGAATTTTATTAATTAAAAAAATGAAATAAAAAGGAAAAAGTATTGTACTTGGGCTTTGGCGTGCAAATTTCAGATCCGTAAATATTCATTTTATTGTAATACAGCCCAATATTTATATTTTTATTCATCGTAGCCCATTAGTTTTCACGTGTTTCAGTTGTTTTCTATTTTTGCACGGCCCAACACAAGAAGGAACTCTAATTATATCAAATCAATTTGATATGTTATTAAACGAAATTAACTGAATCCAATAAAACCAAAACTGAATATAAAAAATGAGTTTTTTTGTATAAAATAATGATCTGTTTTCAATGAAAATCCAATCTAAATATAATTTGAATCGAATCCATTTTTTTTTAATTTTAAATATAGGTTCTATAAAACATCCAAATTAAAAACCAAAATTTATAATCTTAATTTCTCCCGTTTTATATCATCATCTTATGCGAAGGAGAAAAAACATGCAAAATGTAAAATGTATATATGTATATATATGCCATGCAAAATGTATATTTATATATTTTAAGATTAAATATCAACATTTTGGTAGGGATAAACAATGTGAAAAAACATGTAAAGCAAAAGAAAGACCAACGCCTAAAACATGATGAATGAAATCCAACAGAACTCCAGTTTGGTTACTAAATATCATTAATTGTGGTCACTTCAACCGTGCATGATGGCTGCACCAAAACTATTTTCCGAGATATTTTGATGATGATGTAATAATTATCAATTTTGCTAACTATATATATATATATATAATTTGTTTTATATCTATGCGACTCAAAATTATTGATTATGTGATTTCATTTTGCATGAATCATAAAATAAAATATCTGTCATGATAGATTATAACAAAAATTAAAATTCATTTTAATGTGAATTCTCTAGATGTGATCGAAGGATTTTGGGCCAAAAATTAAAATTAAGACACCTAACCAACCAACCTCTCACTCGTCACCTACCTAGCTTGCAAACCGCATGACTCAATTGTTATTTTCCCCACGTTCCCTTGACTTATATTTCTAATTTCCTTTTCCATCTTTTTATATAATGTTGATATTCTCAATTTTTTCACAAATACAAAAAAATGTTGGGAATTATAGAATTCTTTATAACTCAATTGGAGAGAATATACGCAACAAAATCAATTCAAATGTATAATTTTATTAAAAAAATATAAGTAAACATAGGAATTATTTTACATTTGTGCATCTAATTCTCATTCCTTTTTTTTCCCTTTGGTTACAAGTTGACAGTTGCGAGGATGAGAGAGAGAGAGAGAGAGAGAGAGAGAGAGAGAGAGAGAGAGAGATTTGTAAAGAAGAGACAAGAACCACACATTCTCTTCACTCCAAACGCAAACACAAAAGAAGCAGCCAAATTCCATTCTCTCACCTCGACCTCTCATTCACCACCATTGTTCAACCCTCTCCCCCACTCCTAAAATCCCATAGAACAAGAAAAAATACATGATCAAAATCACTATGCATCATCATCATCATCACCATGACCATGGGCCATGACCCTTCTTCCCCTCCTCTCTAGATTAACTTCTCTCTCCTCTGTTTTGCTGTTTTCAAGCACAGATAGATCCTTGTTTTCTCTCAGACATGACTCTTCCTTACAACTTCTCTTCTGTCAGAAACCACTCGATTCTTCTCCGGACCTCTCATCATCTCTACATTCCCAGAACTCAAGGTTCCTTCTTTCTCAAGGGATCTGCTCCTCTCTTCAAGAAACACTGTCTCCTCTTCTTCAATGATCATCCTTTGTCCAGAAACCCTTACAATCCCCTGAAACTCGCCAACCCTTTTGCTAGCATCTCCTCTTTCGCAGATTCTGGTGGAGATGAACAACACCATGATGAACAAATCCACATTCAGGAACCTCATCAGTCGACAAAACCCACCACAGAAGGAGAGCAACTCTCAGATGCAAAGAAGGACGACTTGCCCGGAATGGCTCAAGCCTTCAACATCTCATCCAACACTGCGTGGGCAATCTCCACACTCATCGCCTTCTCGGCTCTATGCTTCCCACTGTTCATGAAGTCACTGGGCCAAGGACTTGCCCTGAAGACGAAGGTTCTCTCTTATGCGACTCTGCTCTTTGGATTCTACATGGCGTGGAACATCGGGGCCAATGACGTGGCCAATGCCATGGGGACATCTGTCGGGTCCGGAGCCCTGACGCTCCGGCAGGCGGTGGTGACGGCCGCCATTCTGGAATTCTCGGGGGCGTTGTTGATGGGGACCCACGTGACGAGCACAATGCAGAAGGGGATTCTTGTGGCAAATGTGTTCCAGGGGAAAGACTCCTTGCTCTTCGCCGGCCTTCTCTCTTCCTTGGCTGCAGCTGGAACCTGGTTGCAGGTCAGTGTTTTTGAGTATAACTTCTATGGAAGATGAGTAATCATCATTTCAACATGATATGATCATAATTTCAGATTACAAAATAGCACACAATTGCCGGTCGATTGTGAAAGTTTGAATTTATGTATATTGTGTTTATGAATTCTGTTCAGATGAATTCAGAAAGTGTTTTGCTTCAACCTTTGATTACACTTTTCAATCACGAAACTATAGGAGATCATATATGGAATGGTTGTCTCACTGGAACATTTGGAAGGATGAAACAGGGACTACACAAAAGGGCCTTGTCCTAAACCATGATGATGAACTAGAAACTATCCAACATAGTGTCACTGACTTTCTTCAAAGGCAAAACCAATTGAACTACACTCTTGTGTGGATAAGAATCTTTGGCATTGTAGAAAAGTACCTGTGGTAATGGTGGAAATGACAGGTAGCATCATACTACGGGTGGCCGGTTTCGACGACTCACTGTATAGTGGGATCGATGGTAGGATTTGGGCTGATGTACGGAGGTGCAGGTGCCGTCTTTTGGAGTTCACTCGCAAAGGTCGCTTCTTCTTGGGTCATCTCCCCCGTCATGGGAGCCCTCGTCTCATTTCTCGTCTACAAAGGCATCCGCAGAGTACGTTAAACCATATCTGTATCTCTCATACCCAATTAAAAGAAAAATCAGAGCATCCACAACAATGTATTGACAGGATGGAAATCTTCTGATATCTTGTATTGATCGCTTTGAAGTGGGAGCTAAGAGTAAAGTCTGATACTTTCTGCCCTGTTTTTGTGCTCAAAGTTTGTATAGAGCGCGCCAAACCCAACTGTCGACGCTGCCCCTGCCGCACCCATTGCAGTGTTCGTGGGCGTCACCGGCATTTCTTTTGCGGCATTACCTCTAAGCAACGTATTCCCCATCGCTCTGTCTCAGGCCTTAGCAGCCGGAGCCGCCGGTGCCATTCTCGTGGACAGGATCATCCGGAAACAGCTCGGACACCTCCTCGCCACGTCCTCCTCCTCACCGGAATCATCCCCGGCACCGTCGTCACCCAAAGGCCTCGGATTTCTCTCCGACTTCGCCGGACCCACAGGCACTCAGCTCGAGATCGTATACGGAGTCTTCGGCTATATGCAAGTCCTCTCCGCCTGCTTCATGTCCTTCGCACATGGCGGCAACGACGTCTCCAACGCTATCGGACCCTTAGCCGCCGCTCTGAGCATCCTGCACGGCGGAGCAGCCGCCGGAGGCGGCGAGATCATAATCCCCATCGACGTCCTCGCCTGGGGAGGCTTCGGAATCGTCGCCGGACTCACGATGTGGGGATACAGAGTCATCGCAACGATCGGGAAGAAGATCACAGAGCTAACACCGACTCGTGGGTTCGCGGCGGAGTTCGCGGCCGCGTCGGTGGTGCTCTTCGCGTCGAAGCTAGGGCTCCCGATCTCGGCAACGCACACGCTCGTCGGAGCAGTGATGGGTGTAGGGTTCGCGAGAGGGCTCAACAGCGTGAGAGCAGAGACGGTGAGAGAGATCGTCGCTTCGTGGGCCGTCACCATTCCCGTCGGAGCCACTCTCGCCGTTCTCTACACGTGGGTCTTCACCAAGCTCTTGTCTTTCCTGTTGTGAGTTTTGGTTCTGTCTCTATTCCAATCTGATACGACGAACAAGGTTCTGGTGTTTATGTGTGGGTCTTGATTCGGATCTAAAACCCTATACCGTCTGGAGATTTTTGTATTGTTCGCTGTGTTTTCCATCTTCGATTGAAGTAATTTTTCACCCATCGGTGATGATGAATGAAGCAAGCAAGGTAGCTTTCTTAACCTTCGGTTTCCCACTTTCATGTCGTCCGAGTAGTGCGTATCGAGAATGGATGACGTTCCAACCATGGAAGCCGTCGTGTTGTTCGTTTCCCAAACTTAAAAACGGTACGTGTTTAAGGATATTGTACAACGACGTCGCATTCTGAGACGCGCGGCTTGAACAGATTTCGTACACCTTTGCATTTTTTGGACGAATTTACCCTTTCCGTTAGGCCATTCGTCGGATTTAACCGGAGGTTATTTTCGTAAATGAAAAATTACCGGCTAAGGGAATAAATCTTGCGAGATTCTCCATCGTCTTTCTCCTTCATCTCCTCCTCCCCGGCGACGAGGACAGCGAGGGTAACGGCGGTAACTGAAAGGAGCCTCCTTTATTCAAATTCATTGTATATATAAAAAAAAGGTGTAAAAATTGATGCTTTATTTATAATCTCGAGCTTATTCACGCTTGTGATTTGTGAAGAGTATATAAATAACTATATAAGAAGTATACGGGGGAATGCATCACCACCGCATCCTCTTCGACAAGTATCTGTTGAATAATAATCTTGATTCAAGGCATCCATAGTCAAGAGTTGGTTTTTCAATGTGTCTTAATTAGTCTAGAAGTTTGAGGAAATTGAGGGTTGAATGCATGTATGCACGTATGAAGTTTGTGCCTTTTGTTAGTATAAATATGGGTGTGTAGGATGTGTCCAAAACACAAGGAAAAACACATGAAGGAAAAGTGTTGTAAGAGAGAAAAGTCGTATGGATATATATGAAAGAGTTTATGAGTGTTACTTGTGAATTCGGGAAGTATCACTGAGCGTGGTCCATTTTATATAGTTCTTTTAAGAGCTAACAAAGTGGTATCAGAGCGGTGGTTCGTAATGGCCAGCTCGAGTATATCTTTCCCGATTCCAAAGCTCACGAAGGAGAATTATGAGAGGTGGAGTATCCAAATGAAGGCGTTTCTTGGAGGCCAGGACATGTGGGATGCAATCGAAGAGGAGTATCATGAACCGGAGGATTTGGCTACGGCGACTTCCGACGAAAAGAAAGCGGCAAAGGAGGCAAAGGTGAAAGACCAAAGAGCCTTGTCTTTCATCCAACTCAGCATGGATGATTTGATATTTGAGAAGATTGCACACGCCACATCGTCAAAGATGGCTTGGGATACTTTGGCAAACTCTTTCAAAGGTATCGATAAGGTGAAGAAGGCGAGACTTCAATCTCTTCGTGGTGAGTTTGAAGCATTGCAAACGAAGGAATCTGAAGAAGTATTTGATTATATTTCTCGAGTGATTGCGGTTACTAACCAACTTGAGAGTAATGGTGAAAAGATGAAAGCTAGTAGAATTGTGGAGAAGATACTTCGGTCTCTCACTCCGAAGTTTGATCACATCGTGGTTGCGATCGAGGAGTCGAATGTCATCGATGACATGACGGTGGACGAGCTCTCTGGAAAGCTACAAGTCCATGCAGAAAAATTTAAGAAGAGGAACAAAGAACCTATGGAGCACGTACTCCAAGCGAAGGTGAATCTCAGTGAAAAGACATTTGATGATCAGAATCAAAGCGGTCGCGGTCGCGGTCGTGGTCGTGGACGCGGTCGTGGTCGTGGTCGTGGCAGAGGACGCGGTCGAAGCCGTGGACGAGAAGGTGATGGAGATTTGTGGCACCAAAATTATTCTGACCGAGGAGGACGATCTGGCAGAGGGCGTGGTAACTCTCATAGGTTCAACAAAGGTGATGTTGAATGTTACAATTGTCACAAATATGGACACTATGCCTATGAGTGTTATGCAGGCCAAAATGAGAGAAAGGAGCAAGTTAACTATGCTGAGAAAAATAATGTGGTAGAAGACACGGTGTTGCTTGCACGAAATAGCTCGGACGGAGAAGCACAACAAACTTGGTATCTTGATACCGGTGCGAGCAACCATATGTGTGGTTCTCGTCATATGTTTGTGGAGATTGACGAGTCAGTGACAGGGTCTATTTCTTTCGGAGATCTGTCGAAAATCTCCGTCAAAGGAAAAGGCAAGATCTTGATCAAGTTAAAGAATGGAGGCCATCAGTACATCTCAAATGTGTACTATGTGCCAGGTATGAAAGCTAATATTCTCAGTATTGGTCAGTTACTTGAGAAAGGTTATAACATTTCATCCAGGGATCAGAGTATCTATCTTAGAGATGGCAACGGAAAACTTCTGTCCTGTGTTCCGATGGATGAAAATCGAATGTTTCCAATAAACATTCAAACGGATGTGGGAAAATGCTTGAAGGCATGTTTTGAAGAGGAGTCTTGGTTGTGGCATCTAAGGCTCGGGCACCTTAACTTTGGTGGCTTGAGGTTGCTGTCAACAAAGAGGATGGTGAATGGTTTACCACCCATTGATCAGCCAAACCAAGTGTGTGAAGGTTGCTTGGTGGGAAAGCAACATCGACAAAGTTTTCCAAAGGAGTCATTGACAAGAGCAAAGGAACTCCTTGAGTTGATACACACCGATGTGTGTGGCCCTCTTGATCCGCTATCTTTCGGGAATAACAGGTACTTCTTGTTGTTCATCGATGATTATAGTAGAAAGACATGGGTTTATTTTTTGAAGGAGAAGTCAGAGGTGTTTTCGGCATTCAAGAGGTTTAAGGCCCTTGTTGAAAGACAGAGTGGCTATGAAATTAAATCGTTGAGATCAGATCGAGGTGGTGAGTTTACATCAAAGGAGTTCAAGATGTTTTGTGATGAGAATGGTATTCGAAGGCCGCTTACCGTTCCATATTCACCACAACAGAATGGTGTTGCAGAGAGAAGGAACAAGACTATTTTGAATATGGTCCGAAGTATGTTGAAGAGTAAGAATTTACCGAAAGAGTTTTGGGCTGAAGCCGTTGACTGTGCGGTTTATTTGTTAAACCGATGTCCAACGAAGAGTGTGTGGAATGCAACACCTCAAGAAGCATGGAGTGGATACAAACCAAATGTATCTCATCTAAAAGTTTTTGGTAGTCTTGCATATGTTCATGTTCCAGAACAACAAAGGAAGAAACTTGATGATCGGAGTTCGAAATACATCTTTGTGGGGTACAGTCAACACTCAAAAGGTTACAAGTTGTATGATCCCATCCAGAAGAAACTCAAGATTAGCCGAGATGTAGTGGTGGATGAGAAAGGTGCATGGGATTGGAATTCAAAAGATAAAGAGAAACTTACTTTTTATCCTTTTGTGATTAGGAATGCTCAAGAAGGGGAGTTTGAGCAGGAGGTCTCGATATCAACTCCACAATCGGGTTTTGAAGTCGGGTCCAGTTCAGGGACATCTGCATCAGCGGAAGATGGCCTTGACGCTGTTGGACCAAGAGGAACGAGGAGTTTGCAAGAGATTTATGATCTTAATCAAAATCAGACCTTGTTCTGTCTCTTTGCAGATACAGAACCAATCAACTTTGTTGAAGCATCAAATGATGAAAAATGGAGAAAGGCCATGGATGATGAAATCACGGCTATAAAGAAAAATGAGACGTGGGAGTTGACTACTTTGCCGAGAGGACATAAACCCATTGGTGTGAAGTGGGTATTCAAGATCAAGAGAAACTCGAAAGGAGAGGTTGAAAGGTACAAGGCCAGACTCGTGGTCAAAGGTTACAAGCAACGGGCAGGTATTGATTATGACGAAGTATTTGCTCCGGTTGCACGTCTTGAAACCATACGGTTGCTTATCTCACTTGCAGCTAGAAAGCAGTGGAAATTATACCAAATGGACGTGAAGTCAGCATTCTTGAATGGAGTTCTTGAAGAAGAAGTTTACATCGAACAACCTGATGGATACGTTGTTCAAGGTCAGGAGGATCGTGTTCTAAAGTTGAAAAAAGCTCTATATGGTTTGAAGCAGGCACCAAGGGCTTGGAATAGTCGGATTGATCAGTATTTTCGAAAGAACGGGTTCATAAAATGCCCCCATGAGTATGCTATGTATGTGAAGGTACACAAAGGTGATGTTTTGATTGCATGTCTTTATGTGGATGATTTGGTTTTCACAGGAAGTGATCCTCAGATGTTTGAAGTATTTAAGAAGGCGATGACAAAAGAGTTTGAGATGACAGACATCAGGTTGATGGCATACTATCTTGGTATTGAAGTGCATCAACGAGGTGATGGTGTTTTTATCTCACAAGAGCAATACTCGAAACAAGTTTTGAAAATGTTCAACATGATGGAGTGTAATCCGATAAGCACTCCCATGGAAGTTGGAGAGAAATTGTCTAAGTATTGTGAAGGAGATGCTGTCGATCCCACTATGTTCAAGAGTTTGGTTGGAAGCTTGAGGTACTTGACATGTACGAGACCAGATATTTTGTTTGCGGTTGGCATTGTTAGCCGACATATGGAGCAACCGACATCTTATCATTTGAAAGTGGCTAAGAGGATTCTTCGGTATGTTAAGGGAACTCTTAGTATGGGCATGTTTTATCCATCATCCGGAGAAGGCGATTTGAGAGGTTTTAGTGATAGTGATTGGACAGGAGATCCTGACGACAGGAAAAGTACATCTGGGTTTGTTTTCTACTATGGTTCGACGGCATTCACATGGTTATCGAAGAAACAACCGATTGTGACTTTATCGACTTGTGAGGCTGAGTATGTTGCTGCGGCATCTTGCGTTTGTCATTCGATATGGCTCAGGAGATTGTTAGAGGAACTTCAGTTTGGAGAAAGTGACCCTACGGAAATTTATGTTGATAACAAATCAGCAATCGCTTTGGCAAAGAATCCGGTGTATCACGATCGAAGTAAGCACATCGATACTTGGTTTCATTTTATTCGTGAGTGCATTGCGAAGAAAGAAGTTCAAGTGAAGCATGTGAAGACTGAAGATCAAGTTGCGGACATCTTTACGAAGTCGTTGAAGAAGGAGGTTTTTGAGAAGCTGCGTTACAAGCTTGGATTGAGAGAATCAAGCTTAGGAGGGAATGTTGAATAATAATCTTGATTCAAGGCATCCATAGTCAAGAGTTGGTTTTTCAATGTGTCTTAATTAGTCTAGAAGTTTGAGAGAATTATTGGGTGAGGAAATTGAGGGTTGAATGCATGTATGCACGTATGAAGTTTGTGCCTTTTGTTAGTATAAATATGGGTGTGTAGGATGTGTCCAAAACACAAGGAAAAACACATGAAGGAAAAGTGTTGTAAGAGAGAAAAGTCGTATGGATATATATGAAAGAGTTTATGAGTGTTACTTGTGAATTCGGGAAGTATCACTGAGCGTGGTCCATTTTATATAGTTCTTTTAAGAGCTAACAGTATCACCCTGGTTACTTTGGGAAAGTCGGAATGAGGTACTTCCACAAGCTGAGGAACAAGTTCCACTGCCCAATCGTCAACCTCGACAAGCTCTGGTCCATGGTTCCTGAGGAAGTGAAGGAGAAGGCGAGCAAGGACAATGTCCCCATGATCGATGTCACCCAGTTCGGGTACTTCAAGGTTTTGGGTAAGGGTATGTTGCCGGAGAACTAACCTGTCGTCGTTAAGGCAAAGCTCGTATCGAAGATCGCGGAGAAGAAGATTAAGGAAGCCGGAGGCGCCGTCGTTCTTACAGCTTAGATGTGAGGTTTTTTTTTCGTGGTCTGATTTTGGGTTTTTTGTTGTTTAGATCTTAAATTTTTGAATTCGAACAGCGTTATCTTGTTTTTGGTGGTGATAAATCCAAAGAGAGCCTTCTTGCTTTGGGTCTGTATGGTAATTGTATCAATCCATGTGTGAAAGATTTAAAAAATGATGGAAATTTCTGAGTTCATCCCTTTTACCAATCTAAAATATTTTCTAAAGGTTTAAAATTTCTTTAGAAAATAAACATTTTTTTTTATATAAAATCAGGGTGATAAACTTTTGGGGGTGTTCATGTTTCCATACATGAGCAATGTTGTATCACGCTATAGTTTTAAGTCTTAAATCCCGGCTAGAGTTTCAAGTCTGAAACGTAATTTCAATCACGTCATGTTTACATGGTTTGTTTCTGGTTTTGAGATTAGACCGGATATCGGTATATAACAACCGGTTATCCAAAAAAAAATTGTTAAAAGAAGTGTCACCTGTAAGTCTGAGAAACGAAATCAATTGAAATTTCGAAAGAAAACCTCACAAGCAAAAGACCAACATTACAAAACCATAAAACGAAATTTCCGGATTCGGCAGAGATATAATATAAAACTCCCTACAAATTCTAGTTCAAGAGGTGCTCCCTTGAATCCGATTGCCCTCCCCATTTTCTAATCCTGTCCTCAGCCATTAGAGCCTGCAAATATATACACACACACACACACACGTACATACATATATATTCAGTAGATGTAACCATTGAAATGAGTAGACTAGAGAGCATCGTATGATATGATGAAAGAATGCGACTAACCTCTTTGTCCCAGTTGGTCTTACAGATCATCCATGTTATTACAATCGATTGAATAACAGTTCCCATCAACATTCCGCTCCAGATTCCCTGCCCGAATGTGCATAATCAACACGGATTCGGATCGTTAAAGTTATAGATTTGATTCGTTATATATACCATGACACCGAGTTGGAGTTTGTAACCCAAGATCAGTCCCAAGGGGACTCCGAACAAGTAGTAGCATGCAATGTTCACGTATGCCACCACTGCTTGCCATCCTGCTCCCACAGCCACGCCTACACATAATACAATACACCCACTCACCATTTTATTATTACATGTAGATTCCTTGCATTCAGATATATGAACATGTATATATGTATGTATGTATGTACCGGATAAGACGGGTTGGACGTTGTTGATGACGATGCTAAGGGCAAGCATTGGCGTTAGATCTCTGACGACGACTCGTACGTCTTCGTCCTCGGTGAAAAGGACCGGATATTGCTGCCGGAAGAGCAGGAGTACGGCCGATATCAGGATTCCGACCATAGTGGACGAGATCACTGCCACTACTAGCGAGAATTTCGCTGTTCTTGGATGGTTGGCTCCTAGCTCGTTTGACACCCTCACACTGCACCATCATCATCATCTATTGGTGATTTTCCATGTATTTTGAAAAAATGTTTTACCAAACCAAATTAATCCGAATTGATATAATTATATCGATCTGAAATTAAACAACATATAACTATTATCGAATCGAATTTGATATAAAAATTGAATTGATATAAAATTTTCAAATTATAACGAATCAAATCAAATATAAAAATAACAAAGATTTAAAATTTATAGACTGATTTTTTATTAAAAAATAAAAACCAAATTATATCAAACTCGAAACGAAACCGACATAAACAAAAACAATGACTAATGATTATGATTTTTTAAAAGTTGAATTAAAAAAATAATCAAACTAAACAGACGGCCATAAGATTAAAAAAAAAAAAGGTAGAGAAAAATAGTTGACCTGACGGCTGCGTTGGTGCCAATAGCCACCATGGCGGCCCATCCCAAGATGTTCATGCTTCATTTTCCAAGAGACAACAGCCGACGATTTAGACCAACAACAGAATAACCTTTTTTTTTTCCTCAATCGAAAATTCCTAATTAAAAAATTCCGACTTTTAATTGATTTCATTACAATAATTATTTTTCTTTTTTGCATATCGTCCGCCTACGTGAAATCCATGAAACATGTTGTGTAAGAAGAGAGATTCATAACCACGTGACGTAAAATAAAAACTATATAACTAGTGGTTCAATTGGTATAAAACTACATTTTTTTATTATTAATATAATGAATTGACTACTATCTACTGCCCCAATTTGCATATATGGGCATGATCATATACAATTCATTTACTTGACTACTTGGCACGACGGCCGTATTATATTATGTAATAATTAAACACAAGACTAGATTCGTTCAAAGAGGCAGGCCTACTCATATACAATATTAATATCATTTTACCTTACGGAATTGTCCATTTTGTTTATTATTTTATTTTCTGATATTTTTTTGTTGTTTTCTATGGGAAGATTGAGATTGTATTATTTTTACCATATGGATAATGCGGCAACGGAGACCTCAGCATTCTTCAGATATCCAGCGAATAATACGAGTGCCATGAAATACCATACCTCCAAACTACGCAAATAAAATAAATTTTAAAAATGAAATATGCGTGTGTATATATATATATATCAAAGCACTAAAAAAAACAATCAATATATAACAAATATGGAAGAGTGAATACTCGAGCTTTAATTTAGAGAGGTTCATAATGTAAATAGAGGATAAAATGTGAACATTTCCGCTGTTCCAACTACCCCAAATTAAGGAAATGATTGCATCAAATTTACTTATTTACGGTCCATATATTGTGGTAAGAGATAGATTTAACGATGAGGGGACTAACCGGAGATTAGATTAAACTCATTAAAAACCAATTAATCATAATTAGTGAAACTGAAGCTAATCGTGAAATGCGTAATCAGAGGGAGACTGACCAGAGCATGACGGCAGAAGCAAGAGACAACCTAACAAAGCTCCAAAGGTTGTGGAACGCTTCCCAAGAGAATCCCGACCAGGCCTCACCGCACGTGCCACCGAGTATGTAAACGATCTGAATCACCACGATGAACCACCACGACGCGTTCAGCATCACAGCCAGTCCCTCCAGTCCCCACCGGAGATTCACCACCGCGACCCAGCTTAGGAGCGCGTGCAGCACAAGCGCCGCCGCGGAGATAACCGCCATGACCATGATCTTGCTCTGAGCTTGCAAGAACTTCGCCGTCGGGAAGTTCAAGGCGTAGGCGAAGAGCTGAGGGATCATGTAGATGGAGAATAGCCCCGCCGCCTTGGAGATGCTCTGCGTTTGTCCGATGAACGCGAGAAGCGGCGTTGCGAATATATAGAGGAGGCTGAGGAGTAGAGCGGTTACGATTAGGATCACCCACGAACGCTGCAGATAAACTCCGAGCATCGATAGCTTCCCCGCTCCAAACGCTTGCCCACATAGCGTTTCCAACGCGCTTCCCATTCCCAGCTGTTCATAAACGCAAACGCGAAAATCATGTATCACGCGTTCATATTCATTGAGATGAAAAAAATAATATATGCGGTGAATTTCCGGATTATCAAAAAATAGATTTCATCGACTGGCTAAAATATGCGAATCTGTGTTCTAATCGGGCAAAAGGGTTGAAGGATTTCCATTTTCCGACCATTATAATTCGTAAAGTTCGAGTCTTTAATCTGAGAAAAATTAAGGAGAGGAGAGAGAAGAGATGAACCATGATGCCGAAGGAGAAGCCGGCGATGACGGAGTTTTCAACGGAGACGGCGGCGAGGGAGAGGGTGCTGATGTGTCCGGCGAAGACCTGAGTTATGGCGCCGAGTGAGTACTGACTCAGCGACGTGAAGATTGCGGGCCCCGCAAGGTACCACAGCTTCTTCGACTCCACGTTGAACTCTCTCACGAAGTCCCCGACGCCGGAGATCGGGGGTATGTCGGCATCTCCGATCGTTAACGCGGCGGATGACGTCAGAGACACGGCGGAGCCTCTGCTCCGCTCCGCCGCCGGTAGGA